TGCCACAGTTTCTCAAAAAGTTTCTTGATGCCCAGGCCGGATTCGCCCGATTTCCTGCCCCGTCAAAATGGTTTTTGGGCACCGGGAGGCTGCTGGAATTCAAGCCGACCCAAAAAGTGTTTTTCTTTCCGGGGGTCGCCCCCTGTAAAGATGGGTTGAAGATTGATGGGCGGTGCGGGGCAGATTGTGCGTGGCATCAAAATGGGCAGCAAGGTCAAAGGGTGGGTGATATCAAAAGGGGGGGGATGGAATTGAAGAGAGAACAAGGGCACATCTGCTTCTCCGGTTACTTCGGTACCGCGTGCCCAACTTGTTCCGGGGCAGAAAACCGGAAGTGGTGGGTTCACTTTTTGGCCAGGAATTAAATTACGAATTGCTGAAATGAATATCCTAATATTGATGCCGGGCGAGTGAGGTAGAAAAAGAGAGAGGGAGCGAGTGTGGTAGAGAGAAAGAGAGAGCGAGAGATTGAGAAAGAGAGAAGAAAGTGAGAGAAAAAAGAGAGACAGTGAGAGACACAGAGAGAGAGGGTACCGGAAGTACCCGTTAGGATAGAGTGGGGAACGTATGCGAGAGCGCGGGAGAGCAAAAGAGAGAACGATAGATCGTCAAAAAACGGTTCTACAGCAAAAATAGAATCTCTAAAAATACGAAAAGCTGTACCTGAAGGCGAGATTTCCTATCTAATCATCTCCAAAGATTTACGAGGCCTTTGACTCAATATGGGAGCGCCAAATAGCAAAAAGGGGCAGTGGAATCGGCGTAGCCGGTGATTCAACAATGGCCAGCTGATAACGAGGCCGGCTGGCTGCCCATAGCGGGAAAGCCAAATAAATGCAAAGCCCGACAAAAAAGGACAATATTGCGGTTTTGCAGCGTGGGATAACATGTTTTTGATGGGGGTTAAAAGCGTCCGGTCTGCAGATCGCCAAAATCGAATTAGCTGTTTGAAAACTGCTTTTTTTTAGTGGAAAATGTCATAAAGACAGCTAGAAATCAGCTGTCGCGCTCCATCTAAAATCCAAAAATCTCTGATGTGAATCCGAGATCAATGACCGCCACGAGCCATAAACTCGCGGAAATCGGGATATCACCCGAGGCGCCCTGAAAAAAGAGCGGATCCGATAGCCGGCACAAGTGTCGCGGGCAAAAATGATAATCGGGTTTTTGTGGCGAGTGCCGATGGAAAAAGCGCGAAAATTATTGGAGCGGGAGGTGTCGGTCTGGAGGGCGAGCTCGAGGCGGCACCGCGAGTGATTTATGAGAGAGGGGGAACGGAGAAGAAGCCGACGGCAATGCCATGTGGAATCTGTTAAAGGGGTGGGCGAGTTGAGGAAATTCACATTTTCGAGGGGAGTTGAGACTCACACGTCAAGTCGCTGGAAAGATAGAATGCTTGTATCGGAGCCTGAGAAGTTAGGATACGTGAAGTAAAATGAGCTTAAGGGGAGAGAAAGCTAGAGCGAGAGAGAGAGAGAGAAAGCGAGAGAAATTTACAGAGAGAGCGAGCAAGAGAGAGTGCGTGGGAGAGAGAGACAGAGAGAGCGAGTGAATTTGGTCCGATTACGAACGAATTTTCTAAATAAAAAGGCGCCGAGTAGCTGCTCAAGCTCGAACTCGCTCGGATCTCTCTCACTCCCATTCTCTCTTTCCCACTATCTCTCTCGCTCTCTTGCCTTAAATATACCACGCATGTAAGATACAGAAAGAATCATGGAACAAAATCCAACATGGACATACAGAAAACCAACCAAATCTCACAAAAACTCGCGAAAGGTCCTTACTTTCCCCCGACTCCTTTGAATACGCCATTATTCCACTTCAAAGAGTAGCGATACTCTAGGATGCAACTCGCTGAATAGACTCAAAATGGTAGGCCGGACACGAGAGAGAGGGAGAGAGATAGAGAGGGAGAGAGAGAGAGAGAGAGAGAGAGAGAGAGGGAGAGAGAGAGAAAGACCGAGCGCAAGTGAGCGAAACTATATATACAAAAATCTGGTGAATGGGCCATATGCATCAAGTGAAAGAGAGAGGGAGATTGGTCGAGCAGAGCCGATAATGCAAATACGATCGGCTCCCGCTTGAGGGTTCTCCCTCCCGATTTGAATGGGACGAATGGATGGGGGATTCGGGAGAGGTTGACGGTTCGCATATTGGGACCGAAGCCGCTGCCCCCCCGATCGGAGACAAATATTTCACCCGTTTCCCATCCGGGGGCGCGATCCGCAGGAATTCCGCTTCCGGATTTCAGACACCCGGGATTTTGGGGCGAGTGAGGGTGGATTCGGCAAATTTGACGGGTATTCAGGAATTGAATTACCGCTGGAACTGTCCCTTGAAATATTACGCTAGGTATTGGCAAACTTTATCACGTACTTTTTGAAATATATAGCGTAAGGTATGAAGTTCTGCACATATTGTTATCTTCTACACCAAGCTTTATTGATCTTATTTATGCGGATTAAAAAATCTTGCTTGACCGAGGTAGATTTTCTAATACATGAATTCATAGAACTAATAGAAAATGATCAAATTTCAAAATTAAACATGATGATTTTTTCAAATAAAATTGACATACAAAATTAGAGTGAACATCACATTTAAATCAGTTATTTTCTAAAATTTTCAATTATGTAGTAGCGAGCTGTATAATCATTCGTCAGAACGGCCATTTTCAAGAAGAAAAGACAAAACGATGAATCAGCAACCATAATTAAACCCCTTTTTTCGCAGTAAACCGTTCCGGTCCCAGCTGCATTCTAGTCAATAATTCATATACTTGCCAAACCTTGCCAAACCCAAAGATATTTTTATCGTGTGACGCCGACGCTGCAATGCATTTCCAAGTGCAAGGGTTGCGGTGTATGCATTTTTGGGTGATGATGTTCTTCAGGAACGGGTTTTTCTGGAGTCTGTCAATGATTCTAGGGAAAGGCTAAACAAAAGATTTCGAGCAGTCGCCTGATGAATCACTAATGAGATCAAAATTGTTTGGCGATTGCGCAGGACGATAGTTCATCGACAAATTTTCTCTGCTAGTAACGTCATATTTCCTAGGAAAGTCAGATAAAGCGAAAGAGAGAGATAGCGAAAGAATAAAAGAGTGAGAAAGTGAGAGCGAAAGCGAGAGGAAAAAAAAGAAAGCGTGCAAGATTTTAAAAAATGGTTCCGGTTCGGGAATTCAGGGCTTAAAAGTGGTATTAGAACTCAAATATTTCCATTTTTCACCTATTTTCAGCATTTGCCTGTATCGTATCGTTGTGGTGTAGTTTTTGCAGTTTGATGTTTGGGCTTTGGGAGCGGTGGGGCACCATGCATTAAGGATACCTTTCGTCAGATCTGCCTCATCTCACTTCCTCAGGCCAATGCCATTTCAGCGAATTTCCAGTTCCGTGATTTCATGATGATAGCTCACTTATGAACTGAAAAACCGAAGAACCCCGCAGTGAGGGAGAGAGAGAGAGAGAGAGAGAGAGAGGGAGGGAGAGAGTGAGAGAGAGAAGAATGGACATTTTCCACCATTCACCTCTCCCACACCACAATGGGACAAAATCGAAGGGAAACGAGGAACTGACAAAATGCATGCACATGCTGGTGGTTGTCAACCCATGCCCTCATCATATACCTAGGGAAAACGGTGGGGAGCTTGGGAAATTTGTGAAAAAGTGGAGCGCAAAAGGGGCTCGGGCGGGCTTCGGAGGCTCCGAATCGGAGTTGTGCTGAAAAGTGTACATTTGGCAACCTATCACATCAGCAGTACGATGTTCTCGAGTGTAAAGCCTATCAGGGGTTGGAGTGGAGTTCAAGTGAACAACGTATTTTGTGATTTTACTAAGTTTCTGCTTTGCGCTTTGCGTTTCTTTTAGTCGTGTTTTGCTTTAAGTTACAACCAGCATGTAGCACGCTAAAAGATTCGCAAAAAATGTTGAGCAAACCTGATTATTTAAGGAATTCGTAAATTTCCATTTACAGCGACCAAATTTTTTTTATTTTTTGTTAGTTTCTGTTTCCTTGTTGTCTATTATCGAATTTTATGGGTTACCGATAAACAGCTTATTTTAACGAGGTGCCGACACATTATTAATAACGGGCGCGAGGGGTATAAAAGCAGCTTTTTCTCGAAATTTCAATGGACCATGAGATTCCTGATCTTCTTTTTCCTGGCTTTTGCCCTGGTTTTCGGTGGAGCCACCACCAATAAACCATCCGTTGGCCTACCAGATGCTCTGATTGAGGTTATTTATTGCCATATTGACAAAAAATCAGATAAAAATAATGGAACGTTTTTTATGACATTTTCAGAAACTGCGTCAAATCGACCTGTCCAAGATTTCGTTGGATGATCTCAAGGCCGCCGTAATGAAAAATTTCTCGGTTCCGGTACGTTGCATTTTTCAAATGGTTAATTTTTACTATTTACACGTTTTTAGGTCCCAGCTACTACTGCTAAAAGCGCCGCTACAAAGCTAAAGCCAATAGCCAAGGCCTAAAATAAAGCTGATAAAAAGTTTATCATCGAAAAAATCCGAATTTACATATTTGAATGTTATATTTTGCAATTTAATGGATTTCATGCATCCCAAAACTTTTTATGGAATACTCTTAAATTTATAGAAAAGGTTCTGTTAATCAATACTCTCAAAAACTGAAAATTAAAATAAAACGCGACGAATTACGTGAATACATAATTTGCGTACCTCGAAATCTGTATTTTTTTTCAATATAATGCGATTTTGGTAAGGTAAGACCTTCATAAAATTTAGACAATTTATCGAATACTCTAGAAAACGTAAAAAAACGAAAAGTCCGGATACAACGAATTACAAAGATACGCTTACAAGTGTCATCTCTGAGGATCGGGGTTGGGAGTGAGGGGGAATGGGGGTCAGAGGCACGGGATCGGCAGACGGAAAACAGCCATAAATGCTAGTAGCTACAACGACGAGCAGCGCAGTGGGATCTGCTGGCTATAGCAATGTAACGGAATTAGGAAGATCCTAATAACGGAAAGCGAAGACGGCAACGACAGAGGCGAAGGCGGCAAGGACGGAGGCAGATGTGCCAGCGTTGCAGCCGTCTTTCTGAAAATTGGGATTTGAAAGGGATTGGCAAGATATGTTTTGGGTTCTGGACTGCTAGCGGGGCAACCACGATATTTATAGTTTTTAGCAGTTTTTAATTGATAGAAAGTTATAAAATTATTTTAAACGCTTTGGAAAAGGAAAATTGAACTTTTTTGGGGCCATTTTTCAGAGATTAAGTCAAAAAATGTTTATAATTTTTTATATTGTTTTCACATCAAAAAAATTATCAAGAATCCTTGAAGAAGCCTCTATTTTGTTCCATATTTCTGCGAAAAATTTGGTTTTGCCGCGCTAGAAATCCTCCACCCCGCTAAGAGTGCAGAACCTAGAAAACCGAAATATTAAGTCTAGGTATCTGACGGCCATTAACGACCATTACTATAGAGTTCTTGTAATATTTAATACATATAAATCTATTCGTTGAAAACTAACGTTATTGCACTGGTAGAAGTAAAGCTGGATGCGGTTGTTGCCCGTCTTCTTCAACCCGTCGACCTCCTCGCCCGAGTAGGCGCATTCCCTGATCGTCTGCTTCTTATCCTCGACGTACTACAACCGCGGATTTAAATATATTACAATATAGTTAAAATTTCGCTTTTTGAAGCCGTTAAATTCTACAAACCTGCTCGATCTTGCGGCACCCGATGGCGTTCTTGTTAGCGAAAGGGCCGTCAGCCAGCTTGCCGCAAGGCTAAATTTTTAGATTGAAAAGGCAGAATTTTTTTAGATAGCATCGTTTTTATATACATAATAATGTTAAACCATTTCGCAGCATACTGAAATACTTCGCAAAATGCCGATGATTGCCTTACCTTTTTTCCACTTGGCCAGATCAGTCACCTCCGTCGAGTCGCACACCTCCTCGCCGTTGGCACCGGTATTGCACTGGTAGCAGGAGAGGGCCCTGAAAATGGAGAAATACGGATTGATCAAAACGAATTATTGGTATGAATGCCCTGAATCGATAATTTAAGGCGTAATTCAGAAAATTCTAAAAAAAATTCGAATTTCACAGATTTTTTTTGGAGCAAAATGTATGTTCTTAGAAGGTTGCACAAGGGCGTCACAATGCCCAAAAATAATAATGATTTTCAGCCATGTTTAAAGTTAAAATAGATCAAACACTCACCAAGCCGCGGCGACGACCGTCGAGAGCAATACGATAGTTCTGAACTGCATCTGAAAGCGGGGAGGTGTAATCGTTAAAACCAGAAGAACGCAAAAATCAAGGAGCAGAATCAAAAATCGAAAGGAGCAGGGTCACACGGTTTTGAAAATGTCCCCGGATGTGATGCCATTTGTGTGTGCAGACGACTGGTCATTTTTTGATCGCGCCAAGAGGCCAGCCAGCCAGCCGGCTGCGGGGGATCAAGGGCGTTAGGCCGGAAAATCGACCTCCGAACCCTCGGTTGAGTGGCAATTTGCCTGGCGAAAAAAATTGGGCGGAACGGAAAATTCAGTATGAGGAATAATCTTCATCAAAGTATCCCGAGAGCTTGAAAAATAACTCGAAGACCAATTGTTCAAAGCTGATTATTTGTCGAAAGTAGAGTTTTGAAAATGCCTAAAACAGCTTTTTCAAAAACAAAAATATCAAAAAATCTACAAAACGAGATTCAATTATCAATAAATTTTTTGAGTAAGCCAACAAAAATTCTTGTTAAAAAATCTAACCCTAATCATCATTTGTTAAAATATATCGAGCTTGATAAGGGAAATAAAATAATTTTGCTTTACTGGATCCCGAATCGGAATTAAGGCAAATATGGCACGTAAGCTACACAAAAAAAAACACGACAAGCAGAAGCAAGCCTTAAAGGCCTTAGAAAAATTTTGGCAAGTCCGATGCTTGAAAACGGGCAATAGACTCGAGGGCCAGGAATCGATCGGATCATATTTCGTCTTAAGTTAGCAGGTGTCTAGGTTAGTGTTGAGTTTAACATTTCTGGGGTACCTCAAACCTTAAAAACGCTTTTTTCCTATCGAGGAGTAGCGCCATAAAAATTGAGACAAGCTCCAAAAAGCCCTTAGAAAAAATGGCCCTGGCCCTGAAAAAAGGGCCATTCTCCTGCAGACACCCAATAATGGGTGAAGGTGTTGGAAAGTGGTGTTGGCCAGGGTGGGCCTGGATGCTTCCTTCCCAATGGAAGGAAGGAGATCGATAGTCTGGACCTCTAGCCGGTGTATGAAAAGAGAGGGAAACAAGGGCCCTGGGAAAGGCAGACTAGTCGGGGCAAAAGCTCCGCTCCGCCCTCCGACCGCTCGGGGGTTAGAGCCAGTCACCCTTATCCGGCCGCCGCATCTCTAATAAATATTTGGGCACTTGGGGCGCTTCCGGACTCGGGGCAAATGCTGTCCCGATGGTTTAGAAGACTGGGAAATTTTTTTGGGAAGAATGTTGCCTGATTAGATGATTTTGACGCTCGAAAATTGGTTAAAAACCCGTCAAGAAATATTTGGGCACTCTGGATGGTTTCCATATATAGAGAAATGTTGATCGATTGATCTGAAATTTTTTTAAAATTTCGGATAAAAAATGAGAATTTTCTGATCAGATAGAATGAAGAACTATGAGCAATAAAGTCGGCAATTTATTGTAATTAAATAGCCGCCAAAAAATTAAATTCCAAATTTTCCTAATTTTTAATTTAGGATTGTTATATGGAGTAGAATATCGCCTTAAAAAACTGCCAGAAACCGTCAAGATTTCAGAAAAATCCGTGTGTTTCACTAGAGGCATTCCCCCTCTCTATCGCTCTCTCGGTCTTTGGTCTCTCTTTCTCTCGTCTCTCTCTTGGTATGTTGATTTTCTACATTTTTCAAAGCCCGCGCAAAGAAAACTTTTTTATTCTCAAGACGCCAAAGCCGATTGCTTTTTTACCGGGAAAACGTCAAGAGATTTTTGTAAAAAAATTGCAACAAGAATTTTCGTTACCGAAGAATTTTCATAAGGGTATAAATCGCTCAAAAAGCAATACGAAGCCAAACAATGTCTAACGAAGTTCGCAAGAAATTCCAACAACCAGACACCTGGACGCCAAGTGCCAGAATTGAGCCGATCGGTCGTTCGGTGATAAAATTGTTGTGTCGGTGGCGGGGGCCGATTCGGTGGGGGAGCCGTGAGAAAGCCGGTGGTCAATGTAAAGCCTGCAGCCCGGTGGAGGGCAAGAAATTTTTTGGTAGGCAGTGGAAGCAGAATTGAGAGTGCCCACCGACGGGGGGCAGATCGGAAAAGCAAATAGGGTGAGCAAAATTGACCTAGACGCGACGGGGCTTCACTGGAAAACCGAGCATTACTGACGCTCCTCTGCAAATAGCGGCTAAGAAATTGGCGCAAGCAACATAGTTGCGCTTTAAATAATTAGGAAAAGTTTGAGTCTGAAGGTGTACGATGCGAGCCGCTTTTCGGCGCTGGGGACAGCGGTCCAATCGCTTAGGAAAAGCTTAGAAGATTTACTAATTTGAGAAAAGTACATTTTTAGAGAGAGAGAGAGAGAGAGGGAGAGAGAGAGAGAGAGTAAGAGAGAGAAAGAGAGAGACATCGCGAGATAGACAGAGCGAGATAGAGAGAGGGAAACAGATAGAGAGAGAGAGAGAGAGAGAGAGAGAGAGAGAGATGGACCCAATGAGTTAGAGAGAGTGAGAGAGAGCGAAAGAGAGAGCGCTTGAGAGAGAGTGAGAGAGCCAGAGAGAACGCGATCCAAATTGACTAGGCCTGGTCGTGGCGCTTTTGCAAGTTTTATAAACAACTTTTTCACTCCACCCGCGACCGTTAACTTCCGCTCCGTTCCACCCTCAACTTTTTGAGCGGCTGCCAAATAGACCATAGTCAGTCTTTTCGTTTCCTGTCCTTGCCCTTCTTTTATATGAAGTGATCGCGCGAAAATGTGTGGCTGGCTGGGGAGAGGAACCGGTCGATAAATCCTTTCCTATCAGTTTTTGTTTTCAGAGTTCTGGGTATTTGCTATTCCGCGTAAATATCAGCTCATTTCTTGCGAATTTTCGTTCAAAGAATTTCGCTTTTTGCCTATTCCTCTCATTTTTGGGTCCGTTATTCGAAGTTTTTCGAAGAACGATTTTCTCCTTGAGATTTATATAAGTCATTTCCCAGTTTCAAATTCAATCAATGACTCGTGACTTCCTCCAAAAAATTCCCTAGCCGCGAATTTTCCAGGAATGCTTCTCCTCCTTCGAATATTGGTTTTTCTAGCCGGGACTGCGAGCGCCTGCTTTAGCGACAAAAATCATACTTGTCTAAACGTAAAGTTGATCCTATCCACATCTATACTATTTTTATTTGAAGATCTACAATAAATGCCCGTTTCCGGTGTATCCGGCTTTTACCGGAACTACCGTACCGGCGGACGGGGGCTTCCGGTTGGAGCCGTGGACCAGCAAGGTAGCTTTTCGGCAAATAATTCGGAGGCACTGAAGTTTAAACTTTTCAATAAAAACTCAGGAACTTCGTTAGCGCATTAAGCAGGCGTTTTTAGGTAGTACAAGTCCCCAACGGATGGCAGGGCAAAATTTGGTCTCGAATGCAGTGTGACGAGCGCATGTTTTGTGCGACCGGGGATTGCGGGACTGGTGTAAGCTTATACAGGGTGTCCCAAAAAAGCACCCCTCCGGCATTTTGCCGTATTGCATCCGATCGGTCCCAGAATTGGACCCGAGGTGTAACAGGCCCTAAATAACTACAATCCTGACTTATAGCTAGATTGCTACAGTAGTTTTCGAGTTATCGCCAAAATATTATTTTTTAAGCAATTCTCAACAGTTTTTTCGGCTATCTTTTTGGACTTTGAATCGATTTGCGTCGACTTCCGACTGCGAATCCCTAATTTCCCTTCATATAGGGGCGACTTTGCTTACAAAAATTGCTGAAATCACCGGTTATTTGATCAATTTTCTATCAGGAAAAAAATTCTAGGGGGAAAGAAGGCTTGCTGCTTGATTTTCACCTAATATTCGCAAGGTCGATTCCCACGAAGACCCTATGAAACACGCATATAAAGTTTATTTTTGTTGTATCTCGAAAACTACTTAGCGATCTGGCTATAACTCAGGATTGTGGTTATTGAGGGTATGATACACCTTTCGTCCAATTTTGTGACCGATCGGATGCAATACGGCAAAATGCCGGAGGGGTGCTTTTTTTGAGACACCCTGTATACGGGATCTAACGACCATTATTTAGAAATCCGAATGCGAAGGGAAGGATGGAAAGCCACCGTATACAATGGCTGAATTCAAGATGAATCCTGGGGGTAGCAATGGCCAGGATCGATACACGATCTCGCTGGCAAACGGATACAACGTGCATATGATTATTATTCCGATCGATGGGACGTTCCGGTTTACGAAAGGTTGGTGGATATTCAGGGTATAAAATTCCTATTAAGGACGCATGAATCCATTAATAAGAAAAAATTCAAGGAAGTTGATTGTTTCCCCAGGTAACTACGATTGCTCGATCGGCGGTGGTTGCGTAGATGACTTGATCAGTAACTGCCCAAATGAGCTGCAGGTTTTGTCGGTAAGTTCATATATTTTTTTTAATTAAAGTACCCTCAGGAAGGTCGATTGGTGGCTTGTAATTCACCCTGTCACGTCTTCAAATCGGATTTGCATTGCTGTAGGTAGGAGTTGCTCGATTTTCAAAGTATAGTATTTAGAGGAAAATACAACACATCATCAGCATGCCCGGTATCGGCTTACGGGGCTGTTTTTAAGGTATTGAACGTCTTTTTCTACGCCAATAAACACTTTTCGTTCGCCTTAACACCCAAAATCAATTCAGATGATGTGCCCGGCCAGCTACAGCTACCCTTTCGACATGAGCGCCCAGGCGTTCACGTGCCGGGGCAAGGAAAAACCGAGCGCCGCCTACACGGTGCAATTCTGTTGAGATGGAATGTGTCTGTAAATAGTTGACGAGCCAATAAATGGTGATTGAATTTATAAATGGTTATTTGGTCCAAAAAAATTGGGTTTATGAAGCCCGCATAGACCGCATAGATCGGTTGGGTTCCTGTCAAAAGATTACTCCGCCGTTTAACATTCGAAATTTTGCATATTTTTTATTTTTAATTTTTAGGGTTTATAGGCTTTTTCATCATTTTTGCACAAACAAAAACGATGCTTTCGCATTATCGGTGGGGGGGGAAGGGAACCTAAGCTTTTCTCTGAATCTAGAAATGTCTAATGTGCGTGTGTTAGTGTTTTAATCTTAATTTTAGTAAAGTTTAGCTATATTAAAAGTAGCTTTCCAGAGCTTGAAACCCATATTCGTTGATTCAGAGCAGGTGTATCTCTAACTGAAACCCTGGCTATGGGTGATAACGACACCTCGAATCGACCAAATTCGACAACAATCTATGAGGAAACTACCACCGAATATTGGGAATGCATTGAATATCCGACAGGCGAATATTTATATACCGACCCGGTTGGTGGGCGCTACGCCGGGAATTGGTTGCCTATACAAGCGGATAGAAATGTTGCCACCGACCCATACGTGGTTACGGCGCTCTTTATGGTATTGCCGAAAGAGATAAACATCAGCATATTTTCCTAGACCGGCCTTATTGGTCTTACCTTAACGCTGTGCTGCTTTCGCATAATCTATCATCGCAAAACGCTTCACCGCTCGATCAGGTGGTATCTGTTTTTCGACTGTTATTGTCGGTTCAACGAGGCGATTACTTTGTTTTATTTTTGTCATTGCGTGGCGACGTGGGTACTTTTTAGCAAGAAGTACACGCAGTGCAATTACACACATATGATGCGGTCCACCACGTAGCGCAACGCGTCACGTTTTTCAGTTGGTGGTGCGTCAACATGGAGAATGCCCCATTTCACGGCTTCTTCTTCAACACTATAATATCAAACTTACAAATGGCCATGCCGTACGCTAGCCCGATACTAGGGAATGCACTATCACTCAATAGGCATGAAAGTTTGATTCTTTGAAATGAGAGTAAATTCTGCAGAGTATCTGCCATCTTCTTCGGAGGCCGCTACTTTGCCAAACTCGAACACCTGGCCCTCCCACACGCATTGCTTTCTTTCCTGCTCCCGATAGCATTTTTCGGCTTTCAAATCGGAAATAGTACGTTGGAAAAATGATACTTAGAATGATATTTTAGTAATGAATCCTTATACCGGCTATTGGTGTTACGCCGGGTGGTACTTCAGTCCTCAAGCGTACAATATGATAAGTTTTGGCGCGTGGTTTGGCAACTTCAGCATAAGCCTATTAACTTCTGCCGACCGAGTGCTCTACGGTATCTTGGGAATCAATTTTTTGCTCGACGCGATGACGCTGTGGAGGGTGCGGCGTTTGGTAGGTCGTGATTTTTGTAGTTTTCAACAAGCCAAAATCGATAATCAGAACCGCTTTAGGCCCGAAAATCAGGAAAGAAAAAACGAGCCGACGTTCGACTATCAATGATGGTAGTAAATCTTGAACGATCGAAATTTCTAAAACGAAAATTAAGATGATATCCACCCAATTTGTCACCATCATATTCCTCTTCGCTCACTACCTAACAAACTTTGTCGAAGATCACGCGTCCATAAACACGCCGATCATGAACTTCATCATCTTAGTCCTGGTACCGTCGCTGGGGCGTCACGTTATAACGTAATTTTCGACTAAACACACATCAGTTTCGAATTGCAGACTTCTTGTCATCTGCTTTAATATAGAGACCGCGAAAAAGAAGATGTCGATGGTGACTGTGAGTGGAGCGGTGTCTTCTGGTCGACGTCGGAGTACAAAAACTACAGTGTTATAAATGCTATCGAGTTAACTCGCTTAGCGCGAATAAAACAATAAAACTTTCACTGTTTCAGGGTGTCCTTAAGTAAAATCGGTAACACTTTACTTTACCCCCCCCCCCCCCGCCACAGCCGAAAGTTCCCTAAGTTTGCCGTATTCTCGCTTATTTTGTCGGGATTCTTGCCAAACCATTCGATAGAGCGTCGAAAAATATACGAAGGGTTTTAATTTGAGCCTACAATAATGTGGAATAAAAAAGTTAGAACCAAAAACTGCCGGTTCGGGGCGGGGGGGTGGGGTAAGTAAAGTGTAGCGGTGAAATCGAGTGAAGTTTGGCCAAGGCAAAAACCAATTTGCCAGAAGACTACGGCTCTGCGTATCTCTCATGCTCTGAACCAAGCATCAACGAATTCATCAAAACCACCTGCTAACCGAACCCAAGCAGACAACAAGTCTTGTTTTCCCACGGCACAGCTCAATTGTATAGCTTTCTAGTCATTTTCTATGTTCTATCCGTCACACGACGAAGAGCTCTGGATATCCGCGGTGTTTACCTTTATCTGGTGCCTCGGAATGATCCCATTCGGCCTCACTGTCTACTTCCTCCTCCGCGGAAAGGCTCCGCTTGCGAAAGAATACAAAATTGCCCAATTGAACCTGCTGGTGAAGGCTTCGTCACAATTATGGTGCCAAGCTTCATCTTAGGTTGCTGCCGCACTGACCGACACCTTAAGCTCCACGCTGCATCCCATCTTCTACGCCCCGTATCCAGCGATGAAAGCCTCTGCGCTGCCACCAGAAGCAAACTTTGCGGTCCACGCGCTTGTGGTTAGTTGTTCGGGTAATGTTCTAAATAGTTGGCCGGGGGCAAATTTTGGGCCCTTGCCATAAATTTTTATTTTACATTTACCCGGGCTAAAATTGAAACTCTTAGTAGATTTTTTGACGCTCGATCCAATCGCGTCTTCAAAACATCGAAAAATAGCTAACATATCGGAAACTAAAGTTTTAACCCCATTTTCATAGGTAGTTTTAATCTTGCTATCACATTTTTGTATTGCATTATTTTGGGCTATAGTTAAACTCTTAGTATACATTTCGATGCTATGGGATCAAGGAAACCCGGAAAAACTAGCCAAAAATATATCGAAAACCCTCCTGCGTTTTGCCCCAGTAGGTTTTCACCCCCCGGCCAAACAGAATAGCACCGTTGATCACGGCGCTTTGCAGCGCCTTTAGCTCGTCTATGCGACGCCCGCGCTACACGTAGTCTGCTCGGTGCTGACCATCGGCCTGTTGAGAATGGCGCACACGTCCCAAGGGCACCGCCGGTTTCACAACGCGACCAAGGCAGCTGTTGTCGTGGCCTACGTTAGCATGCTACTTCTGGTGAACGCGTTTATTTGGACCTCCTGGTTCGAAGGAGCTGTGCTAAATGATCCCGCAGAGGTGAGTTCTTGATTCTTCCACTATATATCGATTCTTTTTAGAGGGCGTATCGTTAACAGCGGGCAAGGCAAACTTACCAGAGAGACAAGCCGGCCCAATTTAAGCAAAACAAATTCGTTGCAAATATAGTAATTTTCCAATGTTTTAATATATACGGGGTGTCCCAACAAAAGCACCCCTCCGGCATTTTGCCGTATTGCATCCGATCGGTCCGAAAATTGGACGAGAGGTGTGTATCAGACCCTAAATAACCACAATCCAGAGTTATAGCCCGCCAGCTACAGTAGTTTTCGAGATACAATAAAAATAAACTTTATAATGCGTTTTTCATGGGGTTTTCGTCGGAATCGACCTTTCCAATATTAAGTGAAAATAAAGCATGCACACACAAGCACGATGCAAATTGATGCAAAGTCCAAGAAGATAGCCAAAAAAACTGTTAAGAATAGCGTAAAAAATAGTATTTTCGCGATAACTCGAAAACTACTGTAAAGATCTGGCTAACAGTCAGGATTGTGGTTAGTTAGGGTCTGTTACGGCCCTGGTCCAATTTTGGGACCGATCGGCTGTAATACGGCGAAATGCCGGAGGGGTGGTTTTTTTGGGACACCCTGTATGTAGGAACTTTTTGCATATGACTATAAAAGTGTCAAAAAATCTTCATTTTTTTGGTAAAAATATCGTAAAAAATGACGAAGGCCGGTAAAACCTGTCAGGACTTGAAGACAACAGATGTTGGAGTTTGAAGGGGCACCCGGAAGTTCCTAAAAAACGAGAAATTTTTTTCTTTGATGAATAGGATCTGCCAAAGCTTGCCTTCCTCGCGCGCCAGCCCGGATGCGTCGAAAGTTCTTAGATTCACCTACAACGGTTCACACCTTCAGATCTGCCACATAGAGACAAACTTGTGCGGCATCGAGTTTCTCTATTTTTTTGACCAGCTTGATACAAAGCTGAATTACTTCCGAATCTTCGCAGCCCTCGCCGGCCTCTGTACCTTATGCGTCGGGTTTGTGTGCCATGTGCACATTTCGGATTACCTGGATATGTTAACGAATGCGGCGGTCAGCCAGCGCACACGCAATATGCATCGCTATTTCTGCTTCATCTTTCTTTTACAGGTATTTTTTACAGGTATCTTTTACAATGATATTTTCTATCATAGACACTGTTTGCGGCAATTTTCATGGGGTTGCCATACCTTTTATTCATTGTAGTCTGCTTAAAGTGGACCGACTGGGAGCCTGTGGTGTGGCGTAGGGTGTGAAATACGGTGGAAAACAAACACTTTAGTCGCTGGGCTGACATGCTTATGGAATGGAATTCATAGTTTGGCGAATAATCTGGTTATCTTGCTGTTCACGAAGGCATACAGGAATACGATGGGGCAATGGGTCGAAAAACTATATTCGGTAATTTTGCACACCAAAAAAGTTGCACTTCGCTGAGTCCTGTAGATTTCTAGTGGTTTGAGATGATCCTCCTTTTAGAAATGTATGCGTTCTGCGCATTTGGACCCCGGCCTGCGGTTGCCGCACGATTTCAAACCGTCGAAGCGGATCAGGGACGGCGCCAGCGAAACCAAGGGCAACTTCCGGGCCACCGTCATGCCGCCAAGGGTATGATGGTCATGAGAAGCGGGCTTTATTTAAGATTTTAGACGCAGATATTTTATTAAAGGTCGTGGAAAGGTAGCGTTTCCGACGACGAAGACCATGCCATTGGAAAACACCCCGGGAGCTGAGAGTACGAATCCGGCGCTTCCGTGAATAAACGCGTTTCTTGCTCCTGTCCCCCGTCCACACATGAATGCATCATACAAAAACACATTCCAGCCAGGTGCCTTGGCATAAGGGCCGTAACAAACCCGCCGAATTTCGGGGGGGAGACGGTCAAAAATTTTTGACGAACTCCTCCCGGTCGACAGTTTTTGTAAAACGGCCAAGAAACGTCCTAAAACTTGACAAACAGCGCCGCAAGCTGAAATTTTTGAGAAATATAGATTTATTTTTACAGGTCGAACCGATTACTTGCGACGATCGAACTCTCTGAAGGCTTTCGCAACTACTCAGAGCAAGGCAATTTTTGGAGTGCAATGCGTATAGCAAACGTTTGATTTTCAAGTAAATTCTTTTGCGAAATAAATCTCGGGCAGCTACCTAGTGGATAGGAACCGCTATTTGCCACGATCATCCATCACGATGTCGCTCGAAACGGGGTGATATTTTCTTGCGACAGAAATTTTTTTGCCCGCTTGCACCATGATCCGCACGGCGCGTCCATTTTTCGCATTGTGGTGCAACTCCCTCGCTGGATTTAAAGTCTTTCTTCGCATGGGACAGCTTACTCGTATGCTAAAATTTATTCCGTTGCTGTTTTCATTTCATTTGAACTTATTAGTTTCGAAGTCGCACCATTCCCGTGGCCGAATGCTATACGCTTAAAACTATTGTTGACTTCTAGAATGATTTGCAATTACCGCAACTTTACGCAGAATTTGGCTAGCTCGATCTTGTAGGGCTTGCATGCCTTTTGAGAGACCTTCAAACGAAACCAGAGAGCTAGGAATAACCGGAAATTCGCTGACTCGTTCTACCGTTTGAGCCTTCTGCACGAATTTTATCATTGTTTGCATAACTCCAGATATTTCCAGATGTGCGCCACCACCGGCTTCATCGCGTTACCCACAGCCTTCCATCGACGTCTCCTCAGCTATCTGGGCAGCGCCGACCCTATGACACGATTCCGGTACGCACGTGTGAGTCGGAAGCTGTGGAAAATGACCGAAGAATCGGAAGATAACCGAATGGATCTGGAAGTGGAATTTGAAGGCCATCGCACAAGATACCTCATCGCTCCATTCACCTGGAAACGCTTCTATAATGTCCGAACTCGCCATTTACTATTTTCTGGGACAACTGTGGCAAAGACAACACTTGAAGATGGATATCGACTACCAATTCCGAACGGAATGAAGACGCACAAACTAGATTGTTGGTGGGAGTTCGATACACCAGCAGAAGAAATTGCGCTTCTCGACAAGATGAAGCCCGATTCTAGCAAATACCAAGAGCTCTTCCTAATATGGGCGTTATCCCCGCTGAAGCCTCGTTGTCTAAGCTTTCGCGAAGATGAATGGGCAAAGGAAGTTTTCGACCCGATTTGGGAATTGAAACGGAATTCCGCCAACTTTTTCCTAGAAATTGTTCGGCCACAGGATTACGGGAAAATTCAATGTTTCATCGATGGCCTGGTGAAGCAATGGAAAGCCGGCGCCCGTGAAATCGAGAAGATACAGATCTTCGCGGGGCTCGGCGGTCATGCTCATGATGAGGAGCATGTTCGAGAGGATGGTCAGAGAATACGGATTTATTATAAGAAACGGCGAAATGGTAAGGGCCGATATGTGATTCGAAGATTAACCCTACCATCCGATGATTTGCGGCTTCAAGTCAGGGCGCCCGTTGACTTCCTTGCTCTACCCTTCCCTTTCCATCGACGTATATGCCATTACTTGGGCAGTTCGGATCCGGAGACGCGCTTCCGCTACGCCCGCGCCAATCCACTCCTATGGGACCTGACGTGCGCGTCTCAGGATAACAGAAGTGCTTACCGGGTGGTGCTCGATGGTCTAAGGACGACCTGGTACGGCTTTGGAGACCGCAGAGGTGCCGAGTTCACAAACCGGCGCACCCGTGACTTGCTACTTTCCGGCACCACTATCGCTGAAGCTGAATTGATCAATGTAGGTCCCAAGGAACTACCCACCGGCTTTCGGACTCACATACTAATTCTGGCCCAAAGTAACGAAGAAACGAGCGTTCTTCTGAAGGATTTGACGCCAACTACCGGGATATACCAGCGCGTCGAGCTGCTCACAGCGACTGCGGATCCCACTCATCTTTGCGTTCAACTCGCTATTCAGTCCAAATACCTCCACGTCACATTAAACGCCAACCTGTGGGCAACGGATAAGATTCAGCCGTTCATTGACACGCTCGTTGCGGAGTGGAAGGCAGGATTCAGGGAAATTGGTGAAGTTTTGATCAAAGCCGAAGCGGGTCATGCACGAATCGAAGAGCACGTGCGTCGAGATGGGCAACGAATACGCATTAGTCTGCGTTTTCACCCACGAAGCGCATCCGCTGGCCGTGACTATCGAATTGAAAACGTCACGTCGTCCCCACAAGGCCGTACTCCGCCAGCGTGGAGCAGGACTCCTGCTTCCAAATTTCCGCCGACAACCGTAACCAAACGTTCTCTGAGGAAAATAAGTACTTGTTTAACAAGGAATTGCTGTTTTTAACCTGTTATCGCCGAACAAAAGTATTTTCTCTAGACGGATTTGTTTCGGCTCGCTGAAAAAAGGCAATCAATATTTTATAAGAACACTGGTAATGACATATTCAATCCTTTCGGAAAATAAAAAAATCAGTCGCACCACAAAAAAACTATACAACAATTACAAAAACTACAATTTCCGGTTAAGCAGCATCCATGAAAACATTTTCAACACCATCAGGGATATTCACGAATGTCAGCTCATACAATTTTTGTTCAAACGCTTCAATGCATTCTCGGGGATCTTGCCAATGTTTTTGCGGCAGGAGCTTGAATACATTTGTGAAGGTATGACTCTAAAAAGTTCATAATTAAGGCTGGAAAACTTCAAAAACGCACATATAACACTGCAATCCTTGCATAATCAAAAACTCCACGTTTGCCATCACATTTTTCTCCGATGGTTTCGATCACGCAGGTCGCGACGGCTAGCTTTGGACTTAAGGAAATTCTTGAGCGGTGATTCTACTAACTTGCACTCGTTCGAGCCGTTTTTGCTATTTACTAGATAGCTGCACAATTCGTTGACTGGCTTTCCTATCGACGATGAACATTCGAATAATTTGGCGTCTAAAAATTTTTGCCTCAAAACGGTTGATAACTGACAGCGCACATTCAATTGCGTTCCGCTACATGCCAAACTGTGAATCCGGCGAAAGCCATCAGCAACAAGATGCAAAATCTCGTAATTGACGGCCAACCGCCGGACAACTTCCGATTGAGTCAGATGGATACTCTGATTTTTGAGGTTCGCCAGCTTCTCAACGATATTGTCCAGCCCGAAAGCAGGCTGTTGGGATTTGTGTAGATAACTAAAATTTAGCCATGACATGGAGATTATCACTTAAGTCTTACTCGCAAGTCTCATTGCCCAAGGCCTCTAACAATTCAGCGTGCGATCCCTGGAAAAACGTAATAAATGATGGGTTGGATTCGTCAGCGAATAAGGGGGTAGAAAAAAATATGGCCGGCATCAGCCAGCGCGATATGTTCATTTTGCAAATCAATAGCAGAATTGAAAGCCATAAATCCTCATTGGCAAAAGTTTTATTGAGATTTTTACGAGCAACTTCTTTCTGTGGCGAAAACAATCAATCCCGACTCGAGCAGCGCAGACATGTACGTGGAATTAATGCGGAGTTGTATCGGGCCTTTTCTCTGTAGCTTGCAGAATTGCGGAAGCTTTGTTGCTCGTTCATGTCAATCTATGATTGTTAACATTTTTTTATTCCCCGCCACAACTTTCTCAGGCGGCAAAAAGATCCACAGTCCCTTCACTAGGGAATGGTCTCCACTCGACATCGAATTTCTTGTTGGAAGTGAGCTCATTTTGTAGATCTCGACGAGACGAATCGATTGATGTAACTTTTAGCTGCGGATACCTTATTTTAACAAAGTTACAGCCCATTAAAGTTTTTGACCTACCTTCATAAGCCCTCCCCGCATCCCCTAGACCGTGGCCTGGTGGCCTAGTGGCGTAGTAGGCGGCCTCTGGGGAATCAAACGAGGTTTCGAATCCGCTCACGATTTTTATTTTTTGCTTTTTGGTCCTAACGTTCCTTTTTGCTTTCTCAGGACGTAGGCAAACTCTTTTTAGATTATTTAACCTCTATGAAAGTTTTAGAACGATAAAACGAGCTTCGGAAAAATTTTGGGGCTGAAGGCACAACCCCATCATGCCCATACCTTGGCAAATTAGTTATTGTTAACATTCAAATGCCTTTGTATTCGCCGGGGGCGTTAGTATTTACTAGGGAATTAAATATACAACATTTCAAATTTTATTAAATTTTTTTGGAGGTATAAAATATACAAAATCCATTCCAATGGCCACTCCTTCGAACAAAAAATTGTAAAGTTTTTTCCGAAGCCGTTTTTCGTACTAAAACCTTAATGGAGGTTAAATAATCTAAAAAGAGTTTGCCTACGTCCTGAGAAAGCAAAAAGGAACGTTAGGACCAAAAAGCAAAAAAATAAAAATCGTGAGCGGATTCGAACCCTCGTTTGATTCCCCAGAGGCCGCCTACTACGCCACTAGGCCACCAAGCCACGGTCTAGGGGATGCGGGGAGGGCTTATGAAGGTAGGTCAAAAACTTTAATGGGCTGTAACTTTGTTAAAATAAGGTATCCGCAGCTAAAAGTTACATCAATCGATTCGTCTCGTCGAGATCTACAAAATGAGCTCACTTCCAACAAGAAATTCGATGTCGAGTGGAGACCATTCCCTAGTCAGGTGCGTTCAGGAAAAGCAGCTCATAGGCGGCATCGAGCACTTCCGACATGCACGGCCAATCCATGCTGCCGACAGAAGGTTCGGCCGTCAAGCCCTGGACCTAGAATGACTTTTGAGTCAAGAACAACACCAAAAGCAGGCAAATTATTAAGACTAGCAAGCCACGCACCGATACCAAAAACAGTCGGGTCGTATCAAAGATTGCACTCCTTCCCCCGCATATCTTGGCGATGTTTGTGAATAAGCAGTTTGTGTAGGATACGCTGGTTCTAGATCATCGGGGTGCCGTAACGACACAAAAAAAATACTCACTGGCAATCCGTTGCTTCACCCTTGGTTCCTCCCGACATATTGAAGCCGGTTGCATTTCGGCATTGTTTATCAATAAATTCTCGGCCGGCCATTGCGCATGCCATTACGCGTGTGTCTAAACACGGAAGTTGAAGTACTTCAACTAGATGAGCAAAGCATGACTAGAGAAGTTTTTTTGCTGAAAAACAAATGTTACCCATTCCTTTAAAGCCAAAACTTACATCTGTGATTAAAGACAGTCCCGTCGCACGCCAATTTCTGCTTTTTCGAATACAGCTCCTTCTGAGCCTCGACTGTTTCGACAATTTTTCGCAGCCGGCCCATATCCTCCAGTTGCTCTCGCGGATCGGCGGTTTGATTTTGAATTGCCTCCAACCCTCGCGGGATCATCGCCTTGCGCTTGTTATACATATATGTATGTCGAGGGAAAACTGACGCTTGGCTAGAAAATCTCTTCAAATAGGCCGTCACCTCTAACTTACGAGCATACTATTGCTTCAATGACTTCGTACGAATCATCTGTCACGGGGGATTCGAACTGGAATTTAGAGGTTATAAAATTGGAGCCTTGGAGCCAGTTGACATTAAAATGCTTCCTATAGATGTAGTATAGTTTACATACCGGACGCCGAATCTCTATCGAAATCGCCACATTAACAAGGAGAACCAGAAATAAGCGCGGTGCCTTCCCCATTTCCGACGTTGGATGGAATGAAGAAAAAGCCGATTGGGAAGGGGAGGTTTGAAAAATTTGCAGACTCGACAATGATTGGACGTCAATTTTGTCTCTTCTGGGCAAGGTTTATTTTAATATTTTGCCTACGAAGCTGCTTGTCACTCTTAAAACATCACGCCCGAATAAGAAGCCATCTGATTATTGTAGCAGAAGCATTGTGAAAGATAATAAAGTATCTATCTATTTCAATAGATCCCTAAATCGTAAAAATCGGAGACGACTGCGGACCGCTTGAAGGGGTGCTTTTTTTGGACACCCCCGTAGAAGCTCCGGGAATAAAAGGGTGTGGCTGATGCGTATCCGAATTAGCAGCTCCGTCAGTAAATGGTTGGTTGTCCAATCGCCCTGGATTGAGTGCAAATAGATGAAAATAAATTCTGCGTCGAGTTAGTGTTGTTTTATTGACACCCTGTAGACTTACATCTTTGATTCAACATTTTCCCATTACACGCAAAACGTTGCAGTTTTTTTGTGCAGTTCATCGAGCTTCTGCACCCACTCCAGCCGCCCTGACAAAAACCGGGCCGCATCCGCTCTCTGCTCCGGATCCGTGCGGATTGTATCGAATGCCTCCTCCGATGGTCGCGTAGGTGTTGTCATGCCACTGCGAGGAGGGCTCTCTGAAAAAAAATACAAAAAATAAAATTAAGGGAGCAAATCGAGTCGCTGGGATTTTTCAATTGAAGTTCGAATGCTACGATACGCGCAAGCTGCGCGCTCCATGTCCTTCACGGCCCAAACGATGCTTTCATTAGACGTGGAAGCATTTCCCTGGCGTAACGACAATACAGTCTTTGTGAAAAACACTACCGTATCCTCGACATGTATCGCCACTACGACATACGATAAGACAACGAAGGGGAAGCTGGCTCTCATCGCCATCTCCGCCGGTAAAACGAATTCTCCGGGGCGGGAAAATTCACAAATCTTGCAGACACAACAGTGATTGCTGCCTTTCCATTCGAGCTTTCTGGAACGCCAAAAAATTCAAATCAAGAAACAATTTCGGCAGAAAATTAGGCTTGGGAAATTACAAAATTAGAAAAATTAGGAATTAGAAAATTAGACCCAACCTTGTGCCTGGCAACCTTTTATTTAAACACAAAAATAACAGCAAACAGAGCCACAATCAAAGCCCAAAAATATCTTCTGTCCCTTTAGGGGCCTTCATAAAAATCAGCTTGTACATCGCGGCCACCGTTTCAGCGCCGCAGTGGCTGGGCTGCCGCTTATCCCTCGTGACCGCAATCATGGACTGCTGTGCCTAAAGTAAATGTACGTGATTTTGAAGCAGTGTCCAATGAGAAACTTACCTCAATCAACGTCAATCTGGCCATGTCAAATTCCGTATAACGTCCGCCGCAAATCTCGGCAAGTTTGGCTCCAGTACAGCTCAAATGCGCGGCATATGTCCTGAATCCGATGTATAAACGACGCATATAACGTGTAACTTGACCGTCGTCTATCTGACTGGATTCAGATTTTTACTAGTATTGGAGGCTTTTAACTATGTACAAGCGGCCGCGTTGTCAAGGCAGAATCAATAGGCACAAAAACGGCCCAGCTAAATACTGATTTTTCGGAAATTTCCGTACACATACTTTAGGATTTTCTTAGAAATGGAAAAAACAGCTTTGGAAAAGATTGCAAAAATTTGGGGTACGGTAAAGAGTTGGCAAAAAGCCTCGACTTTTATACAAATTTTGTAAATCACAAAACCCGGTGCGCAGAAATCCCTCCCACTTCATTTTGCGAAACATTTAGGAATCGAAATCCGTGAAAACAATTTAATTTGGCCAGAACCATTCCCTTTACAAAAATTTGCTTTAAAAATTAAGCTGAACCTAATTGCTAAGAGTTCACGTCGCTGGTACAAATTTGGACTTGTTCGGTTAGAAGATGATCAAATGCTAGGATTTTCAGGCAGAACTGGTAGCTCAGGATTGGATACTATAAAATCGTCATTTATCAACAACCCACGTGCACCGTTGCACGCCGTACTGCGCCTCCAGCGATTCAGCCCGGTATCTTCCGACTTCCGTTTCGCACTCATGGCGGCACCGTTCGCCGTGCATCAGTTCACAGGTAATTGCGTGCAAGACTGAAAGACGAACTTTCGCTTAGCCGGGCACGGGTTGTCTAAATCCGAATTTCCTGGCTCTAAACTCACATCGTTCATTAAGCACCTTCCCATCACACGCAAAGCGTTGCTGCCTTCTGTGCAGGGCATCGAGTTCCTCCACCCATTTCACATACTCGATCAAAAATTCGGCCACATCATCTCTTTGCTCCGGGGTCGCCTGGTTCTGCATGTACCGTAGGGTTCGTCCAATATCATAGTGGGTGTCGTTGTGCCATTTCGAGAAGGGAGCTCTGCAAAAACCCTATCTTATTTTTGCCAATGGTTTCTTCTGGCATGCGCTTTTCGTATTAGCCTGAACAGGGATTTTTTTTATGGTTAGCGACAACTGGGTACATAAAATAGTAAAATAAAATATATGATATTTTTACAACATCTTTAGTAGCTTATCATTCCGACTTTACAAAAACTCCCTGATAACATCTGGAAAAGCTTAACCATTTGGAGCAATTTCGCCACTTATCCTACATCTAGCTTTTTTAGTTTATGCTGCATCTTTTGATCTTGAAGACGTTTAAGAAATGCCATCAAAACGGGCTTGCTCGGGAAATGCTCAAAACGGAGCGAAAAACTATTCCTACCCGCATACTGCTTGCTCAGCGCGCCTGACGGCCTGCTCAACGACTTCAGCAGACGGAGATAGAAAGTCCTGGTGTGTACAGCTCCAGGTTTGCGAGAAAACCCTACCGTATGATTGTAATGTATGGCTACGACTGCATGGCATAGGAAAACCAGAGGCAGCCCGACGCGCATCGCCATTTCCCCTTGTGGAGAAATTTGTGAGAATTCAGGCGGGAAGGGGGAGGCGAGATTTTTTAGACACAACAAATGGTGGCTCATTTTCATCAAAAAAAATTGGGACGAAAAAGTCCACAGTAATTAAATAGCCGACCCGTCAATTCAAATTTTTTGGAAACATAAGTTTTGGTAAAAACATTATTTTATTTCGACATAATCGCATGAGATTTAGGAATCAAGCCGCAAAAATGTCCACGACGTCATCAGGAGCGTTCAGGAAAATCGCCTCATAGACGGCATCCATGGTTTCGTTGTAGCACGGTGGGGTGTAGGACTGCTCCCCATGAAGCTGAATCCGACGCGGTTTGTCCTGAAACGGCTGTTGTTACAAAACACGGCAAATTAAGAAAAATATTTGAGTAATGAGAAGGTACTCATTTTTAGGAACGGATGGCCTTTTTGCTATGTCGCATCGATAGTTTTTCCTTTAGATATGGCACCATGTATACTTTGAATAAATAACATACCAGCAATACCCCAAATCGAACAAGATCAAAGATTGCACGTTTGCCACCGCACTTATCGCCGATCAAGGCCAGTTCGCATTTTCGCATCGGGATCTCAGGGCAATCCGGGGATCCGTGGATTATGTGGCCGGCTTCCTTTTGGCAGATGTCGCCAATCGTCCGAGTGTTCGTGCTGACGCATGCAAATAGATCGGCAACTGTAAATTTTTTAAAACTAGGGGGAGATTCGTGAAGAGGTTCTGGATTGTTTGCGGGAGGATCACTTTTTGTTTTTTTTTGCCCCAACACATGCGATAACATATAATGTATTTTTAGAGTATTTTTTTAGTTTTTACCAGGGTTGAAAAGCCGCTTCGCGACTTTTCAACCCTGGCCCCGTCTGACCCGATTTTATGCTTCACTTTGCATACTTGTCCTGAATTCAAATGGCAAAAAATGAAAAACCACTTCTTCGGCCGCTTTACATAGTCGCGTCCCCACTTCCGGCCTATGCTAATTGTTTTTAACAAAGAAGTTTTCACAAAAACTTAAATTTAATGTCGATAATCGATAATTTTGTAAAACCTGATAGGTGTGCAGTCATCCCAAGACCATTGCGCACCTAATGACGTATCATACGTAGCCTAATACCCGTCCCTTCTTGAGATATCCTCCGGACAGACAGACGGAAGTGGATGCAAAGTGGCACACACACACACACACACAAACACTATTTTTTTATATATAGTAGGAAGTAGGATGATGGCTTTTAGAGAAGGCTGAGAGAGGCAGCCTTTTTTCATTATTTCTGATCGCGATTCGGACTTATTATTCAAAGTGTTGAATTTAATGGTTTTGGGACGGGGCCAGGGTTGAAAAGTCGCGAAGCGGCTTTTCCGATAATTTTATAATTCTTTTGATGGCCTTTTTTACCTAAATACTGCGCAAAATACAAAATGGATTACATTTCGGAAGCCGTTCAGAATTACTGGGAAAAATCTGGTTTCTCCGGCTAAAATTCACTCCGCTAACGGCCCCGAAGCTGTCGTGTCAGGTAGGCCGTGAACCTACAATGCGGCTTCAAAACGGTTCCGTTGCAGACAAGGGCTTGCATTTTTTGATGCAACAACTCCATTTCTGCTCTGACTTCCAGCAGATTGGCCAGCCCTCGCGTCTTCTCGGCTCGTACTTGCGGATCCGTTTCGTTTCGATAACGCTGCAAGGCGGTCTGGAGTGAGAAATGCTCGTCATATGGTCGAAAAATCCATTTTGGGACGGTCATCCTGAAATACCGGAATTTTTTGAGAAATTATGCACGTTTAAGTGTAGTTTACCCCTCCCCCCCCCACGCCGCTCGGCCCCAGCCAAGCCCCACCTACCGTATCTCGGCTCCCCGTTATGATACCGGGTAGTAAAGTATACGAAAGTACTCGCCAGAACAAGACAAACATTTTTGTATATATTTACAGACCTGTAGAGCGCCAGGGGGCCGAGATATGATAGTTGGACGCGGCTGGGGCGGGGGGGGGGGAGGGCGGGGCGTAAACTGCACTCCAACCATTATGCAAGATGAGCTGAATAGACATCGCAACCCTGATTTATAGCCAATAGCCGGATATAAAAAAACCGTTGATAAGGGTGTAGCCTACCGACAAAGCGCTGCCGGCTTTTCTGCGTCAACACCCGGTGGCGCAGAGAACTAAAATGATTTGACGTGCGCAACAGTGAGCGATGGATCGCTGCTGAACCTACCGAAGATCCAAACGGTAGTGCATGTACACCATAAAAGTAACAGATCAGGATAACGACCGCCACTTGCCCCATTTTGCAGATTGAAAATGACGCCTGAAAACGAAAATCGAAAGTGCTCGGCGAATTCATGGACAAAATAAAGACTGTCTTCTTCAATTTTGCGCTGTGCTTTGTCTGATTTTGCGGTTTTTCTTTAATCACAACATTTATTCCGGTGCCGCAATCGCTCATTGCCAAATGTTAACCTCATCGTAGGGCCCATACTGGTAGAGAAGGCTGTACAGTAGGTGGCTCAACCTCCGATAACACGGGCGCTTCTCCATGTTTTCGGGTGTGTTGGGGGTAAGCGCGTCGACGATACGGTTCTGAAATGGGGATCAAGAAGTCTGGAACGTTCCCTTACCAGGATAAGCGTCAGTCTGGCATTTGCAAAGATTTCATAACCGCCGCCACAGGCCGAGCCGGTTTTCATCATCACGCAGACGTCCACCTCGGGGTCGAAGCTAGAATAAAATTTAGTTTCTCAATTTTCTGAAAATCGGCCACGTTTTATCATCCAAAGTTTTCTAAAACGCGTCCTCGGAATGACGTTCGGGGCACGTCAGTGCACTAATGAACGATTCTCCAACCATTTTCTAGCTTTTCTGCGTCCACTTATCCGGCGTCGTGGGAGACCGTTTCCAAGAGCGCGTTTTAAAATACCACCTGATAGGCTTCGGTTTTGAAAAACTGGGATTGGATTGCTTCCTTAAACCCTGGCAACCGATTACCCGCAGTTCTCCCATTTCTCGTGGTCTCGATTCGGTTGCTGGCAGAGTTCCGTGGCAGCGCTCAGATGTTGCAGTTGGCATTCATGCGAGCTGAGAACTAAAGGAGTATGGGACTATTGGAAATATTCCCAATCTATTCAAGTTATTGTCAAAATAACGGCAGTCGTAATATCGAAATTTCTCAGAATTTCAGAATGTCAACACTTTCATAGACAAATCCTTGAAAAAAGAGCCTAAAAGCCCATTCCAAAGAATTTCGAGATAGAAAAGTTATTTCTTTATGGAATTACGACATTATAATTTTTGTCATGATAAATTTCGCCATTACAAAGTTCGATATTATGCTACAAATATCTACTAACAGATTTGGCTACCCTCATCTACCCACCGCTTGCCTTCATTTCGTCACCATCGCACATGATTTTATGGAGCCTGCGGACCCCGTCGTGAAGCTGATTGTCATCTGAGATCCTTGCTCTCAGTTTTGGCATCCGCTCATCGATTTCTTGGATGCTGGCTTGATGGAGAAACTCTATCTCTTCCTTGATGCTCTCTGGGCTCCATCCAATTTTTAGTGCGGAATTTAGGCCCCTAAACCTGACGTCAAAAAAAAAGCAAGCTCCATTACCGGCAGAAGCTCTTCTTGAATCCGTTTGGGAGCATCTCCGTGTCATTACTCTATGGCATAGAATTATTTTAGTAAAATTAAATCAACCTCGGCAGACTTTAACCAGCGCTGCGGGAAATTTTCCTCCCATCGCTCTTGAGCAGCTACCGATGGAGCCAAGAGCACGATCAGCGATAGATAGGAAAATACGGCCATTTTTCGTGTGCTTGATGAAAACTGCCGTTAACCGTCAAAACCGTTATATCAGGTTGGAACGAAAGTTCTGTCGCCGAGATTTTGGAAGGCTGGCTAAATTCGTAGATAGCTCCATTCTGCACATGCGATATGTCATTTTGTAGCTCTCGGTCTGAATGGTTCCGGGAGGAGGGTCCTAGGCCCTCAAAATCAAGAACGGCCGAGATACAGGCCCAAGAAGATTTTTCAAAAATTACGAGAAAGTGTTTTTGCAAGTTATCTCTGCATAGAGACATTTGCATGCGATACCTTTAACGCCAATCGATAGCTCTCGAGGAGTAGATATCGATAGATCTTGAGATCATCAAAATTGGACATTGGATGGCCGAGATATGGCCCCTTGAAGTTTAGCCCATTTCTTAGAACTTTTCCCGATTTCCCATACATTTCCAAAAATTTGACGGACAGGTGCCAAAAATTACCGCTTTATTTTTGGACTAGCGGAGCGGATTTTGAAAAAATGTATGGGAAATCGGGAAAAGTTCTAAGAAATGGGCTAAACTTCAAGGGGCCATATCTCGGCCATCCAATGTCCAATTTTGATGATCTCAAGATCTATCGATATCTACTCCTCGAGAGCTATCGATTGGCGTTAAAGGTATCGTATGCAAATCGCTCTATGCAGAGATAACTTGCAAAAACACTTTCTCGTAATTTTTTGAAAAATCTTCTTGGGCCTGTATCTCGGCCGTTCTTGATTTTGAGGGCCTAGGACCCTCCTCCCGGAACCATTCAGACCGAGAGCTACAAAATGACATATCGCATGTGCAGAATGGAGCTATCTACGAATTTAGCCAGCCTTCCAAAATCTCGGCGACAGAACTTTCGTTCCAACCTGATATATAAGCCAACTTTTAACGAAAAGTATGATTCATTTTTCATCAAGAAATTTAATTTCCCGAATCAGGGCAGTCCCGAGAGTCCCGAAAGCTTTGGCTGGGCGACTCATTTCAAACAAAACTTTTTATTTTTCAGCCCAATTCGGGCTGCTGTCAATTTCAACTGTTGCTATTACCAAATTCGCGACAATACCTTGCATTTATACAGCCAGAACACGGCAATTTTGGCGGCGTGGGGCGCAGCATGGCCTCTGAACCATATTTTGACGGGGCACTGGTGAATCGGCGATTCGCAGCAAGAGTCTATTTGGTTTCATGGCAAATTGTAATGGCAAAAACGATACAACTAGGAAAAGGCTTCTACAAGTCCAGCTTTTATTTATTTTCAAAAGGTTTCTCCGGTTTAGTGGGGAGGTGATTTAGCGCGGGGAAACTTAGTTTAATTTTTTGCATTATTTAGATTAATAATGCATACAGATTTTATCGCGTTTTCCGTCGTTTAAAAACATACGCGCGATAAAAACTCTGAAAACATCTTGAGATTTTTGAAACTTTGAAACTTTAGCGTTTTTGGGTTTTTTTTTTGATCAAACAATCAAATTTTTTGTAAATTTTTGAATACATCTAAAACATAAAAAACTGGTGAAATGCTGTCCAAATGTTTTCGTAGTCGGTCATAAGGCAGTATCGGATTGCCGGGAAAAATGGCTTCCCTGGTCTGGAGCCTCCCCTATAAGCGAGAAGCACGTTCAAAAAAGCATTAGGAATCTGCTGCAATCATTTATTTAACTGTTATTACATCAACGGCTTAGAATTCGGAATCGCACGGCGGAACTGATGCGGGATGGGGATAAGGCGATGGCTGGGGGACCGGGTCTGGGAAATTCGGGGTTGGGGTGTTGGTTTCCGGCGTGGTTGGCCATTCATGCGTCGGGATCGTGGGCTGGGGCTCGATGTCAATGTTGTAGAGGCTCAAGAGCCCGGCGACCAGCCGCCTATCGCATGCCTTTGCCCTTTGGACGTTGCTGAGTGATTCGTGGATCGACGTCTAAAATTTTTTTCTAGACGGCAATAATTTCCCGATAAATTAAGACGAAGCCTTTGGCTGACCGCATAAATCGCGATCCGGGCAAGGCTACGCTGGGCTCCGGCGGGATCCGTGCAATTTTTCGTGAAGTGCGCAAAGTAGCTTTGATAAACGTAGGGGGCTACTCTGAAAATGGCTGATTTGTAGCTTTCTCGTTCGTAGAATACCTGCAATCCACGGGATTCAAGAACTCGGCCACCACATCGTTAACCTCAAAGCATGAAGCCAATTCGGAATCTATAAGTAGCGCCCGGAAGTGAACCCGCGAGTGCGAATATTACATTCTGGTTTCGGCTGCAGCCCGAGACATAGGTCCCCTTTCGCCGCGGCCATCCCTGGAAGGCCGCCGTCAGACTGGTAACTAATTTTACGTATTTGTTAGAGAAAGGAGCTCGTAGTTACCCGCAGATTTGGAACACGACACGAACCATACGATGTGCCTGAAATCATGGGTATTATGCCCTAAAACCTGCCGAATCTTGATTTTTAACTCACCAAAAACCGGAATTATATTACCCACCGTGAACGGCATCGTCGGTGGGTCTACTGACACTTCCGACGGCGGCGTGATCACCGGCGGCCATTTAGGGTGACGCGCTAAAGTCGCAAAATCGCGATATTTTTGCGATAAAATAACAAAAGCCGTCAAACCAACCGACGCTCGCTCCAATGAGCATCACCAGCATTAAGAAACTCTTCATCTTCCTAAAAGGTACGCTAAATTAAAGTAGACCTTAACAGCTAAAACCATAAGAATGAAAATGTTAGATTAACCTGAACGACTCAGCTTATATACAAACGGGTATATCTTCAGCCGGACGTTTTCAATAACCCAGGAGGTTTAATCATCATTTGTCACTACCTTTCAGTTATAGAAGTTGTACACGGCTAATTCTATAAATTCAATAGAAGTGAATCGGGCTATTATAGAATGCTTTGTATAGAATCGTCGCTTTGGTTTCTGTGGTTATGATTCGAATGTTTTTAGATACCTTGAATCCTTTTTACCTTAGTAAAATCGACAGCTCTAGTTTTTAGCCGTTCGGCCTACTAATAGTTCCTGTATTACGGTGTATTTCCACCTTCTTGAAAGTAATCTCTAGATTATCGGTTATCTACCAGCTTTCGTCGTAAAAATTTACCTATCTGGGACAGTACCAGGTTTAACACGATTTTAAATAGCCAGCACGTTTTTGTTGATCCCACATTTTATGGCATTTTTCAGAGTTTGAAAGGAATTTAGCACTTTTTGTTGCCATGAGAATTCATCTCTTTTTGCGACAACCAAAAGCCCTTTTTTAAAAAGATAAACTTTATTTTCGCTATAACTTTTTTGTTTTGCTGAATTTCGCTTACAAGTTCGGCTAACCGTAGTTTTTATGGCCCTCCTCGCTGGTAAAAATATGGTCCCGCTCCGATAGAAGACGGCCAAATGCTGCGGGCGGTTTTTATCGGGACGCCCTGTACACCTGGAAAGTTTTGTTCGATAAATTTAGCATCATAGACCGAATAGTTTACCAAAAGCAATAACCCAAGAAAACGTAGAGAAAAGGCCACGAAAACGACATCCTTGAGGTTATCTTTCCAGTCGGTGCTGACGTAGTAAAAGTCCGGGCAGGGTTGCAGTTTAACGAGTAGTTACCGGTTGACAAAGCTATAACTTGTATAGTATCAAGAACAAGAGCTCTGTAAATCCTAACCTTGTTCCACATCGGACCAGGTTTCCGCGTCCTTCCCTTTAAACGGCGGATAGTTTGGACGGCAACTTTTTATCGAAGCCATTGCCGTGGTTTCATTAACATTACACATATCCTCGGCACAAATGTAGAAACCCGATTTGGACGTCGTGGCGTAGAAGCCGACCTTGAAGAATTTGAAATTTTGGCTTCCACCTTACCTCAATCCTAGCCTCCCCCGTCGTCCAGTCTTGCCAAAAGCAGCCGCTCTCGTACGTCCCGGTCTAAAAAGTAAATGGTATAAAACAAACGGAAAACCGCCAAAATCCCGACATTGAAAACCTCTCCAGCCATAATCCCGACAGCCAAAATCCCGGTATTTCGGTCGGTATTTCAGCTGTGGTGATTATGGCTCTCGGGATTTTGAAGGTCGGGATTTGGGCTGTCGGGATTTTGGCCGTCTGGATTATGGTTGGAACTCCAAATAAACAATTGCCTTTACCTTGTCGTGATCTCGCGCTATACAGGCTTGCCCTTTACAGGTATCGGGTGGTACGTCACCTAATCATAAAACTCAAAAATTTAAACGATGCAATACCAAAAACTTTCATCTGACAGGTAACCTCATCAACCAGTAGCGCATCGATGGAATTTAAACGGTTGCAGCGTTCCTAAAAATCTTATTGGAGTCGCAACTCAACTACCTCCCGGCAAAACTTCTGAAAGACCTGTCTGTAGGGGAAAAATTGAATCGCGTAGAGCGAGCCTAGGAACAATCTAAAAAATTAAGCTATGTATTCAATAACTTGCACAGACATTGGAAAAGCAGCTTCCCAGAGCGCTGGATCCAGTGCAAACAGGTATTCTTGCCGCGCTTGGATTAACAGGTCCGCACGAAAAGTTGCAGTCAAATTCACATCTCGGGGCTGTAACGGGAAATTCAGTGTGGCGGATCAATCTCGGCCTTACCATGTTGATGTAGCCGTTAATGTAGCAGCCAGCTGCTTCATTTGTGGTGGTGACCGTTGTGGTGACATTCAGCCAATCTATTGTTGGTGCCAGGTTTGCGGGAACTGTGAGCTAAATTCGGTTGTGAGGCGGACCCGAAGACGAGGGTTACCTCATGCTGAAAGAATTCGGTGCCGCAGGTAACCTTTTGCGGGATGACGTCCGTATTCGGTAGGTTTTTCCCTGCCCAAGTGACGGTTCGATTTTGGTCGTGAAAAACAGGAAACTCGGTGTTGCACTTGGTTGAGTGACTAAAAATAGCAACGTAAAGTGGAAAAAAATGTTAGGTGACTTTTTTTTGCAGCTACAATGATTACACAATAAACAAAAATAGACGAGCTACATGCATTTTTGAGGCTTTTTAAGGTTTTACAGAAGATGCGCGCAAAATAACTCTCTTATCAGCATTTCAAAGGTTTTATTGTCGTTGATTTTTCAATATGTCATCATTTTTCGGGGGACTAGCTCATTTAGAACCGGCGGAGCGTCAAAAAATGTACTAAGAATTTTAATGAAATCAAAACAGATGAAGTTAGGAAAGTTATAACGAGCGCAAGAAGTCTTGAAAATGGCGTTGGTAAGCTATTTTTCGGGATTTTCGATATTTTTCAACATTCTTTCAAAGCATCAAAAAACCAGATGGTTACAGTCGCTTCGCGACTGCAACCATCTGACCCTCGGGCTACCCTACATGTCCCACTCCACCACATCCTTTCCCGCCTCCATCAATACCCCCCATGGCTGAAATCCCCTTCAAAAACTACCTAAATCCCTTCCTGATGGCTTCAGATACCCCCCATGGCTGAAATCCCCTTCAAAAACTACCTAAATACCTTCCCGATGGCTTTAGATGATTTAAATAATTAATTAACATAATTAAAAAGTATTAAAGTAACTTTACCTTCCCGATGGCTTTAGATAACCCCCATGGCTGAAATCCCCTTCAAAAACTACCTAAATACCTTCCCGATGGCTTTAGATGATTTAAATAATTAATTAACATAATTAAAAAGTATTAAAAAGTATTAAAAGTATTAAAAAGTATTAAAGTAACTTAAAAAAGCTATCTTGGCGCGGGAAGGGGCCTGGGGAAGAGGGGCGAAGGGAAAGGGGGCGTGGCCTCCCGGGAGAGGGGCCCCCACCCCTTTTACTAAGGAAAAACTTTCAAAGTTAATTTTAATAATTTAAACTAAAACTTTTTCATAATTTTTTGATCAGTGTGGGGGTTTCCGAGCACGCTCTATCCGAATCCGAAGAGAGCTAAGCTCTAGCTCCTTTCCCCTTCGAGTTGAATTCGGCTTCACACGGACGGACGGACGGACGGACAGACGGACGCGTCAAGAAAATTATTATAGTTGATATACTAAGAACGATTAAATACAGCTCAAAATAATGTAGTTTTAATGCAAAAGAAGCTATTGACAAACAAGGGAAGAGACTAGCGATGTTACGCATTACCCGACGTCGGAATGACATGCAAATTAGGATTCAAAGCGAAAAAACGTGTTTATCTGGTTTTCTTGTACTTTTCATTCTATTAGGTTGGACCATAAGTTCGTACAATCGAACTTCGGAAATTTCTTTCTAAAATTTTGTGGGCCGATATCACTGTTTCTTTTCCCCCGTATTCGCGGAGTTTAATAGTATGTGGGATAAAATTTACAAGATTTTAGACGCAGTAGTTTTTATTATTCTTGTGTTTCTCTAGGAGGCGTCTCAAATTTTTGACCCGGACATCTTTCAGGATCACCACAACTTTACCATAGCAATGAAGTGCAAGCATGATAATACTTTTTAACTACTATTTAGATGCTGAAATATGCAAAAAGATAAATCGGAACTGTTGTGGAAACAGCGGTCCGAAGCCTTTTTCGTATTTCTAGTAAATTAAACTGAAAAAATTCTAAGGGAAATGGATTGTGATTTCGTCCCATCAGTCGTATAGAGCATTTGATTGTGCATACGTCTATCACTAACACATTTTGTTTCTGTACCGTTTTCCGGAACAAAAATCTAAAAAACTGAAAAATCCTGCACGAATTTTCGGTCCAACCTAATAGTTTGCATGTTATCCCGTCGTCGCGTCGGTATGCGTGACATTTCTAGAAGACACTCTAAAAAGCTCCCACTTGCAATAGCATAGGTACATGTTATCCTTCCGATCCACCACCGCTCGACGACATCCCGGCTCACGTGCTATCCCCGTCATACAATCTCGCGCATAGTGTTGCATCCACGGGTCGTAGAATAGCCAGCACGTGTCACCCTCGCACGTAGGGCTAGGTTCTTCTCAGACCGCTAAGACGAAAATTACCTCGCGCCAAAACGGGCCGGCGTCGTTTCGTTGACCACACATTTCAAGCAATTCGCATGGTGTAAAAACGCCGGGATAAAGATCAAGAACATCGTGTAGGCGGGCGAAGTACAAGGTGCCCCCACTTAAACCATCCGAAAGCCCTCGAAACGGCGAATTTGCAACAGTTTTGAAAGCCATGTTTTTATTGAAACACACAGTTTCATAAACCATTTTTTAAAACTTTCCGGATCTTCGGGGTTGCATAAGAACTAATTTGCCTTAATTTCTTCATACAAAATGGCCGGAAGTAGCCGTTAATTAGATGCAGAAGCCGTTCCTTAATGTCTTTAAATGCGTTGCAAAATGGCGCGTTTAAATATAAACATGGTTTTGAAAACCGTTGCGAATTCGCCGTTTCAAGAGCTTTTGAATGGTGTTCACTTCGGAAAGTGTAAAGTGTTCACTGGGACCCGGACAGACCAATTTGAGGGTCACCTGGCAACCAGGAAAGTCATTTAACCATCGAAAGTTGGGCGCGCTTTTTGGGGGAAATTGCAATATGATACGGCTGCAGAGATCCGGAAATTCTCGGAATCTTTTTAGACTGTCTAGTTTGCGGCCTGGCCGCGTAATTTGGTCCCGGCAAATGAAATGACACCCGGCACGCATAACTTTCAGAAAACGGGAAGTCTAAGACTTGGATTAACGACCAAACGGCGATTCGTATGGCTAGAATGCGCAATTGTTTTTAAAATGTACCTGGCCAGTTTTCATCGAAAGGAGTAAAACATCAAGAATAAAGGAAATCCAAAAGAAAAAATTTTAGTTCAGAACTTTTGTGGAGCGTGTCCCAAAAAAAACACCCCCCTTCTGACCCGACGTAGAAGTATTGGATCGGAATCATCGTTACACCATTCGAAAGCCCTTGAAATGAGCAGTTTGCCACAATTTTCAAAACCATGTTTTTATTTAAACACGCTATTTTATTAGTAATTTTGTACAACTGTGCGCTTTTTCGTGGTTGCATCCGAGGTAATTTGCCCAAAATTCTCCACACAAAATGACCGGAAGTGGCCGTTAATTAGATGCAGAGGTCGTTCCTTAATGTTTTTAAATTAATTTTAAATCGCCGGGTTTAAATAAAAACACGGTTTTGAAGATGGTTGAAAATTGACCGTCTCAAGGGCTTTCGAATGGTGTAACTACCATTCCGATCCAATACTTCTGCGTCGAGTTAGAGGGCCGAATTTCGGGCTAATTATTGGCATGGCGGTGGAGAAACCCTTTTGTCAAAAATGCATTTTTTTTGTTTTGCTTGATTCCTTCATTTAAGAATTTTATAAGCAAAAAAACTGAAAAACTCTTAATATGTTGTCGGAAAAACGTGCCTGCGGAAGTAAATTTTGACGGACAATGATGATACAACTTTTGGAAGCAAGTCGATTTGGCTTCATCGGAGTTTTCGTACGCAATCATTGAAAGATTTTTTAAAGCAATGATGATATGCTGCTGAAAACGTTTATTCTGGTTGATTACCCAAACTGTTTAGAATCCAGAATCGCACGACGGGACGGGGACCGGGTATGGATAAGGCGATGAATGGGGGACGGGATCCGGGAAATCGGGGGTCGAGGTGTCGGTGTCGCGCGTAGTCGTCCATTCAGGCTTCGGGGTCGTGGCCAGGGGTTCGGTGTCAATTTTGTAGAGGTATTGGAGAACGGTAGCCAGAAATTGGTCGCATGCCTTCACATATGGCTCCGGGCGGACGGTTGATCCAAGAGTCGCCTGAATTGGTTTTTGATGGGTGAGTAAGAGAGAGAGAGAGAGAGAGAGAGAGAGAGAGAGAGAGAGAGAGAGAGAGCGGGAGAGCCACAAACGGTCCCTAGGTATCTACGCCACCCCAGAACGAGCACTTCAAACCCGGATGGCTCTCGATCGGATAAACTTACCCAGACGATGGCGGCTCGGGCTACAGTACGCGCGGCTCCGACGGGATCCGAGCAATTTTTCGTGAAGTAATCGAAGTAGCTTTTTTAGACGTACGGCGCAGCCCTGAAAATGGGCATATTTTCAATATCAGGAAATTCAGAATGTCGGAGTTTCGGGATGTCAAAAGGGCAGAATCTCGAAATCGGATAAGTCGAAATTCTGCGTAGGATAATCGTGGATATTTGTGGATTTAGACTCCATATATTGAAAGTTAGATAGCCCAAGTTTGAATATTAAAGTTAAATTACCTGCACTTAACGGGATTCAAAGCAGCAGCCACCAAATTGTTCTTCTCGAAGCACAAGGAGAGCTGTGAGTCTGTAAAAACGCGTATATCAATCCAGCATGCTCAACTACATTCGGTTTTGAGGGCAGCACCGTCACACAGCTCCTGTTTTGCCGCCGCATAAGCTTCCGGATGAGCATCACCTCCATCACTGATAGAGGGAAGGATAACTTAGCCATGAGTTAAATTACCGGCAAACCAAATTCACAGCGATCTCGAGGGTTTTATCTGCCTAAAGTTTAATTTTGGCACCAGAAAAATCGAGGCTTAATGTCGTCATAAAGAGATTTTTCCACCTACCCAGAAAGGGAAAGTGCCGTCCAAGTATGACGATGCTGAAGGTGGTGAAAATTGGGCTAAATGGTGCTGGTTTCCACAAAGTTGCTATTTCCGCGGCGTAATTACACCGATTCAAAATTCTTGCGCACCCTGACATCCTTAAAAGAAACCAAAAAAAAACTCACCGAAACCGACTCCAAGGAGCAGCACGAGGGTTGAGAGCGACTTCATCCTCCTAACACGGGAATGGGTAAGGATACAGTACACTGCCAGGCCTGGGTTTTATACAAACCTCAGGCTTTTCAGCCTTGCTGCTTGAATAGCCGAAAAGCCGAATCATCATTTGTCACCTTCTCTTGACTGATAGAAATTATATACGGCTAACTGTATGAATTCAATAGCCGTGATTTAGTCCCTCCTATAAAATCGTCGAGCCAAATTCTGTGCGTACAATTGTAATTTGTGAGTGGACGTTTTGAAGCCCGTGAATTGAGACGCCGCATTTTTTGCCAAATTCGAATCTCAAAAATTAGAAAATGTAAAAAAGGCGGTTTTATGTGTTTGTGGTTGGTCTCATTCATTTCACTCTGTCCTTAATTCTTTGGATAAGAATGGTGCACAAAAGTTTTTTACGGCCTTTATGGAATCATGAAAATACCCGCAGAATTTGTGATACGTTATGCACACAAAAACGTTATTTGAAACGGGTATATACATCTGTTTAGAGAGTATTTAAGATAACTATTATATTCGTAGCATGATTTTTTATAATTTTCCTGTCTCGAAAGATTCGCAGAGGTAGATGCAACGTCCGAGATCTCTGGTCTCGCCAAGAACCTAACAAGGACTGCTTTTTTCGAGTCATCGGCCAAACCTTTCAGGATCTAGCTCATTCGATAGAGAATTGAATTCTGGACAAGATGCCGTTGTTCTATTTTGCGGAATGGCTATCCCTGATTTTATAAAATGAAAAAACTAGTGACCGTCTCTTACCATGAGTGCCCTTTGAACAAAAAGAGACGCGTTTGGGTGCGGTTTTAAAATTGTATAAAATCATGAATAGCCATTCCGCAAAAAAGGACAACGGAGCCGTGTTCAGAATTGAATTCTCTATCGAATGATCTTGTTCTCGTAAGGTTTCGCCAATGACACAAAAAAAGCACTCCTTGTAAGGTTTTTTTAGACAAATTTTCTATCCAATTACTCGCCTTCCACATAATCCATATCGATAGTCCTTAATAAAATACATAGTGCAAATCGGGTCAATAATTGGGTAAAAGGAAGTTGCGATCGGGACGTAGATCCAAAATTCCAGGGAGGTAAGCAGGGATTTTGGAGAGTCCGTGAAAGCTAGCATGGGCTTTGTGACTAAACACAAGCCTGGTTCGGAAGTGGTGCTTTGGTTTCTAGATCATCTAACTGTTGTGGTTGTTTGCTCCCCTTTTTGAGAAGAGCTGCAAGAGTTGAGATGCAACTTTCGCACTCACTCCAAACTTGAGGTTCAGGCAACAAATCTTATATAAGGCGATCGACTGGTAATTTATTGAGAATCAATCTAATCGCGTCGATAGACACCACACAAAAATTAAAAAATTAAAAAGCAGCTCCCGGTTAGATGCCGCTCGGCGTCGTGGTCTTGGTCCTCGGTGTCGTGTTTTGAGGATCAGGCCAAGTAGAGCGCTGTTGAGGCTCGACAATCCCATACAGCTTGGCGACGTCGTTGGCCAGCCTCTGATAGCAACTCTCCAACTCGGTGCCCCTGCGCCTAGCTGTCCAGTATTTTGCCTGGAAGATTAATGGTGGTGAGTCAAAAATCAGGACGTTTCCGACCTGTATGTACAAGCCATGCCCTGCGGAAATACGGGCCTGTTCCGGGTATGGACACATTCCGGCGACAGCATTGATATAAACGTTGTAATGCTGAATAGCGGTTCTGAAAACGAGCGTTAAATAGCGCCGCTTTGTCTAACCTGCACGGCATCTGGACAAGCTGTTCCTCCATGGCATCTCCAAACAAACGTTCGCCATATAGGAAACATTCCGTTATCAGCTCGACTAGAACGTTTGGTAGAACTTACTTTTGTTTTTAAGCCCTACACTCTATCTTCAATTGTTTGCCGTCACAAAGACCGTTCTGTAGGATAGCCAGACTTTCGGTAGCGGCGGTATTGTTGAGACTAATTTCAAGGAAGAGGTAAGTAAGTACGAATTCGGAATATCACCTGCACAGCGGTTCCGTAGTGAGAAAAGCGAAGTGCGCCTAAAGCTTAGGATCTTTTGTGTTATCACATCATCTGCCTACGCAATACTAGATGGCTATCCTTGACCAAGTCGCATACACCGCCTTAAAAAGCCAGATACCTACGCGACACCGCTGCTCCTATGCGCTACTAGATCTTCGATATTAGAGATTTGGTTTTATATTCACCCCATGAAAAACCTATTTTAAGCCGTCATGCGGGATAGTAACGCGTACTGGACGATAGTTTCGTACTCAACCCGTACCCTAGTTACTTTCTCGACGCGACGGTACGCACCACGTACCTACATAACTCGGAACAGGCCAAAACCTACCTCAAATGGAATAGTGACATCGTCGTGCGGGGCCAGCGTGCCGGTCGTGGGAGTTATAGGCGATGTTTGGGCTAAAACGCGATTTTCTGTGGGGTTGGGGCAACAACTGGGAATCTGCTATGGGTCGATGGTCGTTGAAAAGCTTAAAAAAAGTGTCTCCACGTGACGCCAATTTTATCTTACCGGAGCTCATAGGAAAAAGAAGTCCAAGGATTATAAACCACTTCATCCCGCCAAAACCTTTAAGTAGTGGTTTTGCAGCAATAACGCATGGGGTAATGATGCTGGAGACATGCTTATATACCGTTCCCAAACTTTGTAGCGTCGCGCCTCTATAGCCGCGAATATTTCTCGTCCTTTTGTCCCCTCACCTAGCTATACAAATTATTTGGCGGCTAGATCCGCTAGCAACTATTGAATCGCCGGTGATTCAGCTATATTCGGAGCCGTTGGCCGGCGCGTAATAGAAACCGGACATGCAGTGGGCGGGTTTAGGAAAGGTTTTAAGGTCGGCGCCTGGTAATACCGTATTTCCTCTAATATAGCCCCTCCAAAAAATTTTCGAAGTTGCCTTTAAGAAGTAAAAAATACCAAAAATGTTCTGATTACGCTTTATACTGTGTTCCCGAGAGGGTGTGAGCAGTTTGAACTCCTAGAAAACGTTGTGGTTGCTCACAATCACAAAAAATAGATCCTTTCCTCTAATGCGACAACCCCCCTCACGGAGGTGACTGAAAATATAGAACCCGGGGTTATATTAGAGGAAACACGGTATTTTGATAATTTGTCTTGTTAAAAGAACATCTGCCATTGAATTTATTTATTATCAAAAATTGCGTTTTTTTAATGTTCAGAACCGCATGGCACCGGGTAGGGCTCTGGAGAATCCGGGGTAGTCGGATCTTCCTGTGGAACCGGCCAAATTGGGGTCGAAGTTCCGTCCTGTGGATAGACTTCAACGTTGAAGTAGCTGGGAACGCTGAATGCTAACTCCGCGTAGCACTTTCCATCAGCGCCATTAGCAGCCAATACCATGCGGACTAGCAACTGAAATTAATATAGGGTATCGTATCGTGGCCCGCCGCATACCTCGATCATAACTCCACGTGCCGCAACTTTCGCTGTTTTCGCTGACTCAGGGCAGCTAAGTGCCGCAGTGGCGATGTAGTCACGATACAGAATCTCTGTATCACTAAAATATGCTTCTCATGCTGCTTTGCAAAGGCTTTACCCGCATGAAGCATTCTTGGCCAGCTCGGTATAGCGCTCGTTCAGTGGTTTCCCGCCCTCTTTGAAGCACTCGGTGATGTTTGTGTCTAAAAAGACACAATCACTATAGTTTAAAAATTCCGGTAGTGGACTGCAGATTTCGACGAAAAGCCAACATTTTTCGAAATTTTTGGGAATTTTTTACTGTTACAAAAATTTACACCAAAAGGTTTCTAAAATGGTATAAAAAAAACCTACAAAACTCGTTTGAAAGCACTCAAAAGAGGGGTCTTTTTACAAATCCCTTACATTCAGGTTTTGCAGAACGTCCGATGCAGAATTCCTTTTTCAGGGAGATGACATAGTTGCCCCCCAGGGTATCCGACCAGCTATAAAAATAAATGTTGATAATTTTTGTGAGTAAATGTACCCGCAGATTTCGTCGGCGTGCAGGAAGAAAAAGTCGGGCTGAAAAGAAAAGTAAGGAAAGGGCGCCTTAATTGATGCATTAATCGTCATCAGCCATGAATCGCTGCGCTTTTTCAGGGCGTTTAATGCATCTAACTGACCGTGAACAACGACTTTTCTTCATTCCGTTCTCCTGCTGATGCAGTGACAATTGAGGCTAGAAACTCACATAAAAATCGCGTCAATTTTAACACCTACCGGAGCTCACTACGCCCAAAAAGAGAAACAGCGTCGCGAAAAACAGCATATTTCGCTTAGGGAGGTACCGAGGTGGCGGTGGTAATATAAGGGTTACTCAGGGTTTATATATGTGCCCCATACCGATCAAGTTTGTCCCCTTTATAGCTTCCCGGGCTCGTCATCATTTGTCACCAATATTGCTCTATAGAAAAACTGCATCCAGTTATACAGCGAAAAGACACCTTTCAACCATAATTTTTTAATTGTATGCTTGATAGAAATGATTCAGTGCCTTTCTTTTTAGATCTCGCCTCTTTTAGGATTCCGCATGGAAAATGCACGCACTTTGGAGCCGTCAACGCTGTATCAATACATCTATCGTCTCTATCTCGCTCACTCTCTCGCTTGCTCACTCTTTTACTCTCTCTCGTTGTGTCTGTCTGTGCATCTCGCTCTCTCTCTCTTTCTGTCTCTCTCTGTCTCTCTCGGTCTCTCTGTCTCTCTGTATTTCCCTCTATGCGTACAGCAGATTCCTTAAATCCCGATACAAAAAAAAATCGTGTTATCGATTTGGATCAAAGCTTGGCCTGCATCCACTGTGATTCTGAAACACGAATGATGCAGATATAAGCCCAAATATATATTCAGGAAAGGTGTGTTGGCGTCGATTAATGCTATTCCAATGACACGTTTATTCAAGAATATTTTACCAAATTGGGCATCGTTATCCACGCGTAAGGCTTGACGTCGTAGAGCGAAGCCAACTGACGGCCGAGTTGCACATAGCAATCGCGGAGCAAAATACGTCGTAGACGGTGAGCAGCGAGTCGACCTTAAATAAGTAAAATATTGCCGTGACCATCCTTTGCAAAAAATGGCAAAGGCAAAGGGCCGCGAAGCGGTCTTGCCAGCTCTAGCTCGACTGGCTATCAGATTCTCGAAAATCAGAATCCCAGCAGTCGCGAAACGACTGTAACCACCTGGGACCAACAAAGATATTACGTTCGTAACCATAAAGGATTTGATTTAGCCCAAAGAAAACTTAATTGCCACGGCATTTTGACAACCTGACAATTTCAACCCTGGTATTTTCTCGAAATTTAGGGCTATGATTTGACCTCCCCTCGATATACCCAGGAAAAAAAATGGACTGACCGTTAGCTTTGGGTGTGCGCGTGCAATCCGGTACCTGACGGGCCACGACGTCCTCAAGTGGAAGCTCGACCTCCGCGTCCTGTGTGGGGCTGCCTTGGCACAAGATGATGTTCCGGTACTGAAATTCTACGAATTCACTTTTACTATTCCGGCTTGCGGGCTATACAGGGGGTTGCAAAAAAAAACCCTCGGCATTTGGCCGTCTGCCATCCGATCGGCACGAAATTTTTAACAGTGTTGGGGACGCATAAAAACCATTGGCAGCCGAATTGTCTAAGCAAAATATTGTAAATCAAAAAATCATCGCGAAAAAACTGATTTTTGGGAAAAGCTGGTACCCATTTTTGGCTATTCGCATGCCGTTTTGGGTAATTTCCCAAAAATGGTCACTTTGGGGCCGATTCTAAAATTCGAGATTCTGATTTTACGAGATTCTGATATGTATCCAAGTCTTTCATCTCGGCATCAGATCTCATAACAATTTTCATGATACCCTTTAACGAGCCACCACTCACCTTGTTTACCAGAGCAGCATTGATCCAGGCGGTGAAGGCCGTATCGAGCCCAATCCCAGAGTTCAACAACATCCGGTACATCGGAGTGTCGAACTTCTCTAGCGTGGTCTGCATCGTCAGCCACATGTACTTTGGAGGCAGACTGCTCCACAGCGCCGCTGAAAAGGTGGACGACGTTGGCAATGCGGCATGCAAATTACACGTCAGATTTACAGGGTGTCCCCATAAAAAAACACCCCCCTCTAACCCGACGCAGAAGTATTGGAACGGAATGGTATGGTAGTTACACCATTCAAAAGCCCTTGAAACAATTCCTGGCGCAAACCGACGATCGGTCCCAAAATTGGACCAGGGGTGTATCTCACCCTAAATAAGCACAATCTTGACCCATATCCCAATCGATACAGTGGTACTCGAGTGTAAACAAAAAACCGTTTTCTATGCGATTTTTAACAGTTGTTTCGGCGTTTTGGGCCTTGTATCGATTTGCATCGACGTCCGGCTCGGTATCCTTTATTTCGCGTAAATTCCGGGTTGATTTTTGCTTGTAAAAAACGTCTAATAAGCCTTTATTTAGTTATTTGTCAGACACAAAAAATTCTAGGGGTAGGGCAGCCTACCCACATCATTGTCAGTGCTAACGGTCGATTCCGACGAAAACCCCATGAGAAACGCATCATCAAGCTTGGTTTTGTTGTATCTCGAAAACTACTGTAGCTGGCGGGCTATAACTCAGGATTGTGGTTATTTAAGGTCACATACACCTCTGGGCCGGTTTCGGGATCGATCGGAGGTAAGGCGACGAAATGTCGGCTGGGTGTTTTTTTTGGATGCCCTGGATATCCGACACGAGAGCTGGATCTATGCGATAGTTACCTTGTTGTGGGGGCTATAAATAGCCATCCATCTGGCCACCATCATAATCAGCTGCCAGCCCTTGGTTTGCGTCCCCGACGTTTGCTAACGTCAGTTGATGCCACTTGGCGAGCGGTTCATGCATTTCCGTGAGCATCCAGACCAGCAGCCGGCGTGGTATGATCGCAACATGAGCGATTCAGCCCAGACCGCGATCACTTAAAACATAACTTTATAGTTCTGGCTCATGCAACGCACACGGATATAGCTATAGGATTTCCCAAAAAAACCTCGCTCGGCATTTGGCCCTTCTATCCGGTCGGGACGGAATTTTTACCTGCGATGCGGACCCATAAAAACTAAGTGCAACAGAATTTTTTAAGCAAAATATTGTAAAACAAAACAGTTATGCCGAAATTAAGGTTTACTTTGCCGCTTTCACGAGAATTTCAATGGATTTGCACCTCGAAATATTTAGCAAAAATGAATAGGGCGCTTTTTCCACCTGAAAGAATTTTATGTTTTGCGAAAATTACGTCTAGATTGGGACTTGAAATCACTTTGTATTATCAAAATTGACAGAAACCGACCTGAAACTGATCATTTTTTGGAAAAATTACTCAAAATCGGCGTGCCAGTTGCGAAAATAAAGCCAAAAATGAGCACTGGCTTTTCCCAAAAAGTAGTTTTTGGTGATAGATTTTTGCTTTACGATATTTTGCTGAAAAAACGCGGTGGCCGATAGTTTTTATGCGTCCCCAACACTGGTAAAAATTTGGTGCCGATCGGATGGAAGACGGCCATAGGCCGAGACAGGGGTTTTTTTTGCGACGCCCTATCCAGTTTGAAAAAAAATAAATGTGGCGTCATGTATTATTGGTCTTCTGTGAATGCGCCTTTCGAAAATGCGAAATCTTATACCCGATATAAGATAATAATCGTAATAAGATAATAATCGAAGATAATAATAGAAGATTATCTATTTGAAAAAACTGAGGTCAATACTACAATAAATAGTCGCATAAAAATAGAAATAGAAAAATGTGTCGGACAAGTCTGTGGCAAAATTTGGGCTAGAATTCGTCCAGATGCCGTTCGTGTGGAGGCCAATCCCCCATATCCATCCGGATGCCAGAAAAAAATTGGACAAATCGCCATACCCCTGCCCTATTTGCCAGATGTGGCCGTTGTCTTGCAGCAATTGAAGAATTGCCATCGGACGAGCTATTAGGTAGTACAAAAAGTCCTGGCGTTTTTGGGCTTGGATCGCTTTATCAAGAACGGTTTCGATATCAGGGTTAATTGTAATATGTCGTTTGAAAGTACTCATCGTACTCTACAGAACGGTTACAGTAACTTTGTCACATTACATTTTTTGAGTTTTTTTAGAAGGTCTGAAAGTTAGAACCAAAATTGCCTTATTTTCTTGTTTCCTTCAAAACTTTTTTGACAGGCGGCGTAGAACCGTAATGAAGATAGCATTCGACTAAGCTCACGAAGCACTACAAAACGTGCCGTAAAGTCCCGGTTGAAAAATTATTCCGTTGAGATACGACCGTGCAAAATTCGGTCAGTTTTTGAGCTTTTTCGGCTCCCCAGATCCCATTTCAACCTAATCAGCCATAAAAACGGCTCGGGATTTTTTATAATGCCTTGGTGCAAACTTCGTAGTTGTTTAAATTCTATTTCCAATGCTCAGAAATGTAAAAAAATTATTTTCCCAAAATTCGGAAAGAGCCATGATTTGGACACTGACCAAATTTTACTCTGTTGTATCTCAACGGAATAATTTTTGAACCGGGACTTTTACGGCACGTTTTGTAGTGCTTCGTGAGCTTAGTCGAATGCTATCTTCATTACGGTTCTACGCCGCCTGTCAAAAAAGTTTTGAAGGAAACAAGAAAATAAGGCAATTTTGGTTCTAACTTTCAGACCTTCTAAAAAACTCAAAAAATGTAATGTGACAAAGTTACTGTAACCGTTCTGTAGAGTACGATGAGTACTTTCAAACGACATATTCAATTAACCCTGATATCGAAACCGTTCTTGATAAAGCGATCCAAGCCCAAAAACGCCAGGACTTTTTGTACAACCTAATAGACCTCGACCGACATACAAGCCACCTTTCTGGGGTGGGGGGGGGGGGGTAGGCAGGGCAGGCACCCAAATTTCGGGGGGAGATTTTTGAAAACATAGGGTTTCTAACACAAAAACTAGTGTTAAAAATAGCCAGAAACAGCGCCGCAGGCAAAAAATTTTTTGGAAAAATTAAATCAGAAGTGTATTTAACAATTTTAAAAGCAAAATAGTAAAAATTTTTAGCAAAATGGAGACGAGCCGTGCTTTCCAGACCATAACTCGATGCCTATTGGGAATTTCGGGATGGGATTTTGAACACTTATGTATTCGATGGTGGGGATCACGCGCATGTTATTATCTCTACCAATTTTCAGCGGATTCATGCTAAAAATTGGAAAGCGCTTTACCCTTCACGTTATCGATTTGAATCAAATCTTGGTCTGCACCCACTGTGATTGTGAAACACGAAGGTGCTACGGTTGACTTTACCCCCCCCCCAGCCTGAAGTTTTTGGCTATAACTTTTTTATTTTACATTATTGTAGGCACAAATTAAAACTTTTAGTATATTTTTCGACGCTCTATCGAATGGCGTTGCAAAAATCCCGACAAAATAAGCGAAAATACCGAAAACTTTGAGACGCTTTGGCTGTGGGGGGGGGGTGGGGTAAAGTAAACTCTTACCCACGAAGGATGCAGATATAAGGCCAAGTATATATTCGGGAAAGGTGTGTTGCCGTCGATTCATCCATTTCCAATGACACGTTTATTCAATTTTTTTAACAAACTGGGCATCGTTATCAACGCTTATGGCTTGACGTCGTACAGCGAAGCCAACTGACGGCCGAGCTGCACATAGCAGTCGCGGTGCAAAATTTGGTCGGTCGGTTTTTGAATCGGGAGTAACGAATAACGCTTGAGCTTCAAAGGAGGTTAAATGTATGGCTCCAGTTGACGAAGCAGAAGATGGCAAAGATGACAAAGTAGATGACGCCTTAAATTTTTTGTTGCCCCGCCTTCATGTTCTCTCTGGTGCACTCTTTATCTCTCACGCTTTCTTTTTCTCGCTCTCTTTCTCTCTCTCTCTCTCTCTCTCTCTCTCTCTCTCTCTTCCTCTCTCTCACTTTACGCCGTCGCGATCTCTTAAAAACGATTCCCTGTCACGATTTCGAAAATCACCATTTCGAAAATCACCATTTCGAAAATCACCATTTCGAAAAATCACCATTTCGAAAGACACCATTTCGAAAGTCACCATTTCGAAAAGACGCCATTTCGAAAAGACACCATTTCGAAAATCACCATTTCGAAAAGTCACCATTTCGAAAAACACCATTTCGAAAAACACCATTTCGAAAAAATCCCCATTTCGAAAAGACCCGGTTTCAAACAGGCATAAAAATTGCAGTGTCAAAAAACTACGGTTTTTCTCGGATATGACCAGTGATGTAATAGAAATTGTTTTGGTGGTGTCTATAATGAAATTAATCATATCTCCAGTGGAAAAATAGACCCCCGAACCTCAAACCAGCCAACGAAATGGGCTTTCTCTTCCAACGAATTTTCTGCGACTGGGAAATGGGCTATTGCTAAATCCCGTTTCCCAAATGGTAATTTTCGAAATGGTGATTTTCGAAATCGTGACTTTTCGAAATGGTGATTTTCGAAATGGTGTCATTTCGAAATGATGTCTTTTCGAAATAGTGACTTTCGAAATGGTGTATTTCGAAATGGTGATTTTTCGAAATGGTGATTTTCGAAATGGTGATTTTCGAAATGGTGATTTTCGAAATCGTGTCCGCCAACCCTTAAAAACGATACCTGGTAGCCAGGCCTTGATATAGCCAGTTACAGGAATTTTGGATCGACGAACTACTTTTTCTGGCCCTCCATCTGCAACACTCTCTGCCAGAAACTGATGCCCAGCCTGCAGACGTTGGTATTTGCTCTCACTCGTCTCTGAAACTCACTTCCGAGGCTATTTGAGGGTCATCTCTTCCCTGCCACACCGCACAAATCAGCATCCACATCAAGGCAACTCCAGTGAAGATATACGATGCGTTTAGCCAATCATACACCACTGAAATCAATACTCAATGGTTTGATTCCGAGCTTCACTTACGTTGCGCTCCCCTCGGAATCGATGACATCGCCAGGGAGCCCTGAAAATTCCGAGCTGATTGCCTCAAACGATGCCCTTACCACCAAAACCGTTCCCAGGAGTGTTGTCGCGGCCAATGCCAGCCGGGTTCGCATTTCGGAGCTAAGACGTTTTCTAAACAATTTTGTTAGGGCTTACCAACGAAGTAATAATGCCAATCCGGCGACGGCGACGAACAAGAAGTTCGGGAGGTAGATTTGGGTGATTAGACGCCTGAAAAGCGGTGCTTGGCATTTCCTGACCACTGAAATTAAAGACTACCAGAACGATGGAACACGCACTGTCACCCCGAGGGTGCTGCCCCCAAGAACGCGCAGAGCGGGTCGTCATTAGTGGGGTCCCGGATTGGGCAAAGACCCTCTGGGGGTTGGGGGCGCCTCTGACTCCCTTCCCCACTTGCAGGGCCGTAACAAACCCAAATTTCGGGGGGGGGGCGACCCCAAAAATTTTTCACTAATATGACTAAAACTACAGCGCCGCAGGCAAAAAAAAATTTTGGAAAAGTTAAATCATAAGGGTCCCCCCTTATGAACTTTTCGGCCTTCGGCCGATTTCGGGGGCGGCTCGCCCCCTCGCCCCCCTCTTACGGGCCTGCCCACTTGGCCCTGTGGTATTGTGGCTAGCGCGTCGGACTGTGGAGCGAACCATCGCGGGTTCGACTCCCGCCCGGTGCGCAACTTTCTTGCTCTAAACGATATTTCATCGTTCTGACGGTCTTTAAGTGAGCTCATAGTCGTGTCAAAGAAAGCATTTTTTTGAGGGGTTTCGAAAGCCTAATGTGATGATTTGCCTAACAAGGAGATGGTCTCAGCTGGGAATCGAATTCGGATTTGAAAATTTGCACACTTATAGAGCTCGACGAGACAAATCGATTGGTGTAACTTTCAGCTGCTGATACGATAACCACGGCGAGTTATAAGCATTTTAAGTTTTTGCATACATTTTGCATTTTTTCGGCCATAGATTCATAGGCCTTCCCCGCCTCCCCATCACCATCGTCTGGTGGCCTAGTGGTGTAGCAGGCGGCCTCCTGGGAATCTAACGAGGGTTCGAACCCGCTCACGATTTTTATTTTTTGCTTTTTCGTCCGAAGGTTCCTCTTTGCTTTCTGAGGACCTTGTATAACTTTTTACGCATTATTTTAACTCCTCTGGTGCGAAATGGCTAAAAACATCGCTTGAAAAATTTTTGATTTTTTTACCCGAAAGGACTATGCCGGTCCCAAAATAAATTGAAAATTCCAAGCATATCAAAAATCGTGGAGCAAACGTAATTTTGGTAAATGGTGTGTTATCCGAACAAAAACTTTCGTCCGCGAAAATTTTTTGGAAATGGTAGTCATAGGTCGGACAAGGGCTTGATGCCCAGCCAGAAAAATTTTTGTGGTGAAGTTCGATGTTGTCGGAGCATCAGAGGAGTTAAAATAATGCGTAAAAAGTTATACAAGGTCCTCAGAAAGCAAAGAGGTCCCTTCGGACGAAAAAGCAAAAAATAAAAATCGTGAGCGGGTTCGAACCCTCGTTAGATTCCCAGGAGGCCGCCTGCTACACCACTAGGCCACCAGACGATGGTGATGGGGAGGCGGAGAAGGCCTATGAATCTATGGCCGAAAAAATGCAAAATGTATGCAAAAACTTAAAATGCTTATAACTCGGCGTGGTTATCGTATCAGCAGCTGAAAATTACACCAATCGATTTGTCTCGTCGAGCTCTATAAGTGTGCAAATTTTCAAATCCGAATTCGATTCCCAGCTGAGACCATCTCCTTGTAAGCATTTTCGAAATCCACTTTTTTTGAAAATTAATTTTTCCGAAAATCATATTTTCTAAAAATCACTGTTGTGAAACATAGAATTTCGAAGGATTTGCATTGCTATTTGTTTTTTTGCGGACATTTCTATTGAAAGCTAAGCGCAAATTTTCGAAATTTTCATTTTCAGACATTCGGAAAAATTTATTTCGGCAATTATTTTGCAGGAAGTAAGTTTTGAAATTCCGATAAGCGACTGCCTACCTACCATGTCGCCGAGCTTTCCCGTTGAAAGGTGAAGATGGCCCGGAGGCACGAGTATTTTTCGGAGCCTGTCCCCCCGGCCGCAGGTAACCGAGTCATACGATTCGAGCCGGAAATCCTGGATGGGGTTCTAAACCAATTATTGAGTAGCTTTTCATCCTTGAGCTTACCGCCACGCCGGTCTTCGTTTTGATCGGGTTTATTTGGGCCCATTTGTAATCTGAATTTTTCGGGTTTTAATATGATCAGTATTACCAATATTCAACGCGCTCCACCCGTATGATCCCATGTCGATGTGGCATTGATGCTGGTCCGTAGGGTAGTACTGAAGGATAAATTTCAAAAAGTGTTAAAAATGCTAAATTCGACGTCGTAAAAAAGGCTCATATGGAACCTAGGAATGCTGAGTTGTATTCTTTTTATGAAGCGCGCCCACAGCGCACATTTTCTACTCGTATGGTATTGATTCCATATTTTTCAAAATAACTTCGGACCAATTCCAAAACGATTTAAATGATCACCTCCAGAAGCATAATGCATTTAATGGTCACCGAGAGGCGCTCGCTCAACGACACGGTCCCGTCTAAAATCTGATGTATTTTTAGCGACTCTGCTCCTGCCTGGTGCGACCCTGATCATGGTGTGCAAATTCGATACCTCTTGACGGGTCCTGTGGAGCTCGTTCTGAAATTCGTGAATCAGCGAAAGACCTGCTAATAGGCTTATTGCCATCTCGCCGGAAATAATTTTGTCGAAATCTAATTATAGCGACACTAAATATTTCGCCAAATTGGCATGTGGACGCAATGCCCTACGAATAATAGAAATTTCAACAAAATGTTAATTCTACATAATGATATCTCGACAAAATGATATTTTAACGAAATGCTATTCTGACCAAACGATCGTATATTAAACCGCGTAAAGTAGGACGCCGCACGCGCGATTTTTTTGCTGCGCTATGCTACGCACTCTACAGACCGTAACAGCATGCAGGTTTAAATGTGGAACTGCACCCGCTTTGCGTGCCATTGCCTTTTTAGCCTTACGTTTTCACTGCAAATAACCCAATCACGCAGTGACCCAAATTTGATTTTTGAATTTTTAATCTATCGTATCGTTTCACCTTTATAACTGTGTCCGGCACCCAAATCGGGAAGTGCTTTCCATCACTCGGTATTCGAATATCAGCGGGGAGTTGAACCCCCTCCGGCGCTGTATATCCCAGCCTTGGGTCCTTCCACTCTTGATGCAGCGTCATTTGGAGTCTGCGTAAAAATTAACCCAGAAGATCCAAAAATTCCGTTACCCAATCTCTTGTTTGTCGATGTCGAGATTCACGACATCTCGCAGCAATATGTCGAGGGTGATGACAGCGGGTGTTTCTGAAATTTTTAAGGGGTTGAAAAACCTCCGGTGGCCTACCAGGGTTGCCAAAATCGGGGCGGAAGGAGGGATTGTAGTTTTCGGAGCTGATGGTTAGGTTAAAGCTAAAATGAAAAACATTAGCCTACGCCAAATCGAGGGATAAGCCTACCTTTTGTAAATTTCAGGAACTGAACCAGCATGAAGTGCAATGCTAAAAACAGCAATATACGTTTCAGAGCTTGCCCAAATTTGGTACGATTTGTTAGCTATCAAGCGGTGGGTCAGCATTTCAAAGTGGTTTGGAAAACGGCTTTTTATTTTTTGAATTGCCTTTGATAAAATTCTCAGGTGGAGTTTTTTGGGTTTTTTACAGAAGTGTTGAAAATTGTCTGAAAGAGATACGAAAGTGGCCAATTTTTACGAAAAATAGGTTGTTTAAAACCCCCGATAACCTTTTGTAAAATGGTTTTCCCGTTCCCTGAAGTTATAGTTTAACTTACGGGATGAAACAACTTATAAAAATTGCGGCATTGCCGAGAATAAAAAGCATCCGTCCCGGACGGACGGAAAATAGGCATCGAGACCTTTTGTTCTTTTTGTACCCAGCTCTAGCGGCAGCTGGCCATGCCCCCCCCCCCCACCTTCGAGGTGATCGAGTGCAGACAATTTTCCACATGGGCTAAAAAATGAAGGAGAAGCCCGAATTAGTTTTTGTAAAAACACTCCCCGTTCCCCGTTTCATGGGTTTCGAATGAGCACCAAACACCGGAAATTCCACTGTGTCTGGTTGATTTTATATAGTGTGAATGGCCTTCTCAACAGGCCACAACGACCTGGAATCCACGTGCGCTTAGAAAGTGACTTTGCCACGAAAACATTCCATTTTCTAGCATATTTCCCGTATACCCATTTAAAGTAAAGACAACAATTTATCATTCGGAAGATGTCTACTAGTGTGCCGCGCCACAGTGAGGGAAGGTTGGCGGTTCGATTGGCGACACTGTCGGGGATTCGGGGAAGTATTTCAAATTGAGCTTGTCCACCATCCGCTGCCGACACACGCCGTACGGGGCTTGGTGAGACGCGGCAAGCAAATAGTGGGCCTAAAGTTATATACCCTAATCGGTTACGCCCTCGAATGTACCTCAATCAAGACTGCCTTGGCCGCGGCGCGACGCGCTTCCTCTATATTCGGGCACTTTGGGCGCAATTCGCTGTAGACAGGGGCGGCGGGGCTAGAAAAGAGTACTCTTTTGCCTGCATTTCTCTCTCTCTCTCTCTCTCTCTCTCTCTCTCTCTCTAGTTTTGAAAGGATCCGAAGCGTTATTTTCCTAACAATAAAGGGCTCGGAAACGCAAGCCCTTTGACCCTTACTTGCCATCTATTGGAAAGCATTTTCGAAATCTACTTCAACGGGTTTTTTCGGATCAATAACGGTTACACCAAAAATCACAGTTTCTCTTGGGTATGCAAATAAATGTGTGCAATCTCATTGTCCCACGCTGTCATGAATAATGACCCGAAAAACGCAACCAATTGGCAACAGAAGATCATGATTCTCATGCAAAAGTGATAAACTACGAGAATTTGGTTCGAATATTAACCGTCAAAATTCCACGACTAGCAATAACCGATGCCAACAGTGTTATAAATAGGATGCCAAAATTCTGTGCCTATTTTGAAAACATGAAGCTGAATAAAATTATTTTTTCGACGTTTGGCTTAATCGGTATTTCAATTCTCGTTTTGTATCAGGTTGGAAGGTAAGTCCTGTCGCCGAGATTTTGGAAGGCTGGCTAAAATCGTAGTTAGCTCCATTCTGCACATGCGATATGTCATTTTATAGCTCTCTGCCTGAACCGTTTCGGGAGGAGGGTCCTAGCTCGCCAAAATCCAGGAGGACCGAGATACGGGCCCAAGAAGTTTTTGGAAAAATTGAGCAAAAGTGTTTTTGCAAGTTATCTCTGCATAGAGTAATTTGCATACGATACCTTTAACGCCAATCGATAGCTCTCGAGGAGTAGTTATCGATAGATCTTGAGATCAGCAAAATTGGACACTGGATGACCGAGACATGGGCCTTTGAAATTTGGACCATTTCTTAGAACTTTTCTCAAAATCCCATACATTTCGCAGGATTTGACCGGCAGGTGCCGAAAATTGCCGCTTTATTTTTGGACGCGCCGAGCGGATTTTGACCAAATGTATGGGATTTTGAGAAAAGTTCTAAGAAATGGTCCAAATTTCAAAGGCCCATGTCTCGGTCATCCAGTGTCCAATTTTGCTGATCTCAAGATCTATCGATAACTACTCCTCGAGAGCTATCGATTGGCGTTAAAGGTATCGTATGCAAATTACTCTATGCAGAGATAACTTGCAAAAACACTTTTGCTCAATTTTTCCAAAAACTTCTTGGGCCCGTATCTCGGTCCTCCTGGATTTTGGCGAGCTAGGACCCTCCTCCCGAAACGGTTCAGGTAGAGAGCTACAAAATGACATATCGCATGTGCAGAATGGAGCTAACTACGATTTTAGCCAGCCTTCCAAAATCTCGGCGACAGGACTTACCTTCCAACCTGATAGTCAGATTTTAGGGTTGGTGGGCTCTATTCAGGTCTGCCCGCAGGCGGCTTGCCCGGCTGGCGGGGCCTGGGGCGAGTGGAAAATAATTTCAAGCTGCACAGGCACCTGTGGAATGAATGGGCTACGCGTCGAGATGCGCGAATGCGTATCGGAAAAGTTTGGGTGTCCGTGCGAGTAAGAAGAATTCGAAGCCATTAAATTTAGCAGTTGCTAACCATAAATGAAACTCGTTCTCATCCCCGCCCTGACGTCAACCCTGTAAATACTTTTTTAGCGGCCCCAAAAGTCGTACCGTCGCCTGCCCCGATTCACTTTGCACCTTTCCGCTCATCACGTGCGTCGACGGTCATGCCAAGGTAATTACTTTCCTGAATTATTTCCGATTATTTTTAAAATTTTTACCTGCTTCCTTTTTAGAAACTGAACCTAACGAGTAAAGCCTACACCTGTCAACCGATCATCCCTGTCGTCCAGGACGCGGCTAACCCGAGTTTCAGTTGCAGCAGTAAGTGTGGGGAGCGTAGGGAAACGCATTTATTATAGTGAACGAGACGATTGACTGTCCAAGAGTGCCGGCCACCGGTAAGCACAAAATTAGAGAGAAATGCCGATATTAAAGTGGTAATGGCAAAATACCGACACGAGAACATTATTTACATAAACCGTGGATTTGAATTCCGAGTCTTCGGGTGTCGGCATTCTGGTTGTCGAGCTTTTGAATTGACATTTTCTTGTTTGTCGAAAAACAACATAATTTTAAGGACTCTGGTCGGCATGGACAAACGTGGCAGGAACAACTTGCACGGCGACATGTGGAGGGAAAGGGACGATTCCGCAGATACGCACCTGTTTGACCTCGGTGGTTCAACCCTGCAGGTACTTTTGAACTGTGTACACCCATGATTACGCACAAACGTTTGAGCGCGTCAATGGCTACATTTAAGAAACTATTATTTTAGTGGAAACGCAACCAGAACGGCACGATGTCCGCCACAACCTTGCCCCGATGGGAGTTGTGCTGCCAACCAATCTAAGGTCAGAATTTTACGAGTTACCTTTAAACCCTCGTCGCTATTTACGGTGTTTAGGTGAGGTTTACGATTTCTGGTCAAACCGTGGATCGATGTGGATATGAAGTTCCGGATCAAGGGACACCCTGCTTCCCGGCCGGCTGCAACATGGGTAAGCTCTTCTTCACCGTTTGACAATCTCTTAGTTTTTTGTACAGCGTTTTTCGATTAAAAAAATGATTCTAGGCATCGAGTTGTCATGATAATGGCCTTAAAGGGCACGTTCAGGGACGTTTTTTTGGAAAAAAGCAAAGATTTTTTCCGAGAACGGGGGTCGAACCCGGGCCCCCCGCTCGGGAGACGCGGATGGATACCAGTCAGCCACAGCTACAACCTGGCGAGGGGGGCGAGGGGCGCCCCACGCCACCAAGGAGGGGAATGGCCTGTCACAGGACGGGCAAGCAGTGCGCGCGGTCCCTACGTCCATAGGGTGTACACGTTGGGACGAGTACACGGCCCCTCCCTGAACGTGCGCTTTAAGACTATTACCCTCAACAACCTGGCTGATGCAAGCTTCTAAAGACAACCCCAAAAATGTCTTGCTTCAAGTTACCACGACGAAAACCTCGACGCCCACAACCGCTACGAAACCTAGCCCGACTACAAAAAGCACTACCACCAGCACATCTACGACGACGACCACGAAACAAGTGGTAAACTGGGCTAATATAGATCGTCCTAACAAAATAGTCACTGCAACTGCATATTTCCTCAATATGCCCATGTTTAAAGGTACATTCCGCGCACGTTAAAAAACCCATGTCGGCTGCAAGAAATCGGTGGCCCGGCGGTCGCGATCCTCCGACCCTTCGTGGCCCTTCGCCCCCTCCCCTCTCACGTCTTTCCCATGGCCGAGTGGTCTAAAGCGCTAGCCCCAGTCGAGGGTCCCGGGTACGGTTTTGCCCGACTTTTAGCACCTACCCGGCATTCTAAAACACACAATTTGTCTAAAATCTTGGAGCATTCAAACGAGGGCGGACTGTACCTTTAAAGGGGCTACGAAATTCCAAAAATTGAGTGACGGCCCGAAAATCCTAGCCCTGTACGTGGGAGGCCTCTGCACACCTAGGGGCGCGGGAAGCTCGCAAATTTGAAATGGCCTGCGGTCACCTCGTAATCACGGTCTCGGCTGTTTCTGGGCCAAATTTGATGCTTAAAACACCAAAACTATTTTAAATTGAGTGAGATTGCAAAAATGGGGTCAGAATTCGCAAATTATAGTGTTTTCACAAAGAAACCGGGCAAAAGCAACTTCGCGCAAAAATAGAAAGAGTGAGGCAGCGCCCGCTGGCAATTTGCCCGAAATCAAAGAGGCCTCCCAAACGGGCTTTGATTTGGCAGTTCGGAGCCCCTTTAAGAAGCTGCTTTAGGAGTGCGATGGCTGGTTCACTTCTGTTTACACGGGGAACTGCTGGAAGGTCTGCACAACAAAAAAAACATGGTTACAACTCGTTTTTAGCTGCTCGACACCAAATATACGTTCGACGAGGCGAAGATCCAGTGCGAAAGCATCGGCGCCATCTTGCCGAACCTCCATAATGGGATCGACGCTGATGAATTTGCCGGTATACAGTTTTTTCTTTAGTTTTACTGAAAGATTTTGCGAAATTTGGCACTTTTTTGAGCCGCATACCTGGAATTTTTCAATCCCCTGACGCTAAGCGCAAAAAACTCCAAACTTTGAACCGGCTCTTCCATACTGCCTAAGCAAAAAGGTGCTTTAAGTTTAAAGTTCTGATTGCTGAGCATTTAAAAAAGCTGGCCAAAAAAAATCAGCAAGTGGCGCGTGCAAATCATTTGAACATATTTTGAAGGCTTCTTCCGCAGTTCGTTGACGCCACAACAATGAAGCCAACCTGACCAATACGCCTGGCTCGGAGCGACGAATGTCAGTTCAAAACAGTCTGATCTTGGAAGGCTAAATTTTTTAGTGTCCACGGAGTTGCGCCAATGGGAACCGGTCTATTTTGTGTAGAATTTACCTGATTTCTTTCACTGATCAAAATTTGCCTTTCAGAATCGGCAAAACGACCACGCAAATGTTTTAATCAGGGAAAAATTCTGCACACAATATGCCGGGTCCCATTTTGTAATTTCATACACACCACGAAAATTTTCCTTGTTATTTCAGACCGGCGCTGGTGAATACGGTTTTTCCTGGTTGAACGGCACGGCGATTCGTGAGTGGTACCATCAAGGAGGCGTGGGAGATGTTGTCGGGGAAGGAGACTGCGTGGCGGTCGGTGCCAAATGGCGTGTTTTTGGAAAAAAGCTCATTTTCAGAATGACCAGGAGTTGATTTGGGTGAAGTTACCGTGCGACGCTCCTGGATGGACTTCCTGCCAACAAAGCTCATGGGGGTAGTGATTACCACGGTGAGCAGGGGCATAAAATTTAACGGCAGATAACTCTGGTCCAGCTGATATTTGCATCAAGAGTATTGTCTAGAAACCAACAAGGGTATGTTAAACCTAGCCTACCTCTCTCCATCTCTCGCTCTCTTTTCCTCTTTCTCTCTCTCTCTCTCTCTCTCTCTCTCTCTCTCTCTCTCTCTCTCTCCCGCTCTGCCTCGCGCGCTCGCTTTCAAACAAAATGCCTCCCTTCTGCTGCTGAATTTATTCCCAAAACCACACATTTAATGCGGCAACAGACATGGCGGAACTGTCGGCGCCGGAGGGTAGATTGGGGCTATTTGAACGGGAGGCGTGATGTACCTCACGGTGATTTCATATACCAATCGCTCGAAGCAGCTTCTGCGGCCATCGTTTAGGCCGGCTTTCTCGGCAAATGCCTGAAAAATCATTTGGTCGGGCGGAATCGTTGACTAGCTAGCAATCTACTATTTACAAGATTATTAATGTACGTCTGCCCGACGTCCGTCCGCGACCGGGAATTCAGCCAAATTCTGCATTCAAATTCCAAACTCAAATTGTGTGGAGGGGAGGGCCAGCGTTGAACCCCCGCGTAGCGGGGGGTCAGCGCTGGTTCTATCTGAATTTTTGATTAATTCAGGTGTTTGGGGTATCTGTGGTTCTTGTTTAAAGCGAAGTTCAGGGAGGGGCCGTGTACTCGTCCCAACGTGTACACCCTATCAGGCCCGTAATAGGGGGGCGAGGGGGCGAGCCCTTTAAAGGGCACGTTCAGGGACGTTTTTTTGGAAAAAGCAAAGATTTTCGCCGCGGTCGGGGGTCGAACCCGGGCCCCCCGCTCGGGAGGCGCGGATGGAAACCAGTCAGCCACAGCTACAACCTGGCGAGGGGGCGAGGGGTGCCCGACGCCGCAAAGGAGGGGAATGGCCTGTCACAGCACGGGCAGGCCGCGCGCGCGGTCCCCACGTCCATAGGGTGTACACGTTGGGACGAGTACACGGCCCCTCCCTGAACGTGCGCTTTAAGACAGATGATCTGAGAAAGGCACCAAGCGCTTAGAGAATGGTACAAAACAATAATAATTTCCGACCGTTGTGTGCACCAACCTGAGCAATGAGGCCACTGACTGCCGTCAGCTTCGCTTCCGCTGGATTCGGGCAGCTCTCCGAGCTCCCATCTATGTAGGCGCTGTAGACAGCGCTAGCCATCCTAAGAAACATCCACGAGTTAGATGCCTTCAATTCATGAATTTAATGAAGAGGTCAAAGCTGACGAGGAAGTATAAATTACTAACAATAAGAAATGCTTACGGGCAGGGAATCTCGGGCCAGCGTTCCAAAAGTTGAGGCGCCGCCAGGGCTGCCCCCTTCTGGAAGCAGTCAAGAATTTTGGCATCTAAAAAAATGGAAAAACATCGCTTTGAATGGGCATTCTTACACTGCGGTAGTACAGATGTGCCATTGCAGAGATATGGGGCAATTCGAGCTTCCGTTGCGCTGCGGCGTTCTCCTCTAAAATTGGACCCTATGATGCGTACCTGATTTAAACGGTTTACCAGGGTTGAAAAGCCGCTTCGCGACTTTTCAACCCTGGCCCTGTCTATCCCCATAATATTCTTCTTTCTGCATACGTCTCTCGAATTCCGATGAGAAAAAATGACAAATGACACTCGCTACCTGATTATATAGGCTACCACCACTTCCGGTTCATGTTAATTGTTTCCTAACAAAGAGGGTGTCCGAGATTTTTACAAAAACTGAGATTTAATTAATTAATTATAATAATTAATTTTAAAACAATTAATTTTGTAAAATCTGATAAGCGTGCAGTCATCCCAGAGCCATTACGCATCTAATGACGTATCATATATACCTTAAAATTTATTCCCTATCAAGATATCCTCCGGACATGGTGACGGAAGTTGCATGCAAAGTATCACACACACACACACACACACACACACACACACACACACACACACACACACACACACACACACACACACACACACACACACACACACACACACACACACACACACACACACACACACACACACACACACACACACACACACACACACACACACACACACACACACACACACACACACACACACACACACACACACACACACACACACACACACACACACACACACACACACACACACACACACACACACACACACACACACACACACACACACACACACACACACACACACACACACACACACACACACACACACACACACACACACACACACACACACACACACACACACACACACACACACACACACACACACACACACACACACACACACACACACACACACACACACACACACACACACACACACACACACACACACACACACACACACACACACACACACACACACACACACACACACACACACACACACACACACACACACACACACACACACACACACACACACACACACACACACACACACACACACACACACACACACATGCCGAAATGACATGATGTCGCAACTCAGAATGTCGAAACTTACATAAGCTAGTATTCCCGGTAAAACCCCAAATCCTAGGCAGAAAAAATTTCGACATTATGAAATTTCGACATTATGAATTTCAACATTATGATAGCAAATGAGAAATCCGAGTACAAACCGGCAAATGGCTTTGGCATCGAAGAACATCAGATGCGGCTAGAAAAGGAGGTTTTTTGGGGGAAATTGGTTCTTTCGCATTTCCGGGGGGGAGATAATTTTTTTTGTATAAGTCTAGACATGCCCAGAACTGAATAGAAGATGTTTTAATAGTGTTTTTAATAATATATAACTATATTGTGATTAGAAAAACTAGCTAAAACTTTAAAAAAGACGAAATTGTGGTAAAGCATTGGCCATTTTTATCAGAAAAATCGATATTTCTGAAATCTGATAAGATAAAAGATAAGATAAAAAGATCTGATAGAAAGATAAAAACAGAAAAATCTGGTATTTTATCTTTTAATACAAATTGTAAAGTTCTCTTGTTTAGGCAAAGTAAAAACCATTTAGAAACATTTCGAATATTTATATGTGAAAAATTAGGTCCTAAAAAACGACGGCGTCGAGGCTGGATGTCAAGTTATCAAGGCCATATTGCTTTAAAATGACGTACGACAAAGTACATGGGAGGGTCCTCTACTTCAGGAAATTGTGGTTGCTCGGTGGTCGGGGCGGCTGTAATGACGATTAATATACTGTATTCGCTACATCATTACATACTATCTTTCTCCACTCTTTGTTTTTAACGTTTCCGGGCGTCAGTTTTAAAGCTTTGAAGTGGTAAAAACAAAAAATACATACCAACAGTAGCTCCAGCCAAGACGACAAGGACCGAGAGCAGCTTCATGTATTTAAACTACCGTAGTATGGATATTAATTAACCAGCAAACGCCGGGAAAAAACTTTAAGAGGACTGATACCTGCCAGCCTGCTGTCAATGTTATATACGGTATGGAAGTGTTGAAATTGAGCTGTTTGAAAAGCTCTCAAGTTTAATCAGCACGTCGTCAACTTTATTGAAAGGGTGGAAAATGTTAATGGTGACCAATACCTTCCATTGTAAATTTGTGGCCGTCTTTACATCTGACATTTTCCAGTCATCTCTTCCGGAAAAGATGGCACGAAAGATGGAACTTCTTACTAACGCCGGGTTTTATCGGTAAACTTGGGTAAATTTACAGCAACTCGATTTACAATGTTTCGAATGACAGAACGAATGACGGAATCTCGGATGATTAGAATGTTGAATGTTCAGAACCTCGAACGATCAGGATCTCACCCAAGTCTAACTTTTAAAATTCCAAAAACAGCGCGGCTCGACGAAATCAACTATGCACTTCCAGGAGACTTCAAAAACAAAAATTCTAAACGCTTTCTTCGCCATAATTTTTTTATTTTTTTTTGCGCGTTTCATCCACCCGAAATATTACAACAAACACCAGAAGTTTATTTGAACCGGTCATCTGGTTCCGCTAGTTAGTCAGAAACGTCAAAAGTCTGTTTACCTTTTTATAGCTTTAGTATAGCGCATAGTGTGCCTTGGGTTAAAAGGATAATGAACCATCCGGCACCTTAGGAAATTTTTTGCTTTGACGCTAGCTTTCATTTATCTTTCTTTCTTGCCATTTATCAAAATCATTCGCTATCTGATATGTGATTTCCGCTCGGAAGTTGGTGCTAACGTCGTGCCGGTTTTTCTAATAAAAAGGAGAATAAATTGCAAATTGGCAGGGGCTTTGATAAAGCGCTCTTAAAGGTTTAAGAAATAAAAAATAGCAGCTTAAATAAAAATAGGCTATGCCGGATATGTTAACTTATTTCGACGATTTTCAGCGTATCGACTGATTTTGAGGTCCTGATGCGAGGTTTGAATGTAACATTCCAAATGTTTGCCTTGTTACGACTGCCTAATACACTAGCTGAGGCGAGGTGGACTCAAAAATGGGGTCATTGCCCTAGGGCAGAGCTAAAGATGAACAGCAATGCGCACCGCCCATCTGCCTAATGTCCATCTAGATCGATACCAATGCAAGGGTCAACCACCTCCTCATAACCCTTGCATTCTAAGCTTCCAAACCTTAAACAAATAATTCGTACATTGCTCTAAACTTTATTTTTAATTTGATTTTATTGCCTCCCAGTTATTAGTCGATTTAGTGATGACCATCTACACGGCGAGCACCGGAAACCGCAAAGAACCCGCTTTCGATAGGGGTAGCAAGGTAAGAAATTGTTTAAAAACGAATTCTGCAAGCTTAGCTGGAATTTATTTTTTTATCTTGTAGTTATCTGGATAGTTTCAAGCATTCAATAACTCTAGAATTTTACAATTTTCTATAAAGATTGCCCAAAATAACGAGTTTCCTGCCCTAATGACCGAATCTCAAAAAATTTCAAATGTATCAAAATTTTCCACGTTTTTTTTCAGGAGTTTCCCGCTTAAAATTGAATATTCCATCAAAGAAACATTCAAAATACTTACTTTGACGTTATGATCTCCAGGCTACTTTTTCAGCGCCTAGTTCCTCTAAAAATCATCTCAACCTTCTATTTGGTCTGCGGAAGCTTGTTGATACTCCTTCATCCCTTCAACACAAATGACTGCGAAACGAAGGGTCATAGGAGCATGATTTTGGTAAAAAAAATTGTTTTCAGTTTTCATAGCTCGTTTATAGATGGCCATGGTCATCCCGGGGGTATTCGGTGGCATGGCGGTAATGACCAAGAAGCCGATCTACGTGTTGTTGTACGTTTGCACAATCGTGAGTTCGATGTTTTTGAATTGGAAATTTTTGGTCTCTAGAACCCGCTGATGCTCGCGTTCCGCTACTTGTCGGCGAAGCTAGCGTTCCTCAAGGAGTAAGTTATAATGAGCAAAAAATTTTTATGATTTTATCGAAATTTCGTAAGCTCAAAATTTTGATATGTCGACATGTGCATAATCTTTTTCTGGCGCCTGGCGGGTTATGAAAGTTCGATATTGTGAAGATGATGAGTCCTACATTTCAATAAAATTAACACAGTTAAAAATAAATACCGACTCGAAACAGACAGTTTTTTGTTTCCACAGCTAAACCCATGTTGCACTTCAGCAAATTATTTTTTTAGCAAAGAGCCATCTGAATCCGATGGCTGTTTCTATGGCTGGCTATGTAATCGCAATGGCGAATTGAACGATCTCGGCCTGTTCGTCTACAGCCTGCGCGTCCTGATCCCAGGCCTCGAAGTCTGCTTCTACAACTGGGCCGGCAAGATGGCGTACGACTATCTATGGTAAGTACAAAAATTATGTTTTTAATGAATTTGCCAAAAACAATGAATATAGAAACCCAGAGCAAAATTCATGACGTCCAAGTTTTAGTGAACGCCAGTCCGACCTGAAACCGATGAAATCGGCCACGAAACAACAGCCAAAGTCCCAAATTCTTCCGCTCTATGTCGAGCCGGCCTGGGTGCCGCAGCCACAATTTCTGGAGAAGATGAGCGAAGTGTAAACCGATGAGAAACTTTTTAAGAAATCCCAATCCGCAACTTTGTAAAGTTTTCTTCATGTTCGACAATTTCTCCATGTAATAGCTGATACTCACTCGTTGCCTGTATCTCACTGTAATAGAATATATGCAGCTCAGTATCCCTTTTGTTCCACGACCTATCTGATGCTCGCTGCTTCATTACACTGGTACCCGGTATATTCTACTATATCTATCGGAAACCCTTGACTACCCGAGGAGAATTATTCTCTTAGCTTTTTGAAATTCTTGATTTTCTTCCTACGTTTACTCCAGCAATTTTTCGGCACAGTTTTGGAACGGTTGAATCGTTCAGAACCAATGCCGAACCACCTGTCATAGAAGACTAATTCAAAATGAATTACCCGGATGTTACCCGTCGGCTGTTCTTTAGCCTCTTTCCGCCATATTTGCGATGTTACGAAGCTCCGCATCTGTTACTTGGGCTTACTCACCCGGGCACGCTCACGCTAGCTTGTAGCCGACTTTCTGATTTTTCCGCCGCAAGTTCAAGGCGTTCGGGTGTAGCTAAAGTACTTTTACCGGTGTTTCAGGGTTTATTTTTGGGGTGTGGTTCGGTTAAACTAGAATGTTGCGGAGGTAGAAAAATCAAGAAAAGAAATGCCTCAAAAAAAGGCAAAGAGAGAGAAAGAGAGGGAGAGAGAGAGAGAGAGAGAGAGAGAGAGAGAGGGAGAGAGAAAGAGCGAGAGAGGAGAGAAAATATGGAAAAACACAGCTCCTGCTCCCGATCTGGCCAGGACACGGATAGTCCATGCCATCACGCCCAACCCGCTTATGAAATACACACTTTTCCGTGGAAAAATTATGTTTACCTGCAGGGCTGCCCACACATGGTGAGTATGTTCGGTTTCGCCGCGTGTTCTCGTGGTCTTTCGCCGGATTTGCATGAAAAATAGGAGAAAAGGTGAGGGGCGTAGATTCGGTATAAATATACCTAGCTAGAGAGGTGGGACAAAAAATCTATTGACATTCATAGATCTCTAAAATGCAGTCCACGACTTTCCTTTTGACAATCTTGAGCGTCCTGTGTTTTATTTGTAAGTCTTATACATTCAAAAGTATGGCAAAGCTTGGGTTTGTAAGACAATATAGTCTATATTTTTAGCGTTTGAATATTATATAGCCTTCAATTTTCATAAGTAGCTTCAAAATACGATAAGACAAATACTTCCGTTGTTTATTAAATATAAAATTAATTGAGCTACAGTAATATCCGAAATTTGGCTTTTCCTGACCCACATAGTCGACATTTTTAGCCCTCATCAGCGCTAAAGGTGTCGTGACACGATTCTTCGGTTGTGATGACCCGTGCAGGGTAAGATTTTGGAATACCGTAGTATGGATTAGCTTATCGTAACGTCTCGTACCACCTTGATTCTATCACACAGTAGTCCAACCTATTTTTAGAACAAAGGCGATGTCGTCTCGTGCTGTGCCGGAAACGAAGGATTCACGGACGGCATCTGCTACATGGACCTGTCATATTGCTTCTGATTTCTGAAATACTGATTTTTGGATTTTTTGTAGTGTGTCCACCATATGCGAATAATGATGTCTGTACAGTTTTTTGTATAAATTACGTGCCTTCTATGATTTGTAGGTTTTACGTGACGCGGCTTTTTCGGGGCACGGGACACTAGACTAATCCGATCATGACAACAATGCTTAAGGGTACACCCGGCGTACTTTTTCGATGAAACCTGCGAAAATCAAAGGCTAAAATTTAAATTTCCAGAGTCGATGGGATCAAAGGTAAAGAGCCTGGAAGATAAAAGACGGAAGGCGCGGTGATTTTTGTACGAGGAATCGACATAGAAGAATCGAGCTGGTCAAGATCCGTTCATGTCGTCGTATTTTGCTTTGAGCAACAACTACGTGTTCCACTAGACGTTTCTCCGAATTCGGATATGTTTAAAGGGACTGTGAAGCGTCAAGCCCAACGGTTTGCGAGACAAAGCTGTCACCACGCCAATAGTCAAATACATGATGATTTTAGAATTTTTACTACCCTTTAATTTTCTCATAGCCACGCATTTAGAGAAAACACAAATTTAATTTATCATCGTGAAAAACAAGCATCCACATCACCGGTTCCGCGAATTGATCAATTGATAAACGTTGTTTATAACGCTGGTCAAGCCTGATGTAAGCTATGGTCTGGTGGTGAATCACCGCCATCAGCGCCCTCCGATATCACGGGATCAACAAGACAGTGGGCCAGTTAGGTGGCTGATTTATCGCTCTTGGCCAAAACATCGATAGGGCCCCAAGCAAAAGCACCAGGTGGTCCGACCCGGCACCAGGAAATGACGGCTATTTTACTATCATTTGTTTTAATTGGCATTTTTGGTAGTGGTAAGTATTTTTTGAACTAACAATGGTCAGATGTGATACCTTAAAAGACGTCGCAAGGCACTTGAAAGCTGTGGATTTCGGCTAGATTTGAACACGGGTTTCCATTCTGTTAAGTAACGAGTTAGGACGCTTTTAACATCAAAGTAACTGGCGCTTTGCGTGGCGCGCTGCGTGCGACGTTGCTTGTGGCGCTGCGTCTGTCGCAACGCGCTGAGACAGACGTCGCATGGCAATCGCCGCAAAGCCTTTAGAAAAGCCATAGAGAAAAACCATGGCACTGCCTTGCCAATCCCTTTAACGTTAATTTAAGAGTACGATACGATACGACATATTAAGATACCTTTAAGTAAAATTTTTCAGTACTTACCGTTGAGAGATGGCGACCGGAGAATCAGAAAAAGCTCAGCAAAAGCGATGCGCAGGTCGGAAAATAGATGGTTTCGAAAAATCGCTTTAGGAATACCTCCACAAATTCCTCTACCTCCCGCCCCTAAATTTGGTGGCGGCAGGTCATGCTGGACCGAGTTTAGCATCGGCTCGGGAGGATTTGAAAAAGGCTATTATGTAAGTAACCTTGTTGAACCCCTAAAAAAAACTACATTACAGGCAATTCCAAAAAACGGCCGACATCCCGCAGACCGGGATTCTTGACGATGAGACGAGGACCGTGATGGCACAACCGAGATGTGGTGTTCCGGATATTGCAATGTATACACTTGGAAGTAAGTGTTTTAGGTATATTAACGGGCTCATGCTAAAACCGAGATTCAGATGATTGAATAACGATTCTCACAATTTTTTTGATTGACCGTGAAAACCCGCAACTTTAATTTTTCAGGAGCCCCACTAAAGTGGAAAAAGAACGCTTTGACGTACTCGATCGACAGCTATTCGCAAGATTTGTCAAGCAGCATCCAAAAGTCCGTTCAACAATTGTTTATTCGAATCTTCGTAAATTTCTTAGGAAAACAGTGCAAGAGGCTTTCCAGTTCTGGGCCGCCGTCTCGCCGCTGACATTCCGGGAAGTGGCGAGGGAGGGAGATATCAGGGTGGGTTTAACAAGTTTTTGTCATCACAAAATTGGTAGGAATTTGGCTTGGGGATTACAGGGACAGGGAAATAAAAGCTGTAAAATGGTTGTCAGGAAGTTCTTAAAAAGCCTTGCGGAACCAGTGCATGGTGCAGAAGATCGTGAAGAACGTGAAATAGACCGTTCCTAAACGTGTATGATCAAATTTCTATAAGCTGGATCTCTCTCTCTAACACTCTCGCTCTCTCTCTCTCTAACGCTCTCTCTCTCTCTCTCTCTCTCTCTCTCTCTCTTTCTCCCTCTCGCCTACCTGGCAACCAAGCCTTGCAACAAGCTCCCTGGCGAAGGTTCGCGATTCGGCAAACTTTTGGTGGTCCTCCATTCTCACCGCCCTCGATTAGGACTTGATGCTCAGGCTAGAATTTTTAAATTTATTTCGATGTCCCTGATAGGTACCTCCGGAGCCATAGGAAGGCCATCCTTCTCCCTCAGCACCTTGCTGAGAATGATTCCAATCAAGGCAAAGCCGGTGTAGAGATAGCAGACGATCAGCCACTCGTAGGCCGCTAAAATTAAATCGTTTAGAGGTTATTTTTTACTTACATGCAGCCTCTCTGGGGATTGAAGACATGGCGAAGGCGCCCTAAAAATTTTTCATGGAATTTTTCGATTAACCTACAACTAGGGTGGAGCCCAAAAGTCCCAAACCGGCCAGGAAAATTCGGATGCGGCTGTCAGAGCTGAAATTCAAGCGGCATAAATTTGATAAGTTTTGGATATTACTGATGGACGAAGAGGGCCAAGCCGGCTGCAGCGACAAAAAGAAGGGTTGGGATGTAGATTTGGGTGAAGATTTTTCTGAAAAATGGTTGTACTCTCTCTTCCTCTCTGTCTCGCTCTCTCTGTCTCGCTCTCTCTCTCTCTCCTCTCTCTCTATCTATCTCTCACAACCTACAGTCTCGACATGCAATCCCGCTTGAAAACAAATTTCGCCCGCAGACAAGCGTATTTTCCTGTATTCGTAACCGAAGTGCAAAGATCCGGAGTTACAGTGTTCAGTCGGAATTCCGGCACCATGCTCTAAATTAATTCAAATACCGGTTTTTTTTTATCCCAGGAACTCACCGACACCCCGGCCCTCAGCTGGATCGGGTTCGCCTCCTTCCATTTGTAATCTATAGTTAATAAAACGCCCTAATTTTTGCAAATCCCCACGTACCAACATCCTCTGTTGTCCAGCCATAAGAGGCAAAGTCGACGTAGCATACATGCACATCCAGGGGGTAGTTCTGCAAAGCTTCGGAGCCTCATTTTTTTCTCCTACCTCCATATCAAAGATACAGGCGGTTTTGAGTGATAGGCGCTCGCTCAGCATCACACTCCCATCTAGGATTTTTTAGTTTTCGCAAAATTTTGACGTACTTGTGTTGATGATGATTAGGGAATTCGGGTTCGGGATTTCGTGACGGGCGGCGGTGCGTTCGTTCTAAAAATGCTATTAGGATGCGGGATCGATAACATTATTGACTGGCAATAAGCAAACATTTTTAGAAGGTCACCTTACATGGAGGGGCCTTTAGGTGAATTTGGAATTTTGCGATGAGACATAGCTCATTCCATAGAGCTACAAATTCCGAACAATTCCCATCTTGTGAACACTGATGAAATTTTGTTCTGTTTTCGCCTGTTTCCGATAAAATTCGCTTTGAAAGGGCCGATTTTGACCAAGAAACAAGAAACTTTTTTCGAGGATCGTTAGCGTTCAGATGTTATTGAGAAAAAAAGACTCGTTTAGAATTTGAAGCTTTACCGAATGAACTATGTCGGATCGCAAAATTCCAAGTTCACCTACAAATCGCGCCTTATCGGATCTAGAAACGGAAATCGGGGCAAGCGCGTTCTAGGCATTTGGAAAGGGCCGTCAAGGTATTATTATCGAGTCTGGATTATCGGGATTTTCCGCTATTTTGCCGCGACGCTACGCATGCGTCGTTCGGCTGCCGTCGAAATCTTTAAACCGCTGCACAACAACAAACTGGATAGGAGCGTTGCGTACTGCGACGCGGAAATCCATAGACATGCCTGGCCCTATTAAATAATGATGTTCGACATTTTTTGCCCCCACCTCTTTCCACCGTAACCTGACCCACCCAACCAGTTACCTGAATAAAAGTGTCCGGCATCCAAATCGGCTTCTCCTTCCCATCCCAGTTCATCCGAAAGTTTTTCGGCAAAGTCTCCCCAGCGACGGCAGCTGTATAGCCCAGTTGGGGATCCGACCACTCTTGCCGAAGCGTTATTTGAAATCTAGGCAAACAGTAGACGATAATTCAGCAAATTTATACCCAATCTCATTCTTTTCGGCGTCCAAATACTCGACGTCACGCAGGAAGAAATTCACCGTGACCACGGCTGGGTTGTCTGAAATTAAAATTAGGTGATGACCATTATCAGGAATTTTTGAAACGTATGTACGACTTACTAGATGATCCGAAGCCCGGGCGGATTTCAGGGTTGTAACTGTCGCCGTTGATTTTCAGATTCGAGCTAAAAATGGACGAACATCGATTTTGAAATTCGTAGATTTTTACCCGCTATACAAGTCCTTGATGGAACTGGCATCGGTAGACGCGCTAAAAAAACACCATGAATTAATTTGGTTTTAATAGAATTTTTTAATCTGGTTTTATTGGGGCCCTATAAGCACCTAGGCCTTTTAAAATTCTATAAATATTTTTGCTACGCAACTTACGCAATGAGAAAGCATAAAAGCAATGCTGCCTTCCCGAGGAACGGCAACATGTCCTAAAATAGCCATAATTAATTCAAACCACCCAAAGAAAAGGCCGAAATCTCGAGAATGAGGCTATAAAGCCGAGGTCCGGAGGCTCAGCCGGGGGCCCCCCTCATAATTGGCTACAAGACCCTGCGTTTTTTTCAGGTGCGATTTGCGAGCGGTGCCCATGGCGACATGTATCCCTTTGATGGAGAAGGTGAGGGGAAAAACGGACTTTTGGAGCAAATAGTACCGTTGTTGTTCAGCGGAAATTTGGGCCCTCGGGTCTAATATATAGCTGCACGGGGTGGGAGAAATTAACGGAAATTAGGGTGCGATGTCTAGGTTGTTATATTGAGTCGGATCAGCTGAGCGTGAGAGAAAAAGAGCGAGCGAAAGAGAGAGAGAGAGAGAGAGAGAGAGAGAGAGAGAGAGAGCGAGTGAGAGAGAGGGAGGGAGAAAGGGAAAGAGAGTGAGAGAGAGCGAGAGAGCGAGAGTGAGAGAGAGAGCCGAACGTCCTGCTAGTGGAAGAAAAAATAATAATGCTGAGAAATAAAAATGAAAAAAAAATAAAAAGCTGATAAAGAGCTCAATGCTAGTAAAATCAAAAATATATAATAATATTGGCGATTTTAGGCGGAGTTCTCGCCCACGCCATGTTCCCCGAAGCGGGTGGCCTCCATTTTGACGAGGATGAAGCCTGGGCCTACAAAGAGACGGCCAAATTACGGTATTTTTATAGCAATATCTTAAAATTCGATCCGCATTTCAGACAAGGCCATACCGACCTGCTCTACGTCGCTATACACGAAATCGGGCACACTCTCGGGGTGGACCATATTCAGAACAAGGATGCGATCATGTACTTTAGCTATCAGGTATGTAAAGGGTAATTTAAATCAATAAAATAACTTATGAATATAAAAAGTTAAAAGCCAAGAATCTAATGGTGACAAGAAAGTGATAAAAAGTTAAGAACATTTTCGTTTTTTAGCAACCGCTGAGCCGGTTCGGAAGTTATATTGAGCCCGAACTTCATGCAGCAGATATTGCAGCGATCCAGAAGCTTTACGGTACCCTTTTTTAAGGTTTTGATAGCGGCAAGGACCGTTTTTAGACTTTGTAAATAGATAGACTATGCTCAAAATCCGATTTTTCATTCTAAAATCACAATCAGAATAACAACTTTTGCGGACCTACTTTTCACTTTAAATTAGAAAAGACGAACTAGCAGAGATCATTATGAAACACCTCAAGGTCCTTAATTTCAGCCATTCAGGAAAACCCTCCGGGAGCCCCGGCAGAAACAATTTCGGCGGGGACGTCGAAATTGGCTCAAACGCGGATAACACACCAGGTACACCCCGTATTTTGTTGTGGTTTGTAGTCGGCGTTGAGTCGCGGTAACTACCACGAGAATGCCCCCTCGAGTTGATGACGACCAGGAGATCTTTATCGAGAGAAATGCAGAGGGCAGAGACCGATACAGAAGTCCGATGCCATCGAAATGTCGATAAGCCAGAAATTTTTAGCCCGAACGACGCCCAGCCCGAGAGACCGGCATAGGCACCATCACCACCATGGTATTAGGAGCATTTTTGTGGACATTACTAAATTTTGGGGAGTTGACTAACCTTTTTCGTTAAATTTTACCAACTAAAAGCTCAATCAAAAGTTCAAATTTTCAGGTCATCACCACAATCACGACCACAGCCATGGAAGCGGTCGTCTTCAGTGCCCGAGCCATGTGGATTCGATGGCTGTTGGTAAGGGAAAACCCGCTTTAAAGGGAGAGTGACAAACTGGCAAGAAATCGTCGTAGTCAGTTCTTTCTTCTATTCGAATTCTCTCTTTTTGTCTGTTTCTCTCTAGTTACCACACTTTCCCCCTCTCTCTCTCTCTCTCTCCCTCTCTCTCTCTACGTCATACAAACTGGAACCCATATTACGTGAATTTCCAGATGGCGACTTCATCTTCATCTTCGAGGGCCAATACGTCTATGAAATCCGGAACAAACGAGTCCATAGCGTAAGCTACACCTTCTGATTAGCTTTCATAGATATCCGCTAAAAAAATCTCCCGAAAAATCTGATCAAGCCAGTCTTTTCCAGAGAAAGCGCATCACCGAACTTTTCCCGGCAGGGCCACGAACTATCGAAGCCGCTGTTTTGGATAGGTCTACCAAGAAAATGCTGTTCTTCACAAGATCACACGTAAATAAGGGATTTTTTAGGCAAATACAATTTTTATTAGTTTGGCGGCGGCGACGTCTACGCGTATTTTCACTCGGCTATGTTCGGAACCTACGTGAAAGCGTATGAGCACCATTTCATGAACTACCAACCTTTGGCCGCGGCTCTGCCTTGGACCGAGGGGCGGACGATACTGCTGACGGTAGGTAGAGAGAGAGAGAGAGAGAGAGATAGAGAGAGAGTGAGCGAGAGAGAGAGAGCGAGAGAGAGCGAACGAGAGAGAACTATTAACCGAATCCAGGGCTCCAACCACTTCGCCGTCTACGACGCTAAAAATGGCCATTCCTCCGGCTTCAACGCGATTGATGTCGATGAGTTCCCAACTGGAGTTAAGGTACGTTTTATACTTTTGAATATTTGCAACTATTTTTCAGGGTGCAATCTCCAAGTCCAACAACGAATATCTACTGTTCACCCGAGATCGTGTCGTTCACTACGATGTCGATGCAGAGCGTGTTCTCAAAACGTGGAATTTGAACGAATATTTAACGTGTTGAATAAAGTTCATCAAAAAGGCATTGTTTATTGTACAATTATGTAGTCACGCATTGCGTTGTCTATCGCTTAGTACGGATACACATCCGACTCGGAGACGTCCACCCCGGTGTGTGCATCATAAAGACCATATGAATCGCGCCTCACGTCATCGCCGTTGCGCCGGTATTTTCTAAAGAACAATAATTTTGATAATTTGCTAATAGAGTAGTTTAATAATAGTGGATGTGCATTGATATCAGATAGTAGAAAAATGCCCTACAGCAAAGCACATTTTTTTGATTTAAAAGTCGCTTTTTGAGTGCATTTTTCAATTTTTCGTTAAACGAATTCAGCTTCGTTTTCCTAATTTCAAATTTAAAACAAACTACAAACTTGCTAGAGCTGGTTACAATTCGCAAATGGATGGGGAGGATTAATGTATTTCAGGAAAGCTTACGCAAGTCATTCCATCCTTCATCGCCACACCCTTTCGGTCAACCTCGGGTTTTTCGATAACACCCTAAATTTGGTGACGTTTGTAGTATGTATTTGACGTGTTAAATCCGGCAGTATTGAAAGATCGTTTCTCGACTTTAAATATGATATTTCACGAACCTGCTGTGGCTGCAAGGCGACAATATCAGGGTCTTGGATCTTGCGATCATCAGTGTTGCCTAGTTGCTCCGTCGTCTTGAAGGACATCGTTTTTTTTCTAAAATCATCCGTAAAAGAAAATAACATTTAACTTAAAATCAATCAAATCAGACGCAAACACCCAAAAAGCTAAGAAAAGAAGACAAATGTCGATGTCATAACCAGTTTTTCGCCCGGACCGGGCCACTCTAATGCGCTACCAGCGTTCAGCAAGAATAAACAAAACCAACTTTAGGATTAGATATGACTGAATTTGGATTAATGGATGTTTTAAGTCTAATCTTTCGCAAAGAAAAGCTTTCCGAAATGGTTGGGCATGCTGTTTTCTAGCCGAGCGTGGAGAGTGTTTGTTCCCCCTCGTGCTGCCGCTCTTTTCTTGTTGACGACCCGCAGAGGTTTGCATATTTCGCCATAATTTTTGGGGAGTTACTACCTCTCTGCTGGAATATATATCGACCTTTTTAGCAAAGTTGGTTGTGTAATAACGTCGAAAATAATTATCGATCCTAACTGTACTGTGTGAAAATTAAAGATTCAAGGAAAAATGCATTGTTTATTGTACAGCTATGTGCAAATTATTGTTTTTTTTGACATTTAGTAGAGGCAGATCTCTTCTTCGGAGACTCCCATCCCGGAGTGCGCATCATGAAGGCGACCTGACGAGTCCGACCTCACCTCAGCTCCGTTGCGCATGTTGATTCCGACCTAGAAAGGAAATAATGCCAATTTTGGAGGAGTGGATTTTGGTGGAGAACGCGATCTAGTTACCGTCATTAAAATATGCATTAGATATCTATTGCTCTCTATATGCACCTTCTATTAAAGAAAATTGTATTACGAAAAGGAAAACCCCCAAAAACACCAGAAACTTACAGATTCCTTATCATCCTTGATGGCTCCGCTCTTGCGGCCGACGTCGCGCCTGTCGCGGTCGCCCTGAAATTGATTATCTATGACGTTTCGCATTAGAATAATTTGTTTACAAACTACAATGTGGCACTTAAAAACTGCATAATTTATTTAGAAATTTAGGTCACAAACCTCTGGCGGCTGGAAGGCATCGACATGGGGGTCGTGGATCTGGCGATCCTCGGCGTCGCGGGGTTGTTCAGTGGGCATGAACGACATTTTCGATCTTTTTCTGAAACTATTTACATAAAAAATCCTTGGCAGTAGCAAAAAAAGCATCGAAAAAATGTAAAAATTTTTAAATAAGTTTAAAAATTTAGAAATTTTTGAATAAGCTTTTTAAAAGGCAGAAAAATCAGGCACACAAAAATTACAACGACAAAATTAAAATTAGGTAAAAAACCGCTGAAGATTTAAAAAGCTATGTAAAGCTAATCCAAGCAGCTTATCCTAAGCTATGCAGAGCTAGCAAATATGAGGACCGGGTCCTTACGGCCACTGCTAAATAGAAGAGTGAGGGTGTTTTCCCTACCATGGACGTGTTTTTTTCGGCTAGTCCGGCTGCACTTTTTCTTGTTGACGACCCCAAAGAGGCTTCGAGGGCCTTCTTTTCATGGAAAATTTCCCAATGCTGATGGATCTCTAGCTTTCAGTGTCGTAATATTGATTTTGGATGGCCAAACTGCTTTAAAATATGCCCATTCCTTTATTTACCTAGCGTAATACTGGTTATAACGCCAGGACAACAAAAAAAATTTGAGTGATTTCATCATGAAACGTAAAGATAAATGTAAACTGATCGATCTCATTTTTTAGATTTTTTCAAAATGAAAGCATTTAAGGGTTAAAACGTGATTCAACCATGCTTGAAGTTTAGTCCGAAATGCATGTGACTCACTTCAATATTCTTTAGGTTGTTAACCATTTTGCCAATCAAATAATTCAGATCCACGTTGTAAGGAATGCATTTATTCAGCGTAATTACAAAATTATACAATCGTTAAAGCATCAATGATTACGGCAGCTTATTCAAACCGAGCCAGGTTGGCCTCGCGGACGACTTTTCCGGACTGGGTGCCCTCGAACTCGCCCGGCTTTTTCTCGATCACATCTTCACCAGTGCGCATGCTGCGGCCAATCTGAAAAACGGTAGCTTGCAACCGATTAGGCTATCAAAATTTGATATCCACAGTTCAAAAACTCCACTAGAATGAAAGTCTGAATGCTTACCACGGCATCGGGTTCCCGGTTGGTGCTTCGGGGGCGACCTCCATTTTCACGGGGCTTGTTCTGCAAATTGTTTACATTTTTATCTCACTTCTCGTTTTATTTTTACAAGTGGGAAAGTCTAAAAAAACGTGAATCCGAATCTCGAAGTTTCATACAAAAAAAATCAAACACATGCTCGATTTGAAAAACTAAACTTTTGACCGCGCGTTAACCTAATCAAGGTTTTTCGCTGAAACTGCAGTAAAACGGCTTAAACCAAATCTGGGTCATATTTTTCTTACCTCCTCGCTAATCGGGAGCTTTGGCAAGGTAGGGGGAAGCATCGGCATTTTTCGGTTTCTGAAAGTTAAATTTTTGTGTTAACGTGCTAAGCATAGAGATCTCCGAAAACAACGAAGTAGCGACAAAACGTTTCGGATCGGAATAACAAAAAGATGGAGGTGAGGTCGGTAGGCAAAAATAGGTCGGGGGCCTACTATTTACGGCCCGCGGCCTGGGAGCCCTTGTTGTTTGCGGGTCTTTCGGGGGTTGTCTTTCTCTCTTTCTTTCTTTCCGCAGCACTCTGATGTGTTTACGGATATCTCTGCGTTTTCACAATCCTGCACTATCAAGCTCGGTTGCTTATTGAGAATTTCGGGGCTGGATGACGTTTAAAGGGACCGTAAAGTTGAGGGTTAGAAAGACCACAGATGTCGTTCTGAGAGAGAGTACGAGAGAGAACGATAGCGAGACATAGACAGAACGCGAGATCCAGAGATAGAGAGTTACAGCGATAGATCGCGCCTGAGGATGACAAAGAGCGAGCAGAGCAAGACAGTAAGAAAGAGCGAGAGAGAGAGAGAGAGAGAGAGAGAGAGAGAGATAGAGGAGAGAGCAGCGAGAGAGTGATTGAAAGAGAATGAGATTGATACTTTCTAACATATTTATTCTGTTTCCAACTTCTGACATCGATCCCAAAGGTTTGTTTTCTCAATCCCATAAACCCCAAATAACGATCACGCCCATAAAGTTCAAATCCCCCGCGCCCTAAAAACGCTCATCCCAGCCCCCCTTCAGATTACCATCACAATAACATCGCCAGCTGGCGAAATGTGTTGACGGTATACGGTGGGGAATAGTGCATTTTAGGGGTGAGAGCGGCAGAGAGTGAGAAAGAAAGAGGGAGAAAGAGAGCGAGAGAGAGAGAGCGAGAGAGAGAGAGAGAGAGAGAGAGAGAGAGAGCCAACGGTGGTGTTTTCCAGTCGGGAACTCTACCCCTCTCTGTTGCTGTTTAGGGTCAAAAGGCGAAAAAGAGGCCTCGGGCCGGCGCGCCGAAATCGTCCCCCATCTTTTGGAGATTTGGTGCACTTATTCGAGGGTTGGTCGGTGTATAAAAGACGGTCAGGTTGCCTGGGTAATCAGCTCAGGTTTTAGCAGCGAATTGTTTCTACAGTTACTGGCTCGCTATTTTGCTCATCGAAAGTCGTTGTTTTTTTTAAACTTTAATTCGTAGTTCTTCAAACATTTTTAAAGTTCCTGCCCTATTCCAACTTTCCGATAGCTTCTGTTTCATTTTGTTTTTAATATACCTCTAAACGACTATTTTTTGCAGAAAAAAACCGATAACCATGAGCAACATTACCCGTGACGACCAGGGACGCCTCCACGACGGCAAGAAGCAAGACTTCATGTCCCAGCAAGACCAGGTAAAAAATCGTGTTTTTTCCGTTCTTCGTTACCGTAATCTGTTGAGCTATTAGGTATCTATTCATTACATTTCCAGGTCCAGCAGGGTCTCCAGGGCCTCAACCAGACGGCCCCCGGGGGCATGCAGGCCCGCGAGCAGCAGCAGCGCGGTGGCCAGAACCTTCAGCGCGACATCCGGATGACCGGCCAACAGGACAAGGTCGGGTTTATCGGATTCCTTGAAGAAACCTCAAACGACGAAGCCAGGGATTCGAACCCGGGTGCTCTGTCTCGAGAGCTAAACACCTTACCAACTGAGCCATGGTGGTACCCGACCGTTTAACCACAAAATTATCATAATTTCGTTTAAATAAATCACAATTTCCAGAAGTTTTTTGCAAATTTTTGTGATGTGCTATCAGAAAAGATTGAGAAGCCGCATAGATGCATTAAAAGGATGTTGAAAAAATTTTCTGGAAATCTAACAGAAAAATAGAAAAAGGGAAAATTTTTGACCTTGAGAAAGTTGTTTTCAAGCATTATATCATTAAGGAATAACTAAACCAAGGCCTAAAATTCTATAATTAGTTTTTGAACAATTTTAATCGTCCTATTTCAGCTCGGCGGCCAGGACAAGAAAGAATGCCAGGGCTCGGACTCGTGCGGACCCCGCGAGGGCAAATGCGACAAGGGCCAGTGCCACTAAAGGTTGGTTATTCATGATATTCATTTTTATTTTGTTAACAGAATTTTATTACGTCGATTAAACTTTACCTTTTCAGTACTCGCCCCACACTCCCGCTGCACATACTGTAACCAAGTCTTCCCTACCCCCCGCAAACGTCTCGAGACCTCCAAAATTCACCCTGCCCTAAAACGATTGTGTAAATAAACGTCTGCACAAGCAAATTAAAATTCTAACACTTGGAAACCGCAAAATAAACGAGGAAATTATTAAATTCAACAGGATTTAAATCCGCTCCGCTAGTCCAAAAATAAAGCGGTAATTTTCGGCACCTGTCCGTCAAATTTTTGGAAATGTATGGGAAAAAGAGAAAAGTTCTAAGAAATGGGCCAAATTTCAAGAGGCCATATCTCGGCCATCCAGTGTCCAATTTTGATGATCTCAACATTTATCGATATCTACTCCTCGACATCTATCGATTGGCGGTAAAGGTATCGCATGTAAATGTCTCTATGCAGAGATAACTTGCAAAAACACTTTCTCGTCATTTTTGAAAAATCTTCTTGGGCTTGTATCTCGGCCGTTCTTGATATTGAGGGCACAGGACCTTCCTCCCGGAACCATTCAGGCCGAGAGCTACACAATGACATATCGCATGTGCAGAATGGAGCTATCTACGAATTTAGCCAGCTTTCCAAAATCTCGGCGACAGAACTTTCGTTCCAACCTGATAAATTTTAAATTAAAAATTGAACATGATACGCTTGCCTTGCGGGTCCTTGAAACGCCATTGAATGCGATCAATGTGAGCTTATTTTGCCATAGAAAAGCCTGCAAATTTAAGCTTAAAAACACTAAAACCACTTTTTTTTGTAGCAGCAGCACCGAAGGGAGCAAAAAAATGTTCCAGCCACGTTTTTTGCTACGGTACCAACTTAATTTTCCACCCTCTCGGTAGAAGTACTTACAGTCACTGGCGTAGGTGTTCAATTACATCCGAGTGTGAGGTACCTGTTTATATTTTTAAAGCGGTACTCATAGGCAGGGGCGTAGCCAGAAAAAATTTCGGGCTGGGGCCGAAAAATTTGTTGTCGCAAAATTGATACATTAGCGAAAAATTTGGGAAAAATAGGTTGCAGAGCATTAACAATCATCTTAAAAAGCTTAAGAAAGCTTTTTAAGATGACTAGCTTTTAAAGCGGTCGAAAGATAATTTAAAACTACCGTAGCTCAGATTGTGCAGAATTGCTGCAATTTTCTGAAAGCGCTTGAAGACTGGTAGTCAGTAATGTACACTACGTAAAACTTGAAAAAAAAACCCCATGCCGTTCCCAAATTAGTTAGGTTCTGGTCGCTGCAAAAAATTTCCAAAGCCATTTTTTCAGGCCGTTTTTGGAAGCAAAATCTTTCCTTTGCCAGCCATCTCCTGTAATTAAACTTTACCACACATCGACCCGTCCGGCCTTACGCAAACCTAGTTTTTTTCTAGTTTTCCTCCCCTACAGAATCAAAGCACGTGCCTGAATGGGCGGATAGATGCCTGCGCTGCGCTGCCCAAACCTAGTAATTTCTTGGTTAATTAAGGGTTACGGGATGTACAGTCCACCACACACAAGACCCCGTTTATCCTATCGAGGCACACCAGATGAACCTTGAAAGGACCTTGGCGGAATATGAATAGAAATACGAGAGACCGTGGTGGTTTTTGAAGATGTTGCATTCCCCGAAATCTTGGCGGTCTAAGGGCCAGGCAACGCGGCGCTCCTATCGACTCAAAAATGTATGGGGCTAAAACTTTGGAGGCTTATATCTTGAAAGATATGGCTGATCTTGAAAAACGCAAATTCCAGTCTTGTAGAAGGGAACATGGTGATTCTAATGATACTAAGCACTAACAAAACTGAATTTAGAAAGTATGCTAACGAAGGCGGTTTTGGTGGGCGACTTTGTGAAAAGTGGTATTTCGGAAAGCTAGCCTGCTGTCTTTGGTATCATTCAAACCGTAAAATTTTACTCTGCAAAATTAATATTGGATTTTCAATAATAAGTCGGTTTGGAAAGATTATGAGAGTTTAAACCTTTTGACGCGCGCCACGCCCGGCTCCAATTGACGCTTTTGCCCCTCCAGGCAAATTGCCGTTTTTGGCCTGTTTGATTGGCCGTGGTTGGTAACCTCCGCACCGAGGGCGGCGAATTTCTCGCCGAGCCTTCCGTCCATGTCTTATGATTGTTCTTATACGATACAGTAGATTCGGCTACTGCCATTGCGAAGGCATAATTTTATTGGATTTTAATAAATTTTCCTGGCACACAATTGATATAAAAATTTCGACACGAAATGGCAGGACTTTGCAGCGTCTTCAGTGGCGTCTCCAGGAACCGCCACGGTAACTAATGATACGATACCCCCGATCGCACAAAAAATGTACATCGCGTGTTGCGTAGCTTTCCTGGCTACTGTATCGCACAGCCAGATGGCTTATTAACTTAGGAATACTACAATGCCATAATTGCAGGGTGCGGCAAAAGTATGGTTGCGGGTTTTTGCCGCAAATCTGATTCGCGACAAAAAAAATTGGGAAGTTTTGTCACCAGAGTTAGCTTCAGACAGGTCTAGGGCAGCAATTTGCTTTTCAAAGTTTCTTGGAATCATGATTTTTGAGCGAATTGATTACATGGGTAAACCTCATTACTTCGAAAAGTCATTTCTTCGAAACGTCATTACTTCGAAAAGTCATTTCTTCGAAACGTCATTACTTCGAAAAGTCATTTCTTCGAAACGTCATTACTTCGAAAAGTCATTTCTTCGAAACGTCATTACTTCGAAAAGTCATTTCTTCGAAACGTCATTACTTCGAAAAGTCATTTCTTCGAAACGTCATTACTTCGAAAAGTCATTTCTTCGAAACGTCATTACTTCGAAACGCCATTACTTCGAAAGTCATTACTTCGAAAAGTCATTTCTTCGAAAAGTGATTACTTCGAAAAATAGCTAATTTGGAATGTTCATATTACGAAATTCAGACTGATGATAAAACCATTGCGTAGGTACCATATGCCTATTCTTTTAAGGTTATTACCGTGTAGAGTTTCGGTCTGTATTAGGATTGCTATTTACCCCATCTCCACGAATTATTATTTTGTTAAAATGATCCTTGCATTCAATCACTGAAGCATCACGATGTTTGCCTAAAAATGTCCGTGTATCTTTTGATGCTGTCTGAAGTGATATCAGAAAATGTTCGTACTAACCAACTAAAACATCGAAAAATCTGGGGGTAAAGTAAAAATTTGCCGATTTTTTTCATGCGACGTATAAAAAACTCGATCGAATAAACGGACCGGTAGAGGCAGAATGGTGTCAATTATGTTTCTATGCATGTTTTTCGAAGAAATGACTTTTCGAAGGAATGACTTTTCGAAGAAATGACTTTGCGAAGAAATGACTTTTCGAAGAAATGACTTTTCGTAGAAATGACTTTTCGAAGAAATGACTTTTCGAAGAAATGACTTTTCGAAGAAATGACTTTTCGAAGAAATGACTTTTCGAAGTAATGACGTTTCGAAGTAATGACTTTTCGAAGAAATGACTTTTCGAAGTAATGACTTTTCGAAGTAATGATTTTCGAACTAATGATTTTCGAAGTAAGGATTTTCGAAGCAATGATTTTCGAAGTAATGACTGGCAACCAGTCTGCGTGCCACCATGACTTTTCATATGTGTTCGGGTAGCATTTGCTTTGTTCTTCTTCGTCCAAAATGGAAATCGTATAATTTAGTGATTTGAAGGAGTTATAGCCTCAGCCATGTTTGACGAAAATGGGCTGCCGATTTCGCGAGAAGCTTGGATTTTTTGGGTTTCTGGTTTCTTAAGAGGCTTCATACCATTATGCTTCCTGTTTGCTTATTTTAATGTGCATGATGCGCTAAATCCTGATAGCTATCCACCTCTCGTTTGAAAAAATTTATTTTGGATTTGCAAGCAGTCATGGAAGCTTATGTTTTCGAACCAAGTCAGGATTACTAGGCTCCAACTTCGGGAATATATTAAAAGTAGCATGAATCAACCAGCGAAAAATGAGCAAGGCTATTATTGATTTGCGGACGACACAATCTCACTTTTGCATGTGGGGCGGCCATGTGCGGCGCACTGGGTTTGCGCTTTTTGAATAGGGCTCCCTCAAAAAAGGAGCCGCAACATTCTTTGATTGATGATATTTCAGGCAGAATTTTATCTGCTCTTTCGAATGAAATAAAAAGCTGGGCGTAGATACACGTCTTTGGCCACCCAGAGAGCGTCTAAAAAGGAGTTTTAGGCTTGAATTTGCAGGATTTTTGGAAAAAATCGTCCTCGCGACAAAAAAAAACAAAAATTCTAGAAGTAAATCTTATCATCAGATAAAGCATTGAAAACTGCATAAAATAACTTTTTCACTAGAATATCTGTCAAATTTCCCCGCAGATCGAGTCGGCGGAAGGTCGCGACCAGGGTTGGTCATTTTGCGTAGGCCAAGCTGGAAGTTATACCTAGATGGCGTCGGCCATACAGATAATCACCATTTTTTCGGAATTTGCTACAGAGCTTAAAAATTCGAAATATTCAAGTTAGAAAGCAATTGGTTACTTACTCTACGTGCTAGGTTATAAGCACTTCATCGTAATCATGCTATCCGCGTTTTGTACTTTACTCTGCGAAATTCTAAACCCAGCCGATGCGTGATTTGAATGCCATTACTATATCCCCGTAATTTGCATCGGGGACGGGGACGCTGCCCCGTCACCGTCCGTTCCCACCGTCCCCGTCCGTCCCGTCCGCCCCTGAACAACCCTGGTCGCGACAATACTTTTGCCGCACCCTGTACAGTCCAATTTCTTTCTAAGAAGTCCAGTTTTTTTGAATGGCTTAAAAACGAGAAGTGCCCCCGATCTTCATTGTTGCCAAGCCGCGTGCCCAATTACTATACTTCGCCGCCCACCCGGGGTGGGTCCCCCTTGGGGGGGACGGAGGGGGGACTGGGAGGGGGACCGAGGGGTCCCCCAGGGGGACTCCCCCCCCCCCTCCCTTGGGTGGTAAATACTTGCTGTGCCGATTTTCGCTGGGCCGATTTACAGTATGCCGATTATTGGTATGCCGAAGTTTCGCTATACCGAATTTTCGCAATGCCGAATTTTCACTATACCGAATTTCGCCATGCCGAATTTTTGCTACTCTATTACTAATATTCTCTACTAATATTAATCGCTAAAATCGCTAAGATTGCGGTGCGACAAAATCGGGCCCTACGATCTGCCCGAGTTTTCGGAAATTTCAAGGCTAACCCTAACTTTCTAGGCCCATGATATTTGGAAAAATAGTAAAAAAAATGGGGAACCTACCGCTTATCAAAATTGGTATGGCGAAGGTTCGGCATGGTGAAAATTCGATATCGTGAAAATTCGGTATAGTGAAAATTCGGTATAGCGAAAATTCGGCATGCCGGAAATCGGCACAGCGTGTTTTGTTCACCATTTTAGAACTAACTTTAATTTGACAATGGTTCACGTGGAAAAACCATTCACAACTTTGAAAATTTTTTTCAGTGGATTTTCATCGAAAATCCACGATTTTGAGCGATCCAATAACCGATATTTTGGATTTTTCATAACGCAAAATTGCAATATTTATATTTATATGAATTGTCGAAAACAGATGAGAAACATTTAATCTACCTATAGAAAAATTAGACCCTTAGCAAAAAAAGATTGTTTATAGTGGGCGGTGGTGGGGGGAAGGGGAGGGGGAGGGGAGGGGGAAGAATCCCCTGGGGTCCCCCTCGGTCCCCCCTCCCAGTCCCCCCTCCGTCCCCCCCAGGGGGGACCCACCCCGGGTGGGCGGCGAAGTATACCAATTACCTTATCTACCCCGAACATATGCATTAATGAAAACATCTCAAAATATCACCTACGCAACAGTACAAAACATGAACCTTTAAAGAGCCGGACCGGCTGCGATTATAAGGGCTTTCCCTCTACTCATTAGCTTTTAGTCATGTGGGTAACTTTCGCCCCGGAGACGTCCAACTTCTCGCCGGGAATTCCGGATCCGTGCCCTGCCAATGTACGCGTCGACTACGAGGATGCGAGAAACTTTGTCTATGCTTACGCTTACGATTGTGCCTACGCAATTCAATGGGAAGGAATGCAGGTGCGATTTCTAGGGGGTCCCTTTAAGGGGATAAGGAGGGCCCACGTAGATGGGGGCCCATCTTTACAGGGGCTCCGAAATGCCAAAAATTGAGTTACGGCGCGAAAACCGGCACCCCATACGTCGCAGGCCTTTGTACACCCAGGGGTGGGGGAAGCTCGCCAATTTGAAATGCCCTATTGTCACCTCGAAATCACCTTCTCGGCTGTTTTTGGGTCAAATTCGAGGATTAAATATGAAAACTATTTAAAATAGATTGAGGATTTCAGAAATGAGCTCAGTATCCTCGAATTATGATGTTTTCACAAGGAAATCGGGCAACAACAATCTCGCGCAAAAATCGAAAGAGTGAGGGCTCTCGTCCCGCAGCGCCCGCGGGCAATTTGCCAGAAATCAAAGAGGCCTCCCAAAAGGGCTTTGATTTGGCATTTTGGAGCCTCTTTAATTGGCACGCAGCCAACCGGGTCAGAGAGGGCGAGAGAGGGCGCCCAGGGGAGAGAGCGCAGAGACCCCCTTTCCCCCGGGTCACCGGTTTTTGGCTGATCCACGTGGGCCCTCCCGATCCCCTTAAAGGTATGCCGACGGCATAATCAATCGGCTACGCGCTGGAAAGAAAATGTCTCTGCGCCTCTCCCCGGTGCGCCCTCTCTCCCCTGTTGGCTACTTGCCAATTTGTTGATGGGGGGGGGGGGGGATCGACACATGCCGTCGGCAGCCCTTTAAAGGGATCGGTGACGGCAAGAACGGGCGCACGCGCCGAGTTTCATTGTGCCTGTCCGTCCTCCGTATCTGTCTTTTTGATCAAAATACCGTACGCGTTGACCACGCAGCATTTAATGTTTAATTTTGCAGGTAGTCAACCATCGAACGATGCTGAACTGGGAGCCCACGCCTTACGTTTGGATCTACGGGATTGTAAGTTTAACTTTTCGAAAGGCGCAAGTAGACAACGACTAATAATAGTTTAGTCATTGAGTTCAAGAGAACCACTAATAAAATTGTTAAAGCTTGTGCTAGTTATCGACATTTTGTTTAGATGGGAGCTCTCGGCCTCCTGGTCTGCTTGATCGCCCTCGGTTGCCTGGTTCGATCCAAAAAACTAAACTACGGCGGCAAAGTGCTGCTCATGGGATATTTGCTTTGTTGTGTCTACACCCACCTCAACTATTTTTATCGTATCGACTGCATTCTACGTTTTGACCCCGCTAAAGCTGTGAATAATCATACCTACAACAGGTTAGTGCAGGCTATGAGTTATCTAGTTTTTTGCTAAAAGATACCCTCGCGTAAATATTTTGGATATTTCCAGCTTCCCTTGCCTAAACGTTGATGGCTATCCATTTTGCGGATTCATGCTGAACATCATATCGACCTCCCTAGTCGATTCGCTCAACTACACCCATTACGCAATGATATTCATCGCGCCTGTAAATCGGTATTTCCAATTTTAATAACTCCTCCGAATTATACTCCTTTAGTTTCATCGAGCTTGGCAATACCTTTAAATGGAAGAAGTATCTCCTCGTCACTCGGCCAATCCTTCAAGTTTTCTTGCTAATTGTCCTCCCGGCATTGCCATTCTATGCGATGATTGGGCGTGGTGGGACCAAGAGAATACTGTAGGAAACGTTAAAACGGATAATTTAGGACACGCTTATCATCTAGTACCGGAAAAACGGGGTCCAGAGAAGCTGAATTACTATGGGCACTGGTGGAATCCGGTTAATATGCGGCCATATGGGCACTTTCACCCCTGGCGTTGGGTGTATGATAGTGGGCCTGGTATCGTTACAAATTTGTTATTAGCTGCAAGAAGCATTTTTAATAACGTTTTCGCACTCTACCATAGAACTATAAATAAATCCTGTAAACAAAAAATCAACTGTAATACAATCTTTAGCTCTCTTTTTCGCGATTGCTCCTCATACCCTTGCGTTTATACTCCTTTTTATGATGATAAGAAAGACTGGGGTTAAGGTAAGCCCGTCCATTAATAAATTTAAATTTTAAGCTAACTAATCAACAATTTAGAGTCTGAAATCTGCATTGACTCCTAGGAATGGGGATTATGTCCTGCAACAGGTAAGAATTGTCCAAAAAATGTCGAGATTTTTGGTTATAAATGCTAATAAAACTTTTAAAAACGTATTCTACCAGATGCTCATCTCCCAGCTTCTCCTCTTCCTCGTCTGGCTAATCCAATCGGCCTACGGTCTATTTTACTACCACCCACCCACCGCCATCATGGAGCAATTCATCTTTCAAATGGCCGGTCCGGTGCTGTTGACCATTGGAAATCCGTAAATTTACAAAGACCATATCGACCGGTTTTTTAGAATTATCCTGATCTACTTCTACTGGTCGAACGCTGGCACGGCCCTCGCTAGAACATAACAATCATGCTAAACAGAGGGAATTTTCGATAAAATTTCGAACTTCCGACTTCTGTCATGTTTCCTGAAGCCAAATATCCACACACAATACCCATAAAAATCATCATCAGAAAGAGAGAGTGAGAGAGAGCGAGAGAGAGCGAGAGAGCGAGAGAGTGAGAGATAGGGGGAACAGGAGCGGGAGAATGAGCGAGAGCGAGGGATAGTTCTGTTCTACGCTGATGCTTTATGAATTGTTTCAGAACAATTCTTATCTATTTCTACAGTTCAGGCGAAATAACTACTGATTCCGAATAATCAATTACGATTTTGACGCAATTTTTTGACCGACTATCTGCAACGAAAAAATTTTCACGGCTTCGCACACCCTTTGCAAACACTACAGGCCGCCTGCAATAACGCGGTCATTTCCAAAACGCTGTTTCGAAGCCTTATCACCAGGTGAGGTGGTCAGAGCTGGGAATTGATTGCGCCCCGGAATTCCAGCGTCCAGTTACGCTATGAAATTCGTGGTGTTTTTGCTGTTTTATTTTGCCGTCCTAACTTACGCGCAAAATCAGGTTTGGCGGAACACGGTCCAAGTTTGAACTTATTTTTCCTAGAATTGCCGAATAGATCGGCTATCTGCTGAATATTTTTCAACCGACACTCCGTATCGAAATTTTAGTAGCAGGTTTGAGAAATTGTCTGCATCCCCTTAAATTGATAATTTCAGAAGACTAGGCGGTTTTACGGTGCCAGATGATGGCTATGCGTTCGCTTTTCAATTCTATCGATTTGCCCTCGGGCCGAACGATTGTCTGTATTTTTGCCCGATTGACGATATGGAAAAATGTTTGAAGTAAGTTTTTGGGGGAACGGTACTGGACTGTCAGCCGCGATGTTTAAATTCATTCATTTTATTTAATTTGATGAAGGTATTAATTTTGTTGTTTTCCGCAGAGAATAATATATAGCGCGTTTTCTAATCATTTCGGTGCTGTTTTGTATATCTAAAAATTTTCTAAGGACTAGAAAAAGGTTTTTTCCTGTTTTACGATAGCATGGGATACCTAGGGAAAAAATTTACCTCCACCCCCGCTAATAGCCCTATACTGGCAAGGTTGGTCAGATCGGTAAGATTTCAGCCTGAACCAAGCCGATCTCAAAGGCAAGAAATGCGGAAGTGAAATGGATCACAGGCGAGCGACACATTACTATGACTTGGCCAGTGAGTAAAGCTTCATTTTTTCTCGTTTTCTTTGTAATATTGAAAGTACTTGTTATAAGATATTTTCCAGTACTTTTTTAAGTGTATTTTATTACTTTAGCCAGCTGTTTCCTGTATTTTGTTGGCCAAGCCTCGAACATCAGCTATCCAGGCCTATCTGGGCGTGTTTTTAAGATCGGTAAACTACGACCGGGTTTCTGAACCAATCTTAATATAGAAAAATCTACTCAAATTTACAATACTCCAGTACCGTGCGTGGATCTGGATGATTATAATGTTTATTGGACATTGTCGTCGGATCGTAAGATTTTTTCGGGCTAAATTGACGGAAATTCCTATAAAACGGATCGTATTTATGAATTTTCTTTAAGATTTTTCGCTTGGACTGCCATCAAACGTTTATGCAAAATCCGATGCTAGCGGAACTACGAGATTATACACTCAACTATTTTCAAATTTACGCGTAACAATCTATGCCCTATCGACAAGCTCGAAACAACCGGTCACCTTTTCTGGAATTTCTGCTGAAACTGGACAGAATGTATCGATTGGTTTAAGGTATATTTAATGCTGAAATTGGCATCAAAACTGGGCAAATCGACCCATATTTTAGTGACGTCTCCGACCCGATGGCCTTGCATTTCAAGGGGGAGTTGTCAATTAGCTATGCCCAAACGACGGATACTTTTTATTACTATCACATGCTGGTCTCGAGGTATAATGGTAAGTTGCTGATAAATTTAATTAATGTATGCCCTAGATACGTCAACTTTTCAAAGTTGTCCTAATAACGGGGTGATCGATATGAGCAAGCAGAATCGGCTTCAGATATCGGGAATCGGTGGTGGGCAGGAGGGGTAGGATTTAGAAAGCAAATTATTAATAAAAAGAAGCAATAATTCTTTTGTTAAAAAAAGGTTTTTGTGATCATTAAATTTTTAAAATTTTAAAAATTAGTCCAGGGTTGATAGGACGTATAATAGAATTCAAAAAACATCCAAATGATACTATAGCTTGTCTGTACAGGGTGTCCCAAAAAAATCGACCCCCCTCCAGCGGTCCGGAGAAAGGTCGGATCGACATGATTTTTACACCAATCGAAAGTCCTTGAAATGGCGAGAAAACAAGCGCTTTTCGTTTTACAAAATTTTGTAGCCCGCGTGCTAGATATTTAACGATGCAATCAATTGACATGCTGATTTTGCATAAAATCTGCCGTCTTCATGGATTTTGGTCTAAAATTTAGTGAATTAAAGTGGCTATATTGAAAAACGAAAAGTGCTTGTTTTCTCGCCTTTTCGCGAGCTTTCGATAGATACCTAAATCGTCACGATCGGACATGACTGCGGCCGGTTAGAGGGGGGTCGATTTTTTTTTGGGACACCCGGTATGATGCAGAGATTCGGCTCGGCAGTTGCGTATTACTAGCCCCGAACTCGTGCTTAAAAGCCTAGCGTTATAAAATTACTGAAAAACTTGCTAAATTTAAATTAATGCTCTTTCAGTTATGAAGCCAACACAAAATGCCACTGGACCTTCACCAACGCACCCCCAAATTCGCAAGTAATGCTAAAAATCGATAGTTTCACGGAGAAAGCTGCGGATAAGGTGACGATAACTGGGACCAGTGCTAAGGTATAGTTAAGATGCTAATTACGAAACCTTAAATACGAAATTTAGTCCCTCGGCTTCAGCGGCTACTACTCCAATTGGCTCATCTACGGTGATAGGAAGCAAAATAATTTGGAAGTGGATTTCCAGAGCGATGCCGTTGAAGAATATACCAAAATGACAATTGATGCGGCGGTAGTAGGTAAAAAATTAAAACGTTACAAAAATTGAAATTTTCGCTTTCCGGTTTATGAAAAAAGCGTAAAAATTGCAAATTTAAAATTGCAGTCTTTTTCAACGTTTAAAATACACTTTTCAAGGCTCAAGGCCAATTTAGCTATCAACTATAAGAATTTATTTAGATTGTTCTTGTCCTCCAAACCAAATCAACATTACCACAGCGGAGGCAATGAATCTTACTATTGGATTTAATGAAGACTATCCATACTGTAGCGGCCTGGTTTGCCAGTGGACCATGTAAAAAAATGCTTTATCTTGATCCAAACATAGCTGATTTCAAGCCAGCTTTTCTCGGAATATAATTTGCTCCTGGAAATCAGACCCACCGACATTGCCTTGCTCTCCCGAGCCGACTCGTTCAAGGCGGTGGCCACAAATGATAACTCCAGGTTCCGTACTCGTCGGTATTTTCTGCATAGTTCCAGCTCGGAAAAGCCGATCAACCTCCAAACCGGGGTACCCGTGCATTTACTGGATCGATACGCCAAATTCACATTCAATGCATCGGCAGCTTCGTATTCTACTGCGGCAAATTTGGGCATTGCCGGGATTGTCCTTAACGTCAAGCCGATTCCGTGTAGGTGAATTTAGAACCGAAGAAGGATAGTGAGAGACAACCAGCGAATTTTCGATTGAAAGAGATGGTGAGAGAGAGGGACAGAGAGTTAGAAAGCGAGAGAGAGCGTGAGAGATAGAGAGAGAGAGAGGAAGAGGGAGAGAGAGGAGAGAGAACGAGTAGGTGAACGAAAGAGCATGAGAGCGGGTGAGAGAGGGAGAGACAAGAAGAAAGATTCTGAGTGACTGAGATGGAAAGCGAAAGATATAGATAGACAAAGAGAGACGAAGTAGAGCCTAGAGAACAAATCCAAAGAAAAACAAGCGAAGAAACAATATGTAAGAGAGAGAGAGGGAGCGAGAGAGAGAGAAAGAGAGAGGGAGCGAAGTGCTTTTACCATCTTTTAGTCGCCTCTTTCCGCGCCTACAAGTGGGAGTTCGACTCGCAGCACCAGATCCGACACATCTCCGGCGCCGCCCTGGACAAGCCATACGCCGCGGCCCACTACAGTTGCAACTCCGGCCACCAAGTGGTCCTTTTGACCATATACGGCCCTTCCGCCGGCTTCCTGGTGCGATGGGAGTCTGATGGGCAGAATTTGGAGCAGCAGATCGAGGAGGCGTTCAAGTGAGTGATTACCAGATTTCGATGAGCGCATTGCGTAATACCCATTTTGCAGCACAACCGGCGCCTACCCTATCCAAATTTCCACCAATAGCCTGACCCTATTAATGGTTCGAACCGAGGACGGAGGCTCCGAATATAACGCGCTGGTTTCAGTAGGTACGATTGGGGCTTAGGCTTAGGCCTCGGCTTAGCCTTAAGCTTAAGTTTTTAATAATTTCTATTTTTCCAAACGACAACAATTAACTTCTCAGATCCGAACGTTCGTCTCGTGAGCAATATGGATCTGGGTTGCGGGGCCACGCACCCCTCCGCGATCATTCCGATGGACAAGCAAACTACCATTTTCTATCAAGATTTTTCGGATAACACGGGCGTTGATGGGCTGAGTTTAAGTTATAACGGGAATCCTGATTTTGTGCTGTATCGCGGACCATCTACTCGCGATGAGGACCAGGTTTATGGGTAGGTGATCGAAACGGATTTATTTATCTCTCTCTCTCTCTCTCTCTCTCTCTCTCTCTCTCTCTCTCTCCCTCTCTCTCTCTCTCCCTCTCTCCCTCTGTGTCTTGCCCTCTCTCTGTTTTTACCCCCTCTTTCTCGCTCTCTCTCTCTCTCTCTCTCTCTCTCTCTCTCTCTCTCTCTCTCTCTCTCTCTCTCTCTCTCTCTCTCTCTCCCTCTGTCTTTACCCCCTCTCTCTGGCTATATCTCTCTCCTTCTCTCTCTCTCTTTCTCTCGCTGTCTTCCCTTCGTTCTCTCCGATATCGAAAAGCCGTCATTTCAGCAGTGGCTTTTCCTGTGAACCTACAAATTGGCAGTTAGGGCCCCCAAAGTTTGTTTTCGGCCGTTTCATCACGGTGATCAGTAACAAAGTTGATGCTAATAGCTCGATAAGTGTGTTCTGTGGAAGTAAGGGTAGGAATTTTCGGTTTGCAGCAAAAAAAATAAGTTTAGAAAAATCTCTGTGGGTGACGACGTTCACCACATCGAATGGGGTTCTGATGTCGCCAAGATACTCCCTGCCTTCCGACGCCGCGATGCGGTCCTACAGCTTTTCGGTGGAACATGTGAGGGAATGAAAGAGAGCGACATAGAGAGAGACGGAGAGCTGGAGAGAGAGAGAAACACTAGAAGATTCTAGACTGGGGCTGACAAACGTGAGATCCGCATCGATTTTTTGAGGAAAATTCCTCAAAATGGAACGCTAACGATAATCGCGTCGGATTCAAAGGGCTCCAAAACGGAAGTGTTAGTTTAATGATGCCACTTTAATCAGCAAAAACTTCCCACTTCAACAATTAAAAATGACAATTATAGTTTCGACTCCAAAAGTCCAACCTGCCGAGCCAGCTACAAATATTCGAGGCTGTTGATGAATTACGATTGGACGTGCGACTCGATATATGGTTGTGGGCCCGACTTGCTATTACAGTAACCTTAGTCTCTAAATATTTCTGAGTTTTTAGATATTCACCCGGAGATACTTATACCACTGGTGGCGTCGGAACTGATTTGCCAAAGATCGCAATCGTTTTATTCATTTTGTTGCATGGATTTGTTATTTGAGAAGATAAAAACCTTCTTGATTCACGGGGGTGTTCAGCTCGACGTGCAGACGAGGCTGGAGACCTGAAGCGGAGGAAGACTTTGTACCTGAAATATTAGCATACCCCATTCTTCTCGATCGCCTTGCATTTCATGCCTCCGAGCATGAACTCCTGGACTTTCGGGGCAGGCTCCTGTACTTTCTCGGATTCCTGAAAAAGCAAAAAAATATATGACCTCTCACTCTCTGATTTCACTAACCTTTTTCGCGGGCAATATCTCCACCTCAGCCTCGGGCTTCTCATCATTGACTTGAGTGCGATGCTCGTGCACCATTCCCTGGTCCTAGAGAATCAGGGTTGAAAAGCCGCTTCGCGACTTTTCAACCCTGGCCCCGTCTTATCCGATGAGAGTTCTCAATTTGCAGAATTCTCCCAAACCGCACTTTGAAAAAAATAAAAAATGCGCCTTCGGCCCCTTTATATAAACTTTCTCGCTTCCGGCGTATGCTAATTGATCCCTAACAAAGCGGGGGACCGAAATTTTTACAAAAACTTAATTTTAATGTCGAAAATAGCACTTTTTTGACAATTTGACATGTGTGCAGGCGTCTCGAGACGATTACACATCTAATGACGTATCAAACATACTCTGAAACCCTTTCTCTATCGAGAGATGACTGGAACATATTGACGGAAGTTGCATGCAAAGTTACACACACACACACACACATACACTATTTTTTATATTCCTAGAGAATTTAAAGTGTCACCAGGGTTGAAAAGCCGCTCCGCGACTTTTCAACCCTGGCCCCGTCTTGGACCCCATGCTATTCCACCCTTTGCATAATTGTCCTTCATTCAGAAGACAAAAAAAAATGAAAAACAACCCCTTCTGCCTCTTTATATAGGCGACGGCCCACTTCCGGTATATGCTAATTATTCCTAACAAAGAGATTTTTACAAAACCCTAAATTTAATAGCGAAAATGACTAATTTTGAAAAATCTGATATGCGTGCAGTGATCCTTAGACCATTGCGCACCTAATGACGTATCATACGTAGCCTAATCGCTGTCCCTTCTTGAGATATCCTCCGGACAGACAGACGGGGGTGGATGCAAAGTGGCACACACACACACAGACACTATTTTTTTTATATACCAGGGTTGAAAAGCCGCTTCGCGACTTTTTAACCCTGGCCCCGTCTAACCCCATAAAATTCTTCGCTTTGCATATTTCTTTCGAATTGCGATGAGAACAAATGAAAAATGACACTCTCAACCTGATTATATAGGCTACCGCCACTTCCGGTGTATGCTAATTGTTTCCTAACAAAGAGGGTGGCCGAAATTTTTACATAAACTGAAATTTAATATTTAAAACAATTAGTTTTGTAAAATCTGATAAGCGTGCAGTCATCCCAGAGCCATTGCGGATCTAATGACGTATCATATATACCTTAAAAGTTATTCCCTATCGAGATATCCTCCGGACATGGTGACGGAACTTGCATGCAAAGTATCACACACACACACACACACACAAACACTATTTTTTTATATATAGTAGGATAGTAGGATAATCCAAAGCTACACACCGTTCCAAAGAACGTATCGGACTGACTAAACTTGGCGGAATTGGTTTGCGTCAGTGTGCCGTTTTCCATCATCCATGCCGGCTGTGTACTTTCATCCTGAAATGCACAACTTATCGAGGAAGTTCGAGCGAGAGAGAGAGAGAGAGAGATAGAGGGAGAGAGAGATAGAGAGCGGGAGAGCGACGGCGGACAGAAAACTTACCTCCTCCTCCAACTGAACCTCCTTTTGCTCAAATTTAGCCTTGTGAGTATCGTCAACCTTTCCATTCTCAATAACGGCAGCCGGCTGGAGTTCGGGCTCATGTAAATTGATGTTATTGGACATTCAGGAAGGAGTTTTACCTGATTTTTCCAGAAGCTGCGCCCAAGCCCAAGCCTAAATCGGGGCACCTGAGACTTATCTAGCTTCACTTTTTCTCGGGATTCAGCCGACGATTCAGTGGCTTTCGTCTAAAATTGAAGTATTTACCAGATCTATGTCTGCAAATTACAAGGTCGCCGGTTGGCAAGCTGCCAACGAATCTGCCGACGCCGTCACTGTACCCAGAAAATGGGTCATTTAGTGCTTGATATTGCGCGACTTGATATTGAGCCTCCAGCTGGCGTTGGAGCTGAAAAAGATAGTTAAAAATTGAGGTTATGAAGATTCAACTTCCAATTTTTATATGCAAAAATTAAAATTTTTGTAAGCTATGTCCTAGCATTTTTCAAAATTTCATACGAAATTTACTAAAACTGCAATTAATACAGTACGTCCTCGGGTTCAATTTAAAACTCACATGCGCCAGCCGCCCCGAAATATAATCGTCCATCATTCCAAAATTTTGGCCAGAGGCCAAGGCTACGGTCAAGGCAAAAACCACGAATTTCAGCACCGTCATTGCAGTGAGTTTCAGGGTCAATATGCTGACCCGTTCGCCAACTTTCTTAAATAGGCAGGCTGATGAGAAATAAACAAAAACTGTCGGCGGGACCGGTTTGTTAGGCCGGGCGCCCCAAAATCGATGCCAGGATTTTGGGGTGCTCAGCCGGGGCAAGGCGGCGAATTACAAGTATTGGCCTGGGAATATGGTTTTGAGGGTCGATTTTGTTGGGAAACTGATCAAAAACTTGGAGAGAGAATGCGAGAGAGAGAGAGAGAGAGAGAGATGGAACAAGCGAGAGAGAGTGAGAGAGTGAGAAGAGCGAGAGAGAGGGAACGAGAGAGCTAGAGAGAGTGAGAGAGCGAGAGAGAGTAAGAGGAAGTATGAGAAAGTGAAAGAGTGAGAGAGATAGAGAGAATGAGAGAGAGAGAGAGAGAGTGAGAGAGAGACTCAGTGAGTAGGCGACCTGAGAGATGGTTCCGTTACTTTCCAAAATGGCTTTATTCAACTCCACAGAATATTCGAATTAGAAAACAAGATCGTTTTCCGGTCTGGCCATCGATAGCTGAAGTTGAGTAGCCGTCAACGGCTCGTGCCGTCGACTTGTGGAGTACGAATTTTCCGTTTGCCGGTCCGTCCGAGCGTGCCCTAGAATGATATCGTAAAAAGATCTTGATGATAGAAACCATGTGAGTTCTTCAAAATCCCCTACGTTTTAAACCCATATCTTCCCGCCAACTCCCCGCTTACCGATCGAGGTTCCTGATTCACGACATTTTCGTGCGAATTCCCGGTTGAACGCGATGGCGACCATTCTGAAATTCGGGATTTATTTGGCGCTAAGGCGCTGAAAAGAAGAAATTAAAACTCTACCCATCAATAGCATGTACCAGAATCCAGGCCAGCGTTGTCAGCAAGAACTTGAGCATCTTCTCCTCCACCCACTGGGAGAAGATGAAGTAGGTGGCGAGCTCAAGGAGGAATATCGAACCCTGGAGATAAGCCTGAAAAAAGGCTTTGTTTTTGGCTTTAAATTGTTGAATTTGTGTGGCTATGAAATTCTTATCCAATTTTGAAAGCGGCACGCAACGCACACGCTCGCGTCAAGCGTAAACAGCAAAAACACAATTTTTGGTGGTAATAAGGCCAAAACGCTGCCATAGCCAAGGTAGTCCATGTCGCGCCCCCCTTTAAGGTCTTCACAAACAACTCCGCGGTTTTGAATGGTTTTTTCATACAGCATTTCCAGAACTGAATTCTTACTCAAGTACCACCAATCCGCCTGTACTACCTGTGTGACAAAGTGGATCTCGTTTTTCTTTCGTGCCCGTGTCTGCGCGTCGGAAATCCGGTCGATCAGCTAAAAAAAACGAAATAATTTCGTGTGAATTTCGTGTGAAACTTGGCGAACCTGGCTCCCATGAATCCGGCATTTCACAAAAGTGGTCAGATCGAGGAGAACGATAAGGGCTATTGTGGCAACGGTCTTGTAGACGTCGTACCACCTAGAAATTAATAAAAGGGTCGATGTATTAATGCGCCTGAAAGCGCCTTAACTGCGTTAGAAAACATCATTAGTGCGCATTATGAAATCGTAAGTTTCATTAATACAATACCATCCGATCGGACCGCAAATTTCACCACCAGCAAAAACGTAACCCCAAGATTCGTTGCTGTAAATGAGGCGGCAGTCGGCTAAATTAATTACATTTTCATTAACTCTATATTAATGTGCTTAATAAATCGATACCTATTCGATAAGCCCAAATACTCGGCAAAAACGCGTACAGCCATGCGAGAATGTTCAAAAATAGCACATTTCGCCGTGTGAAAAAGTAGTCGTAGTGTAGCGGAAAGAATATAGCGGTTACGCGGTTTAAGGAGATGAAGAAGTGGCTTAAATTAATATAATTTATTACTGACTAAAAGCCAATATCACCTAGCGTTACAAGCATCATAGCAAATCAGCTGAAAATGCCCGAAATAAGCCGATACCTCAGCGCTTTTTAGCAACGTTAATTTCCTGAAAATCAACGTTATGATTTTATAAAATTCTTACATCATTAGCATAGGAGAAAAATAGAATAGAAAGCCGCAGCCATGACAGAATCCGGCAAGGGCTTGATTTCTGGCGAGTCGGCCGAAGGAATTCTGAATTTTTGAATTTTTAAGGTATCCTCAAGCCGGTAAAATTTTGATGGCTGTTGTAATTTTGCTAAGAATATTTAGAAGAAATTGCTAAACGATAATTTGTGGCAAAAAAATTCTAAATTAAACCCAAAGCCAAACCTGCATCAACGGCAATTTCGTGACCCACCAAACCACGGCTCCATTAGCGAGAATTCCGCTGAGCGAGGCCTAAAAATTATTGTATATACACGGCATTAAATAAATAAAGTCTAATCGGCATATTTGGCTATACTTTAAACGTCGATATACAATTAAGAAAATACATGGCTATTATTTTGAAAAACCTACAATAAACACGAAAAACCCAGCAATCTGGGACGGTTCGAGCACAATCGGGAGCATGAGCTTCGAAAACGTGGCGGAATGAAGAAAGTAATCTGGAAAAGTCCGCTCCCTCACTGATTCACAATGGACATCCCATACTAATCAACCGTGAATTTTGCACTTGGCCGTGGAGGGTGAAATCGCGAGTAGCGTCGCGGACCCCCTTTCAGCAGTTTCTTTCAGCGTTGTTCGGTTGAAAGAAACGAAACGAGATTCGTCTCATTCTTTGAATTTGAATAGGGGATTTTTTTCAGGTTTCACTTCGCGGCCGAGGCCCAATTAGAGACGCCGAGGCGAGGCCAGACGCAAGTTCGGGTAGTTAAGACACGAAGGTATTTAGAGAGTTCAGTGCAGGATGCAAATTGGATTGGGTTGTGGTTTGCACATCGGTTCGATAAAAATTAGGGCTGGCGCATAGGATCGAAATTGTATAGCCGTAGCGGTTTGTAAAATTTGTAAATTGTGAAAAAAGCAAAATTGGTACCAATCGCTAACGATTCGCACTTGATGCATCAGTTCATCAGTTACGGATCGGACTCATATGGAAAATTGTGGAGTTTTTTCTTGCGTAGATTTAGGTGAATCTGCCTTTCTCAAATATGGCATTAGTTAGAGGTCATTAGTTTAGTTAGTACCGTTACCGTATTTCCTCTAATATAGCGCCCATTAATATACAGGGTCTCCCAAAAAAAGACCTCAAAAATTTGAGCCAGAGGGCACCTACCTCCCAAAAAATTTTTCCGAGGTACTTTCAGAAGGAAAACAAATGCCAAAAACGTTACCTATTGCATCGCGTCGCTTTTCGTTTTGTCGGCTATTTTGTCAATTTTTTTTGTCTGCCTGTATCACGAAAATATTTATCAAAACCATCCCGACGACGCCACTTCAAGGCTACTTCTTTTGAATATCGATCGCCACGCTGTGAATGGTGAGAGCTGCGGCTGTTCCAGTAGTGTTCACCTGGCTCGAACGATAATCCGAAGCGACACGGCGCTGCTTCGAGATGAACACTTTTCCTGAAATGGATTTTTCCAAAACTAACCGACGACATGGCGCCTATTTTTATAGATCGGAAGCTCAAATATTCAAATCAGCCAAATATCCACTTACGGATGAATTCCTTGTTGAAGAGGATGGCGATAAACCTGAAAAAAAATAAAGTTAAAATACGATAACCTAGGACAGATCAAAATTCGGGCAGATTTTCAAATTCTTGAACTTGTGGAACCCACCCATCAAGCGAGTGGACCATAATCCAGGCAATCGTCTTGAGGGCAAACTTGGCCAACTTGCTGTCGGTCCAGTTGACGAACACAAAATAGGTGAGCAGCTCGAGGATGAAGATAAAGGCTTGGACGAATGACTGGTAAACGCGATAAATTTTTCTCTCTCTCCTCTCTTCTCGCGCGCTCTCTCTCTCTCTCTCTCTCTCTCTCTCTCTCTCTCTCTCTCTGTTTCACGCTTACTCTATCCTTCCCTCTCTAGCTCTATCGCTCACTCCGTCACTTCCCGATACGGCAAGTACTGTACCTATCATAGTCTCGGGTACGGTACGTATTTTTGACGTGTACAATTAAGACAAACCCTTCGCTAAGCCTCCCATACAAATTTGGAACGTTCACAGGCCAATTTTAAGGAGCAAGAGCCGTATTTGAAAGAGTTTTGAAAAAGCGCTCCGGGAAGAGGGAGAAAGAGGGGGAGAAAGCGGGCAAGAGGGGGAGAAAGAGCGGAGAGAGAGGTGGAGAGAGAAAGCGAGAGAGAGCGAGAGAGCGTGAGAGAATGATAGAGGCGGAGAAAGAGGGAGAGAGAGCGAGGGGGAGAGAGAAACTGTAGCGTTTACGGACCTGCGTGACAAACGTGATCTCCATGATTTTCCGATTGCGCGCCTGCGTATCTGTCGTGAGGCGGAGTAACTGGAACGGTGTGAATTGCTGGCTCAGAAACCTTAAAAATTACTTGTCTTCCATGTACCCGACATTTCAAGAAAGTACACATATCCAAGAATGCGATAATCATCGTGAGGATAATTCCTTTATGGACGACGAAGGCCCTGGAAGAGAATCGGTTTTTAGGCTTCTTGTTATTTCTTTCATTGAAATAAATTACCTTAATTTTTTAATGTTTTTAATATAATTAAATGATAAAAATTATTATATTCTTAAATTGAGCAATAATATTTTATACGAATGAAAACGAACAAAGGACTCACATCCCAATCTTAAAACACAGCTCCGTATTCAGGAAAACGACTCCCCAGACCTCTTCGCCATATTGAATCCGACAGTCCGCTAAATCAATTGTCTATCTCCGATCAAACGGTATGCACAGTACCCCATCGCAAAAAGTAGAAATTCAACCCGATTGCCACCGCCCACACCAGAAAATTGATGAGGCGCACACGATTCTTGGTGAATATCAGGTCGTAATACATTGGGAACCAGATGGAAATAATACGATTGAGGGAAATGAATAAATGGCTGAAAAAATCAAGCTCTTTCGAAGGAATGGTACTTACCAATAAAGACAAGCATCGTAAAAGGTGTCCTCAAGCTGCCCAAACCAACTCGAGATTTTTGGGTCTTTCCAGGCTTTTATGTCACTAGAACACAATTTTTTTTAAACTTTTTTTTTGATTAAGTGTGATCATGATTTTTGAGATTTGTAAAAAATTAAGGCAATTCAGACAATTAAGGTACTTGTCGAAAGTTCTGTAGAAATCTTACGATTCTACAGGACTTACGAGGGTTTAATTAGGCGGACTTCGCGGGCGGCCAAATTCTCCCTGGGTCCCGGCGCGCGCCCCCCTGCGGGCCACCGTATGGCGGCCGCCCTCGGCCCGGGGAAAGGGGGCATTTTCCCCAGTCGCTGCATTTTCTCCCTTCCTGGGAGAATTGCTGCCGGTCATTGCTATGACTGGTAGGGCGATTCGGTGTTGGTGTGATGTTTCCTGCATCCCCGATACCGGTGACCCCGGCGAGCTCCCAGACCAGAGTGTATTTCTCCAATCCTATCCAGACCTAGCGCATTCCCCTTAGCCCAGACCATCCCCGACTTGTGTATTCTATGTTCTCCGGTATTATTCTTGTATATAAATAAACTCTTATTCCACAAGAGTGTCCCTTATCCAGACAAATGCATTACACTACCGCTGATTAGCCGTTCGCGCGTCTTCTATTGGTTCAGGTCTTTATCCCAACAAGGGATGCGGGTGGCAAGCCTTCGCGTGGGCGCTATTCTAGTATTTATTGCTAGTCTAGCGTAGGCAGCCGCTTCCTTTTGTCAGTACTTACAAATATAGCATCGGAGCAAAGAAGAAGAAATATCCGCAAGCATGCAGAAAGCCAGTCAGCGATTGATTTCTCGCGATTCGGCCAAAAGGGTTCTGCAATCATCGTGTCCCCCGCTGTTTGAAAAAACCTGTGTAATTACTCTATGGTTAGCTACTGTAATTATACTATGAAAATTTATATATATAAACGGTTTCAGTATCCACATTCAGTTCAAATTTAATAAAATTAAAGATCCGCAATCGGCAGAATTTTGTTTTTAGGCAGACACCAACTTACATAACGCACTGAATTCTTTTAAATTCAAGGTTTTCCGCTTTTTAAAAAATTAAAAAAAATGCTTTTTTAAACTCAGAATTTTCATCTTTTTTTGATGCCAACCTGCATCGACGGCATCTTCGTGACCCAACAAAACACGACACCATTTGAGAACATCCCGGACAGGGAGGTCTAGAAATAGACCCTTTTTAAAAGCGCTAAAATCGGCTTACCACCCATACCAAAATGCTAGCAACTTTATGCGGCTCCAAGTCGAACATTTCTGTAAAAATTTATTACTTTAAAAACTGATTTGCCAGACGAACATAAAAAAGACCACACAAAAGCCTCCTCAAATTTTGGCACAAAGCGTGCTAAAAAATTCAGAACCGACAGCGACTGGATCCACAAATTAACCACGATAGTTTTTATCCCAAATTTTGTAGTGGTTTGGAAACTCGGGGGAGGCTGATCCCAAGTTCTGTGGGAGCCGACAACACCGTCCGATCCTCAGAACGGGCATCTATGAGATTTTCACATTCAGAAAGTTAGTTCGATTGGGAACTTGATGGACATACGGACTCCGGATCATTGGCACGGGAGACAGTGGCTGGTCATTGAAAGTTACAGCATAGCTAAACTTCGAAGCCAAAATTTGGGACAATCTGTTAAAGCCGGTCTGAGTAAAAATATGTAACTTACGCATGAGAGAGAAAGCGAGCGGAACAGAGAGAGGGTGAGGGACAGAGAGAGAGAGAGAGAGAGAGAGAGAGAGAGAGAGAGAGAAAAAGAAAGAAAGAGAGAGACAGAGAGCGCGAGAGAGCGATAGAAAGAGACAGAGAGAGAGAGAGAGAGAGAGAGAGAGAGAGAGAGAGAGTGAGAGAGAGCGAGAGCGAGAGAGGCCGTGCGAGATAGAAAGAGAGAGTGAGAGAGCGAGAGAGAGAGGGTGAAAGTGTGTGAGAGAGAGAGGGAGGGAGAGAGGGAGGGAGAGAGCCAGAGGGAGAGTGAGTGAGGGAGATAGCCAGAGGGATAGAGAGAGAGGGGGAGAGAGAGAGAGACTTAGACTGAAAAAATCTTTACTGCACTACTCATGTGCAAGCATCAAAATCAAAAGCCTATCAGTAAACTGTGAATAAGCTCTATCCAAGAAATCAGCTGCTAAAAACGGTACCAATTGGGCGCTCCCATTGTTTCAAGGGTTGTTTTAGGGGTCATTAGCGTCTGCAGTGGGTGGAATCGGCCACGCAAATACGGTAAAAGTTCATTGCCGTTTTTGTGGCGTATAATTTTAGCCATTTTTCGAGCACTTTACGAAGCAATGGAACAAATGGCACGCAAGGTTAAAGCGCCAGTTGAAGTTGTGCGTGCGCAAATGCGAAGTTGAAAATGCGCAATTGAAAAATATTGTCTCCGAGCTGGGGCACGGCTGTCCTCAATTTTTTATGATGGTGGGAGGGCAGAAATTAAGCCGAATCCCCAACTTTAGAGGAAGTCTATATTTTGGCCACCATATCGCATTAATTGCTAGGAACTTCCACCAACTGGTAATATATTTTTCCGGGCAGCTTCTCAGAAATTTTCAGTAATTTACTACTTATCCGATCAAACCTCAGGAAATACCGTACGCTAGCAGCTTACCCGTTTTCTTCCGTATTCCAAAAAAAAATTATTCGTCCCCAGATGCACTTTGCATGTGCCTAAAATAAATTTTGTAAATCACGCCGTTCTAGTTGGGGCATACTAATATTTCAAAAACGAAGAATAAAAAAATTCACAGAGCGGAAAAATGGCTTGCAATTAAAAACACTTCCGCGTCGCGGGGAGTTTCACGTCTACTTCGAATTCGTGCACCGCGACGGGTTGCTGATATCCAAAAAACAAACCACAACTATCGCACGGTGATACGCTAATTGCACCACGTTTCCCAGGGAAATCATCGAAAATGCTTTCCCGCCAAGGGCAAGCATTTTCAGCTCCGTGAGTTGTTATGTATATTTTTGAAGAGGGCCGATGAGTACAGAAATTGGCCGTAATGTAACGCTTCAGTGAGCCTTAAAAGCCAATTTTAGTGTATATAAAATTCTATCGAAACCTTATATTTATCTTGTTTTACAGTTTCTTTTCGGCGTCGACGGGCAGGCTGTCGGTGTTTAAGGAATCGGCGTTTTGCACAATTTTGGCCGGGCTGGAGCTATAGCGCAAAGTGAGTCGTTGCTTCGAGTGGTAGATTTTGCCTGAAAAAATATTTCTTTGGAAAGTTCGACACAATTTCAGCATTAATAAGCTATTTTAATTCTTTGGCAATTTTAAGCTACGGTTTAAACTCTTTGACTTACGTATGAATTCCTTGTTGAAAAGGATGGCGATGAAACTAAAGATGGCGTAGTGCAAAGACCGTAAAAAGGTATAGACTTACCCATCAAGTGAATGCACCATGACCCAGGCGATGGTCTTCAGGGCGAACTTGGCCAACTTGTTGTCGGTCCAGTTGACGAACACGAAATAGCTGAGCAACTCGAGGATGAAGATAAAGGCTTGGACAAACGACTTGAAAATTTTTTATGATATTACCGAATGCTGATTTTTAAGATAGAGAAGCTTGAGCGAATGAATGCGAGAGAGTGTGAGGTAGAGAGAGAGAGCGAGAGAGTGAGAGCGAATGATAGAAAAAGCCTACCAACCTGCGTCACAAAGGTGATTTCCATAATACGCCGATTACGCGCCTGCGTATCCGTGGTATGTCCGAGCAGCTAAACCTCAAAAAAGATTGGTTTTGCTATTGAAATTCTGCTTTTCTGCCATGGACTCTGCACTTCAGAAATGTGCACAGATCGAGCGAGGCGATGATCATCGTTAATATAATGCCTTTATGAACGACGAAAGCCCTAAAACCGCGGAGATAGAGGTGGACGCGGCACGCGACGCGCCGCTGGACCACCTAATGGCAGACGCGTTGCGGATCTATGCTTTTAAAAACTCACATTCCGATTTGAAAGCACAACTCGGTGTTTAGGAAAACGACTCCCCACACATATTCACCATACAGTATCCGGCAGTCCGCTAGAAACCCGATTTTTCAATTTCGTTTTCCAAATTACCCAGCCGTAAAAAGTAGAAATTCAGCCCAATGGCCAAGGTCCACACCATCAAATTCATAAAGCGTACACGATACTCGGTGAAAATCTTGTCGTAATACGTTGGATACCAGATCGACGTGATACGATTCAGGGATATTAATAGATGGCTTGAAAAACATATATATGTCAGACTAAAAATACTCCTACCAAGATAGACAAGCATCATAAAAAGTGTTCTCAAGCTGCCCGAACCAGCTCGAAACACTTGGGTCTTTCCAGGCCTTGATGTCGCTAAAAAAAAAGCTTCAAAAATGTGGTTTATAATGGCCTACAAGTACAGCATCGGGGCAAAGAAGAAGAAGTATCCGCAAGCGTGTAGGAAGCCGGTCAGAGATTGGTTTTTAGCGATACCGCCGAAGGGGTTCTAGGATTTGGTCGGTTTCCTAACGTCTTTCTCTCTATCTCTCTTGCTCACTCACTCTCTGTCTCTCTCTCGTCGCTCTCGCTCTTTCATGCACTCCCTCTCTCTTTCTCTCTTTCTCTCTCTCTCTCTCCCTCTCTCTCGCTCCTAACCTGCATCGACGGCATCTTGGTCACCCAGCAAAAGACGAAACCATTTGAGAACATCCCAGAGAAAGAGGTCTAAAAGTTCCGTGATGCTACACTTTACACCCTCTCAAACACTCCGGCCCTAGAAGCCAGGATATGTAACCTACCGCCCAAACGAGGATGCTCGCCACCTTATGCGGCTCCAACTCGAACATTACTGAAATATGATGTTGATTTTATCTGATGAGAAAATCGCCGGCTGAGCGAATTTTCAGGCCAAATTCAGGATTTGAAAGATGATGACTTCCAAAGGTAGGCCGACCTTGCTAGACTCTGAAAGAAGGCTCTAAAAATCACGGTGCTGATTTCTGAACAAATGAAAAGATGGCGATTTTTCGCGATAATTAGCCTTTTCGGGCCACTCGGCGGCAATCAAATTGGCGCCTAGGGACGTAGGTTGGCGGGCTTATGTTGTCGGTAAAATATCAAGGACCGGATATTGTGTAGTCACCTTCACTGCCAAAGTTCAAAACACTTTGGCTAATTTTATCGGGGGGCTTGTTTTTGAGTCTGCGGAACTTGGTAAGTCTTTGCTAGGTAATGGGAAGCCTCGGAAGTATCTAGCGAACGAGAGCGAGAGAGAGAGAGAGAGAGAGAGAGAGAGAGCAAGCGAGAGCGAGCGCAAGAGAGAGATAGAAGAGAAAGAGCGAGAGACGAGTGAGAGTGCGAGAAAGAGAGAGATAGAGAGAGAAAGTTAGAGAGAGAGAGCGAGAGAGAGAGTGCGAGAGAGATAAAGAGAGAGCCAGAGCAAGCGAGAAAGATAGAGAGTGAATGCGTAGTAAAATACTTTTATCGCAATTTTAATTATAACAAATTAACGCCGTAATCGATTTTATTAGAGATGTCGTTAACTTTATTGTGATGCTAATTAAAAAGGAAAAGCATATCATCACTTTATCTCGTCAGTATATGGCAGTGTATCAAAATTGGAAATAAGTACAATTCAAATTAGGCATGTCGCCTGCCGCGTGAGGAATTCATCATGGGCTGAGAATTCTGAGGTTGAGCCTGCCGGCTTTGTTGCGGCTGTCCATTGGAGTATTGTGGAGATTGGGCGCTCTGGCTGTTGCTCATTCCTTGCTGCGCCGGAGTGAGTGGAGGGGCAGATGGGGCCCCGCCGATGGAGTCGAAGAATTTTTTGTTGAGGGCTTGGGTTTCCTAAAACAGTCGTAAAAATTTTAGTTGTTTAGGGTACTGTATTCCTAGAAATCGCCAAATATTACAATAATTAATGAATTACTATTATAAGTAACGTTGAAAATTTTTTACTGACCTGAATCCTCGTCTGATTCGTATATTTATCCCCTTGGTAGTCGGGCAAGTATCCCGGCTGGCAAGTGGTGCATCCGCCACCACCGCTGTTTTGGCCTAAAAATTATAGTTCGGTTTTTCCGGTAGATTTTAATGATTAGGCTATGATAACCCGATAATAAAAGCCGTAATTATATAAATTAAAAAGGTGGTTATAAAACTCTATGGCTACGGGCTTACTCTGATCTTTCTGTGCGGTCATTGTTGTCTGGGCGGCCAAGGCGAAGCATAGAAATGCGGAGGTGACGATAAGCCTGGAAAAATTATTCAAGCCTATCTGAATGCATAAAAATAGATTCTTGTTCCTGAAAGTGACGAACGTCTTTTTAAAATTGTTTGATAATTTTTTTAAAGTATTTTAGATGAATTTTGGGTTGAAATTATGTGTTTTCGACAATTTTCAAGCGTAATTATATTAATCTAAGTCTGTTAAGGCATTACGGTAGCTTATTCGATATTATTTTTGAATTTTTGCGCTATATTTTCACTTACAATCTCATCTTTAAGGTATAAGAAGGAGGGGGGCCAGCCCGAAGTCGAAAGAGTAATGGCGGATCACTGCCCCTCCCCCCCCCCGCCCCCTTTTTTATATGGGCCATGGACCCGGAGGAGGTCGACGCCCCAACTTCAACCCGCGGCGAACAGTGGTCCCGCCCCGAAAATAGGGCATTTGAGAGGCACGAAGAGGGCCCTATCGTCCAATGGCAAATAGAGGCCCATCCCCGCGGCGCCATACCGGTCGATGACCGTTCCGCAGGGCTGCAAAAATGCTGTGAAAACCTGTACCTGGTGGTACTTTGAATTTAAGGTAAGTGTTTAAGGTTTGTCTCTAGGTTTGCGTATAAGCGCTTTACAGATTGTTTTATCTGGTATAAACGCGCGCCCTTGTGGTTGCTTGAATTCAAGTATCTGGAGACACCCTCAGTTGTGGAGCATAAAACCATCGCATTCTGAATTTCCATATTGCAGCTTCAGATTGGTTCCTTCCTTCCTCTGTCGATGTTATGGTTTGAAAAACGCCTACCTCGGTGTCCATAGAATTCAGGTATTTGGAGCTACTTTAAAGGCATAAGGACGGCGTCCTCTGTCTGTCGGTATTTAAAGCGCACGTTCAGGGAGGGGCCGTGTACTCGTCCCAACGTGTACACCCTATCGACGTAGGGACCGCGCGCACTGCCTGCCCGTCCTGTGACAGGCCATTCCCCTCCTTTGCGCCCCTCGCCCCCTCGTCAGGTTGTAGCTGTGGCTGACTGGTATCCATCCCCGCCTCCCGAGCGGGGGGCCCGGGTTCGACCGCGGCAAATATCTTTGCTTTTTTCCAAAAAACGTCCCTGAACGTGCCTTTAAAGCGGCTCTGGCAGCACACCGATTACGGCATTTTGGGGACCGGGCAGAGACGCAGAGTTCTGTCTGCGTCTCTCCTCTGGGCGCGCTCTTTCTCTCCCTGCCGCGACGCACCCGACCGCGACGCTTCCACGAGTCGTGGAAAAAGGGGCTTGCTGCCAGACGCCCTTGAAGCCGACGTTCTCCCTATAGGGTGTGGAGCTCAATACCATAGTTGTCTAGATTTGAATATCCCAGTCATATAGTAAAGTTTATAAACGCTCTTAGCTTTGGCTTCAGGGTGCAAAAGCACTTAGCGGTACCTCCAATACTTTTAAGGTATCTGGAACTACCCTCAAGAGAGAAACCAACGACATATGTGCATATTATCCCTTGATGGAGGTAAATGCTATAATTTCATAACTTTAGTTCGACTACCATTACAAACATTTATTTTATATCAAAAGAATTCTTCAACTCTACGCAACTTCTCAGGACTTTTGCAATAAAATACCATCAAATCAGGGGACAAACGCGTGGGCACAACACCGAACCGTCGACAAACATTGCCGAAGTGAAACGCCATTTTTCGGCGCAGCAGCAACCAGCCAGCACTTGAAAATGCTTCACGCGGCCCCGGGTCACAAAAATCGGAGCCTAGGGGATGATGGACCTCGAGTGGCCAGCATGCCGATCACTGAGCATCGGTGTGCACCGGAATTCGGGGAATGCTGCTCACGGACGACAGTTGGAAATCCGAAAAAATCAATTTCCGAAGACCTCAATTTTGAAAACTTCGCGCAGCATTTTTCTCAGCCTTGTCGCTCGGCTCTACTTACCGTTGGATGCAAATTTTTGATATTGTGTCGATAATCTAAATCCAAACAAGGCAAACATTTATTGTTGTTAACGTGGTTAATAAAATTCGGAGCTCGTTTTCGAGGTTCTCCCAACGATATTCGCCGGTTTGACAGGCCACTTGTTCATGACGTGCATAGCGGCTGGCCATTTCATCGGCCGGATCGGGGCTACCTGTTGCGGAGCTGCACGCGAGTTTAGCTTCTAAAAGGCATATTTGTTAGTAAAATGTTAACAAATGACTGACACGACATCAAATTACATGGTCGAGAAGCCGTGACGCGTGCGCTACGCTTTGAATTTACTGGCGAATGACTATACAAGTCAACTTTCTCAGCGAGTTCCGCTGCGCTTCGCGAGTCGGCCCGACCGCAGTGATCTCGTTCTCGATGAGCATCACCTACCCAATAAATCCTTTGCAGCCCTCGAAATACCGCGTTTCGGTAAGCTTTCGTTGCGAGCAGAAGGGCCAGATTATTTCCAATGCTGTGCAAGCAACTCCAGGCGCTGATTATACCAACAACTGGAAAAAGCGCCAAGCGTCATTAGGGGGCCATTTGTACTCGCCTCCGAACGCCACTTTCCATTCAAGGTATTTTAAGAATACGAGGATGAAGAAACTATAGGGCATTCCCAAAAATATGGCCAGCATTAGGGTCTAAACCGGGTGTTTTAGAATGGCCACATAGGACTGTCTTGTCTGTCCCTTTAAGGCGAAAAATCTACTATATGTTATTTTTTTGCATACTATAATGTTATACCTCCGCAAATGTTAGCGTGCTTAAAGGTCTCTGGAACGATGGTCTTCGCGAAAAAGTAGAAGACGTTTGCACCTGCAGGGTCGAACCCGCACCGTGAGAATGGGCGCCCAGCGCGCTACCCACTATACCAGGCTCACAAACCGGGAGGGGCGGCGGAGAGGGATGACCTGCCCGAGCATCCCCGTTCCCCACGCAGCGCTCCTATGTACGCGGTCACGGTGTCCGCGCTCTGCAGCCAGCCGCAACCCCTGCGGCTGCGTACCCCAGCGTCCCAGAGGCCTTTAATGAGCGCCATGACCTGCATGGCAAAGATGAGCGCAAAATACTGTTGCATATTTTTGGTCCTCCGGCTGATCGTTGGATCTCGGTTTACCACAAGAACACTCTCCATGTTGACGAAGCAGACCAGCGAGTAGAAGACGGCGATAACGCCGGCCAGGAACCCGACAAAGAAGAGGTAACCGCGCAGCTCGTCTAGGTTTTGGAACAGGAATATGTCGTTGATGCCGCAGAGCGCTTGTTCGGCGGAACATATCTGGAAAATCCCACGAATAAAACTTCGAATTAATTAGGGTCTTCTAATTTCGTTTTTGGACAGCGTTGGTTCTTTTTAAACCGTTCCGAATTTTCGTTATTCGAATTCGCTATTCGAAATTCACAATGTCGCAATTGATTGCGTCGAAATTTTATAATGTCGACGTTCGACGTTTCATAATGTCGAAATTTCATAATGGGCAAATTTCAATGACGATCGACTTTCGACGTTAGGAAGGTTTCACGCTATGAGCTTCGACACTATGAACAACGACCCTATGTATTTCAACATGGTGAATTTCGGCATTATTCTATCTCAGCGTTCTGTAATGTCGATCTGAAATTTCAGTTTTATCAAGTTTCGAAATCCCGAATTTTGGTATTAGAATTTCGGACTAGCGAGCTTCCCTCACCTCCTCCGCATTTCCAATAATGTTTCCCCGTGCGTAGGACGGCCAAATCACGAGTTGCGCGGTGGCAACCACTGCCAGGTCAATGGCATAAATCAAGCGCTGACCCCATTTATAAAATATGCGGTGACGATGCGTACTCTGCCCCGTTCGCAACACTCCGATGTGCAGCACGGAGATGGTCGTGTGCCCGAGGACGCCGATGTATAGGCTCTAATTGTGAGAATGTTCGATACTTACCAAAAATATATTACCGAAAACGAACATAATCGAAGCGTGTTCATCGGGAAGGGGCTCAGCACCTTGCAGGCAAAATACGGCGCGTAGAGGATCGGTTTCAAGGTGAGCATCGTGGTCTCGGCGAAGGCGGCTGACATCTGGGATGTTAGGGTTGTTTCTGTTATTTTATTTGGGTGGCTCTCTCTTCTCCCTCTCCCTCTCTCTCTGTCTCTCTCTCTCTCTCTCTCTCTCTCTCTCTCTCTCTCTCTCTCTCTCTCTCTCTCTTATTCACTCTTGTTGTCTCTCTCCATTTCGCGTTATCTCTCCCTAGCTCTCTTTCTGTCTCTCTCTCTCTCTCTTTCTCTAGATCTCTCTCACCCAAATACTTTCTTAGATTTTAATAAAAGACCACCCACCAACAAATTCAACTGCGAAATTTTATATTCCCTGGTGAGTGGTGCCGCTCCACTGATGATAAAATATGCATTCAGACCAAATAACAGCATCCCAAATGCCCAAAGAAAATAAAGAGCCCGATAATCCATAATTCTTCGTTAGCGGATGGGTGAAACATACGCGCGTCTACGTCGCGAGGATCTGATTAAGAATTGCTATAACAATCTGGTCAGACAATTTCGTGAGCAGGTGTTTTTTGGTGGTAGTGGGCCATTGTGAATGCCAAAATTACTTTAAAAATACCGCACTTTTTGAGGTGGCAATTTCATAATTTCTGCCCTCCATAATGTCGAAATTTTATAATTTCGGGATTATCCATCTCGAAATTGATGTTTACCTGTTGGAAGATCGAGTTCTAATTAGCTTCATGCGCTTCATAGTATCGCACTATTGCCTAAAGAAATTTTTTTACAAATTTTATTTCCAAACCACGAATTTTCCCTTTATGGTAGCAAATCGGCTGCACGGTCTCTCAATAACGATGCATGGATCATATGTACCAACAATGTCACCAAAAAAAAAATACATTCCGGCCTCGAAAACCTCGATTTCACAGTTTTAGGAAACGGCAGACGGTATCCGCATTTCTGAGAATAAGCTGCAGTACACGGTTTTTGCAACAAGAAAAACACGGCATCTTAATCTATGAATTCACACGTCTTTTGCCTGCTTGCATAGATTCCCGCAAGCACCCAGCTGAAGAGACGCAACGCCTTTCAAAACGCCACCCATAAATAATTTTTTGGCTCCTTTTTAGGGAAAATTTGACACACGGAACTAGGTGGAGCTGGTTTCCTTCGCGAGAAAAAGCCAAGACTCGCGAAGTTTAGATCGCGGCGATATCGGGGAGGTCCGGAAGAGCGGAGGATACCTGGAGGGGATCTGCTCCCTACATCTTGCCCTTTCGATCCGAAATTGCCTAGACGAGAGGCAACAGAGAGCTTCTCTCTCTTTCTCGGCTTCTTATTCACTAAATTTTGACCTATTGTTTTGGTCATTTTGCAAATAAATGATCATAAAACGAAGCTGGATCGCCTACGGCTGTGCATTTGTTATTTTTATGATTTTTCTATTGACATCGCGGAGTAAAACAGGTATAAATATTTTTTCGATTTTTTGTGGGATATTTGGCCATTGTAATGCCAAATTTTAGCGCATTCCTAAACATCAAATATATTAAATAAATTAAATAAAATAGAATGAATACAAAATTGTTTCAAAGTGGTATTTTTATATTTCTTAAATTACAGTATCGCGTTGTTTTAATGTTCTTGCCTGCAAAAGGTTTGCTGAAAATTCTAATAAGAAGTGTTTTTTATGTTCGTTGGATTTGGCGCTATTTTACACTAAAATTACTAAAATTCCAGAAACAAACGATATCGATGCCCTAACCGCCAGTGAGGCTGTGGAAGCAATCGAGCAGCAAGAAACCTTCATAAAAGAAAATTTTGAAAATTCGACGGAAATGGATTACGTGCGAGAACAGTATTTTGAGCAGGTATTTCAGTTAGAGCCTTTCACTCCTATATTTCAGCTTCAAAGCCGGGTAAATCTCTTAAAAAAGGCAAGAAAGGACTATGTGACTGGGTGGTTCACCAGAAAGGATTACCAGAATGGGTTCGCGAAGTTGTATAACGGGATTGTGCCCGAGGTAGGATACTCTGACAATTAAATTAAAATAGTTTTTAAGGTATTTTGTCCGAATTTGGTTCGAATTGGGAACGTCAATGATGGCGGGAAATGGGTTTGCAATCCGAAAGCTTTGCCAGGTATGTGGGAAAGAGAGAGAGAGAGAGAGAGAGAGAGAGAGAGAGATAGAGAGAGAAAGAGAGAGAGAGAGAGAGACAGAGAGAGAGAGAGAGAGAGAGAGAGAGAGAGAGAGAGAGAGAGAGAGAGAGAGAGAGAGAGACAGAGAGCGAGGAAGAGAGAGGGAGAGAGAGGGAGAGAGACATGGCGTTATTAAAGGGCATGTTCAGGGACGTTTTTTTTTGGAAAAAAGCAAAGATTTTTTGCCGCGGTCGGGGGTCGAACCCGGACCCCCCTTGGGAGGCGCGGATGGATACCAGTCAGCCATAGCTACAACCTGGCGAGGGGGCGAGGGGCGCCCTACGCCGCAAAGGAGGGGAATGGCCTGTCACAGCACGGGCAGGCAGTGCGCGCGGTCCCTACGTCGATAGGGTGTACACGTTGGAACGAGTACACGGCCCCTCCCAGAACGTGCGCTTTAATATAGTATTCTTCCAGATAAGTGCGCCATCATGTCGTTGGGCGTAAATGTCGATGCAACTTTTGAACGGGAAATTCAGAAGATCTCGAACCAGCGATGCCGGATAAATTCTTACGATCCGGTAGGTGACATAGTTGGGGTTTTCTGATATATCGTATGACATTTTGGTTACAGATGGACCCCGGATCAGCCATCGCAGGTCTGGAATCTCTAAACGTCCATTTCCGGCAGGTAGCCATCGGCGCCGAGGATAATCTGGAAGTATGTTACTTTATTAAGCTGTTTATTAAAATCATTCGTGTTCCTAGTATAGCTAAGGTGTTTAAAAGCCCGAAAACGCAGTTCAAAGCACTTTCTTTAGCACCGTCAAGTCAGTGTCCTCACCGAAATGCAGCGGCTATCGATTGCGAAACTTGAAATGCTCAAGATTGATATTGAACGTAAGTCAATTTTTTCTTCGCGGCATTATTGCTTACCTTGATGACCCTTGCCATAAAACTCTTTTAGTAAATGAATTTTCCGTAATGCCAGGGCTCGTGGAGAAAACGGAATTCTGCCAGGCGAGCGAAATGCGCTTTTTTCACCAATCGGTTGTTTTTAGATTTTTATCGAAATCCACGGGAACCCGGAAGAAACGATTGATCTCATCGTGCTGTTGGCCAAAAAAGGGTAATTTTATCGTTTTTAAGAACTTAGATTCCGAATTTCCACGCTAAATTGGGTCGCAAGACTTAATTTTAGATACCGTATGTTCTCCTACGAGATTAATGGGTATCACCACACGCTAAGCGAGTACTCCTTCATACACGACAATTGCCTGAAGCAGTACGGCGCGGTACCTGTGGTCAATTATTGGCATCTTGTATAATTTGATGGAACGGGATATGTACAGGCAATAAAAAATTATAGTTGATTAAATACAATTCCAAATTAAATACATTAAATTATAGATCAGATCGATTCACGCGTTAAAGATATATTCACACTTATTACTCTGCCAGCTTTTCCTTCTCACAAGGAGTCACTTTTAGGTGCTTTTGGAGTTTCGGGACGGGACCTAGCTAGTTCGATAGAGAAAAAAATTCTGAGCAACATCACGTTTTCAAAAAGTGCTGATCGATAAAGGTGTTTTAGAAAATTTAATTTAAAGTTCGCGCTTTTTTCTAGTTTTAGGGTCCATTTCCCCGGTGCACGTCGTTTTCGGGGCTGGGCAGGGCGCCATTCGTAACCCTCCGCCAATGCCTCCATTACAGGTTGCATTGGCGTATTGGTAGCGCGCTTGCCTACCAACATTTTAACATTTTTTGCCTCGGGTTCGAATCTTCGCGCTCGCTAACCCTTTGCTTTTTGGTTCCTGAGCCCGTTATCGGTGCATAAAATTTTAATTAGCAAAAAAGCAAAGAGTTAACGATAAATACGAATCGAACTTGTGGCAAAAGGTCAAAAAAAATCGTAGGCCATCGCACTAGCCACTTGGCCATGCCTGGGACGGGATCCAAGGCGCGTGGAGTCCTCATGTGGCGGGGGCGGTCGACCGCCGCAAATAACCTCAAATCACCACAAGGGTCCGGACACCGGGAACAGTTTTAATTAAATTAAATTTTCTAAAACAGCTTTATCGATCAGCACTTTTTGAAAACGGGATGTTGCTCAAATTTTTTTTCTCTATCGAACTAGCTAGGTCCCGTCCCGAAACTCCAAAAGCACCTAAAAACGACTCCTTGTCAGATATTACTTAGTTTCGGTAAAAGGTCGAGTGCAGGTTATCAGGGCATTAAATATTGCTGTTTGACCTGACTCATCAACGCGGCCATTTGTTCGGTGATCAACTTCATCAGCAGGTCGTGGGCTTGCTTGTCTCGCTCACGCTGCGTCCGGTGGCGCTCCTCATCTGGCTCACGCTGTTCACGATGACGTTCCTCCATTGCGGTCAGAACGTTTTGCAGAACTTCTTCCATTTGGGCTTCTTCTTCTTTCACTTTCGTAGACTACGACTTTGTGACGGGGCCAGCTTCCTGTTGTCCCTTCTTGCGGAAGTGTCGAATCACCTGCTCGCCAATTTGTGGTGTCGTTGAAGTGTGGTGAAGAGCTTGATGGTTTGCAGTCGAAGTATCGAATAAACAATCAATGTTTATTCGACAAACAGCAGACGAGAAAAAAATTAAATTAAAAAAATTAGAGATTAAATGGGCGAATTTCCCGGGGAGAGCGGGGGCCTTTACGACACAAAATGGGGGCGTCCTGGCGGGACCACAGGCTACGATCACAAGGGCACGCAATAGGGGGTAGGCGACTAGAGTCTAGCCTTTCGTTCCCCAACATATTTATAAATATATAAATTATTAGAAATGTACAAATTTCACTTAAATTAGGCAGAAAATAATTGATAAATTAGAATAAACCTAATTGTTAGCTCTAGATTCCATCGATCGAAGGTATCGGCATTTTCCAGAGTCGATAGTCGTGGTAGTAGGTGGCAAGGACGTAGGCCATTGTCGTACGATTGGATTTAACCTCGCTGATCCAGCTAGATATGATTAATAGGTTTTCAACTTCACGCTTTGTTCCCCAAAGGCCCAGCTACAAGGCAGAAACCCACTTATCATATTTCATCGGGCCATCCGGCTCTAGTCGCAGCTTGTTCGTCGTTGTAGTTCGGAGCCGGTTAAGGGCCTAGCAATTATATATGCAATTTTCGAATGACATTTCTATACCGCTTCCACCCATTGTCGCGGCGCTTCCGTTTTCCCAAGCGGCTTTCTCAGGCGCTTGATGAGGGTTTCTGGATCTTTGTTGTAGACGACAGGATGAATTTTTGTGGGTGTCGCGCCGATGCCGCAGGACCTAAAAAATGAACCAAAATACGAGAAGAAGCCAAGCAGAGGGCGAGAGAAAGAGAGCGAGAGAGAGAAAGAGCGAGAGAGAGAAAGAGAAGGGAGAAACAGAGATAGAGTGAGAGAGTGAGAGAAGGGGAGAGAGAGAAGGAGAGAGAACAAGAAGGAGAAAGATAGAGAGACCGAGAACGAGAAGGAGAACGAGAGAGAAAGGGTGAGAGGGAGAGCGAGAGAGAATAAGAGCTACGAATTTTACGAAATCAAAATTTTTCTGAGGTAAAAAAGGGTCGGCGCTTCATTTTTGCGATACATTCCAAGACTCAATTCCGGCAAAATCCAGGTTAAAAACGCAAAATAAAATTTATTTTTGCTATACCTCGAAAACTACTGTACCGATCGGGGTGAAAGTTTCTGTGAACATTTTAAATTCCCTTCTGCAGCTCTGTTCAAAATTTCAAGTCAATCTGATTTGAAATGACAAAATGCCAGCGTGACCTTTTTTATTGGGACACCCTGTAGAAATCATGTGGCGTCATTTATAAAAACCACAAAGACGATATATTATAATCAATACAAGTTTATACTCGATAATAATAAATACATAATACATAAATATAAAAAATATCTATTGTTCTCTATCATCGGGTAGCGCCGGCATCGGCTTGTTCCAGAGTCGATAGTCGTGGTAGTATGTGGCGAGTACGTAGGACATTGTCGTTCTATTGGACCGTACTTCATGCATCCATCTAAAATAGTAATAGACCTTTAGGCTCTAAAGAATACTATCAGGTTGGATAATAAGTTCTGTCACAATTTTTTGAAATCGCTCGTTAAAATCGCAGATGTTTCCGATTCTGGAGTTTGAGGTATGGTTTGATAGGTCTCACAACACTCTATTCTGGGAGGACCATCAGCTGACCCAAAAATTGAGGGACGTCGAGATACAGGCCCGGGAAGGTTTTCGCAAAATGACGCAAAAGTGTGTTAGCGAGTTATCTCTGCATACAGGCATTTGCATACGATACCTTTAACACCAATCGATAGCTCTCGAGGAGTAGATATCGATAGATGATTAGATCATCAAAATTGGACATCGGATGGCCGAGATACGACCTCTTGAAATTTGGCCCATTTCTTAGAACTTTTCCCAAAATCCCATACATTTGATAGCCCGCGGCCAAAACTGACCGCTTGATTTTCAAAAGAACCGAGCGCATTTTGACCAAATGTATGGGATTTTGGGAAAATTCTAAGAAACGGGCCAAATTTCAAAGGCCGATATCTCGGCCATCTGATGTCCGATTTTGATGATCTCAACATCCATCGATATCTACTCCTCAAGAGCTATCGATTGGTGTCAAAGGTATCGCATGCAAATTTCTCTATGCAGAGATAGCTTGCAAAATCGGTTTGGTACGTTTTTGCGGAAAACTTCTCGAAGCTCTATCTCCGCGACTCTCAATTTTTGGGTGCGAGGAGGGTCTACCCAAGGTAGAGCTCGAGGATACCTATCAAACCATATATCCCACTAGTAATTTGGGCACGTCTGCAGCTTTAACAAGCGATTCCAAAAAATTGTGACAGAACTTATTATCCAACCTGATATATCCACTATAAATACAACGGGCTTACCGGTCATATTTTTTCGCCTTATCCGGGTCCAGTCGGGCCGTGTCCGTGGTGGTGGTGCGGAGGCGGGAGAGTGCCTATCGATTTCAGCTGTTTAATTTTGTAGTCAACCACCTTTCCAATCCAAGCCCTGGGCGCTTGCACTTGCTGGAGAGCGCCTCGCAGTCGCCTGATTAAAACTTCGGGCTTTGAGGAGTAGACGACGGGGTGGAACTTCCGGGGGTTTACACCGATGTCGCAGGACCTGAAATACTGGCTCGGACACACAGAGAGAGAGAGAGAGAGAGAGAGAGAGAGCGAGGGAGAGAGCGAGAGAGAGATCTAGTGAGGGAGAGAGCGAGAGAGAGCGAAAGAGAAATAGAGAGCGTTTGGGAGCGCGAGAGTGCGTCGGCGGGAGCCAAGGCAGGATTGAGAGCAGCAGCGAAACCAGGAGCTAGAGCAGGAGCGAGAGCCGGAGCCACAAAAAAATAGCGAGCGAGAGCCCATTGAGAAAATCATTTATAGAAAAGTGCTGCGAAATCTGCAATTTTAGCGTGTTCAAAACGCGATTATTTTCAACGCCTTTAGACAAAGTTTTTCGAGATATTCCTATTATTTTTTTCTCGTCACGTCGCTTACCAAGAAGTCGGCGAAATGTGATGCACAAAGAATTCGGGAGTCTTCGCCCCTTCCGGTGCCCTCCCAAATTGAAGGTATTCGTAGAAAGCCTTGGCAGCCACGTGAATTGATTCTCCGGCTGCCCCACACCGTTTTTGCCGGTTGCTGAACAGGTCTTATTACGCAAAATTTGCGCTCACTCGCACACGTGTCCATACATCGACACAAATCTATCAACCGGGTCCCGCCACACAAAAATCTTGGTGTTTTGCGGGTTGTCCCATCCTCGGAGCAATCCACGTCTAGCCGGGCTTGCCGTATCGAGGCACCAATGGCTGGAAGTATCATTTTTAGATGCAAATTTATTAAAACCGTCCACTGGTGAGCGCGTCTTCCACTTGTTTGGTGATTTTCTTGCCCTTCTTGCGAAGGAGGATCTCGCAGAGAATCTAAAAAATGGACACAATTGCGGAGTGAGCGAGAGAGAGAGCGAGAGCGAAAGCGATCGAGTAAGGGTGAGGGAGTGAGAGGGTGCGAGAGCGGAAGAGGAAAGGCGAGAGGGAGAGAGAGAGTGAGAGAGAGAGGATGAGAAAGAGAGAGAAAGAGAAAGGGGGAGAGGGAGTAAGAAAGAGCGAGAGAGAAAGGGAAAGAGATAAAAGGTGAGAGAGAGAGAGAGAGAGAGAGAGAGAGAGAGAGAAAGGGAAAGAGATAAAAGGGAGAGAGAGCTGAGAGAGGACAGAGAGGGATAAGCCATGTGTACGTATCTATCTTACGTACTTACCTTCTTCATCTGCCTGGAATTCGACTTCGGCGTAGAGGCATAGATGAGCTTTCCGACAAACTACAACAAACAATGTCAGGCTTCAAAAATTAGATATGACCAGTCTCGAGCAGCTGGGCAGCTTTCGAATTGGCACCGGCCACAGCTCCTCGGTTCCATTGGGGGTGCCGACTTCCCAGAATACTTGCTGAAAACGGGATACGCTAAGGTTTAGAGTATTGTTGCGGTAATTGGAAAAATTCGGTAAAGGTTTCCGTAATTTTTAATTGTTATTACTAAATTAAATAATTTTTACTAGCTTCAATTTGCCAAAACCATCTTATTTTAATTTTCTAAAAAATAGAAGGACTTAAGTCTAAAAACCACACCTGCGGATTTCCATCTGTGACGAGCTCATAGTGGTTCGGCCTGACTTCCGCCTCGGCCAGCTGCCCGAGCACTAATAGGCAGTATAATATCAGGGCGTACATGGAACTTAATCGCAGTCAAACGACAGTTTTTGGCCTGCTAAATATGTGAAAACGCCCTCCCCGTGCCCCGGCTAATTGACGACCTTGTTCGCGTCCACGTTTCTCACGCTCGAGGCCGAGTCTCGCCAGACGTCTTATTCCAATGGCACCCTGAGTCTCGCTATCTATGCGACATCTCAGGCTGAGAGAGCGCGTGGTGAAATTGGTACACCGCCTATACCCACCCCGACCCAAGATCAGCACCAACTAGCCGCCACGCCAAAGAACCGGAAAGAGGTGTACAAGGTCATCGAAATAGACGCGTTTCGAAAAACCGGCTCTGATTAGCCGTCCGCTTGATTTGATATTTGCATGGATAGCAATCAGAGGTACGGAAGTGCAATACCAAAGGACAAGGAACAAAATTTTCCAGGAATGGCGGTAAGTCGAAACCCAGAATTTGATAAATGATTTGAATTATATGAATTTGAAGATGGAAATCGTAAAAGCCATTAGGGTAAAGAAATATTTATGTAGTTTTTGGAAACTGTGATTTCATCAACTGAAACTTTCGACAGTATGCCTTTGTGTCATGAAGACTTTCGAAGAATGGATTTTCGATTTTGAGAAAGATTTTGATGTCGCTTGTTGCTACCTTTGTTCGATCCAGTTCATAGCGCTCGATGACGCTTCCGGAGACGCTGGGGCCGCTAGGGGCTTTTAGATCATAGCTTGGGCGTCCACAAGAATTTTTGGTGGACTTTGCATGATTTGCATGGCAAATTTTTTTCGCACTTTAATAATTTTTAAACGAAATAACTTTTTCAAGGACACTTTCAAAAATCCTACTTAAAAAACCATGTTTTTATTGATTGTCCAAGGGTCAGCAAACCTTGAGAAAAACGTAATTTTGAAAGCGCATTCCAGAGTTTCCAAAAAAAAACTGTTGCGCCCCAACGCCCGAAAAACCTTTCTTTTCAAGAGGTTTTAAAAGCTGAACCGTCAGATTTAAAATTTTACCACATGAAAGGGTACCATTAAGGATACGGGGTTTTCTTAGGCAAAAAAAACCCCCCGGAAATTTTGTTAGCACCCGAAAATTCTCGTTGACAAGTCTCATTTTTCTCGCTTCATTTTACCCTTTGGTCACTATACTTTTGTGGAGCGATAGAAACGGTTTGTGACAAATTTTTGAGGCTCATCAATATTCCGCTCACAGCTTGCCTGATAAATTCCACACGTCACCGGTTCGAGGAAAAAAATCAGGCGCCATTTCACACATTTTCGGCTTCATCGGTATTCCACCGAACGCTTACTTAATAAATTCCATACATCGACGTTTCGAGAAAAAATCAGGCGCCATTTGACACATTTCAGCTTCATCTGTATTCCACACATAGCTTACTTAATAAATTCCGCCCCATTCCACTGGTTTGTTCCAGAAAAAGCCCGTCTCGCTCCAGTAGAGTGCAAATTTCGCAAAGAACCCGATGGCGTAAACAACATGCCTGCCGTTGCCCGGCCCTCGTGGCTCATTTCAGCCATTTCTCCCCCTTTCCCGCCACCTTATCACCCCTTTTGTTGTTTTGAAAAATGGTTTTGTAGTCTGTTAATGATAAGGAAATGGGTAGTATTAATAGGGAATTGTAGCGAATTGTTTTCAGATCCCGATCTGATCTACTATCCCCACCAAAACCTCAAAGATGACTGACTGCGGTGAGTGGTTCAAAATGTTTCATTTTTCAATGGAATTCAATCGAATTTTAGGCTTTATAACAACATTATAATATTTATTAAAGACTTTCTGGTTTATTAAAATTCTCAAAAATATAATTTTAACTTGAAGAAAGCAGCTACAATTTTTCGCAACCTTTTTCCATTCGAACCGACCTGAAAAGGCAGCCTTTTATCTAGTTCTTCTAAATGATCTTTTTTTTGTAAACTAATTAACTTTAAAATTTATATATTACGGCACTTTTTACGATCTGTAGATTTCGATGTTTTTTTTCAGGCTGTGGCGAAGGCAAACCGTGCCAATGCAAGGATGGCGAGTGCAAGTGCGACAACTGCAAGTGTAAGGGCAGCGGCTGCCACGGACACAGTATGTTTTTCAGCTTCAAAATTATTCTATACATTTTCTTTGGTTTTATATAGTTTTATAGCCAGTTTTTTACTACCTTAAACCCTTTTAATCTATCTAAAAACCCGGAAGTTGACAAAGAAAGTTTAGAAAAATTAAAATAACTTTTAGAGAGTCGATATAATGTTGTTGGATTTTCTATATTCTTATTTTTGACATTATTTTTATTTTTCCTTTCCAGAAAGCGAGGAGAAAGCCGGCGGCCAAGGCAAATGCGGCAGTCACTGCGAGGAGAAGGAGCACAAGCACTAGACTGCTCACCCTCCCCAGCTACTGTAAATAATCCCGACGGCCCCATGACATTCCCTAATAAAGACTTTCGCAAGCACTAACTTACCTTATACACGAATTTATGCTACAACCTGACATGTTTAAAAACCCAAAGCGCGTACCAAAACCTGAAACAAACAAAAACACGACAATTCGCACGTAGCAGTGTTTTGTTTTCAAGTTTTATTTCCGATTGGCGATTTTCGAACTCAACCGGATGAACGTAATACACAAAAAGTACAACATAGGCCGATGACAGCCGATCCAATAAATATTTTGCCTCTATTTCCGGCCCATCGGACGGCGCGTGGTGGTCTGTCTGTTCTGAAAGTTCAAAATGTGGAAAAAGCACGTTCTTAGTATATTTTTGATGTTCAAACTAAAATATTAAAAAGCTTAAAAACGCAGAATAACTCACTTGGCACATTCCACATGACTTGGCACATGAAAATTGGATTTGGGATCGGGAATAGAGGGTAGATTGGCAGAAGCCGTTTCCGACGTAGAGAGGACAGCTGGAACATCGCAAAATGCATCTTTTTATTTTTCAAAATTAATATTAAGTTCAATTAATAACTAAATCAATAATTTTAATTTTAATTTGATTTAAATACATCTAATGAATTGTAAAATACATTTTTTTTGAAGGCCTAATAAATTAAATAAATTCAATCCCATCAACCAAATTCTAATTAAAAAACCGATAACAGTCTAAAACCGATTAAAATCTTTCAATTTGAGGCGGGTGTACCTACTTTGGGTCCCTATCCATGCACGGCATTGAGGTGGTCCTCTAAAAAAATAAGAAGAATTTATCTGAATTAAAATAGTTTTTACCTGCTGGCAAGTAGCCAAGATCATAACGGCCAGGACCAGCAATCTGAATAAAGAACTTTATTAAGGCTTTACGATAACAAACCTCAAAATACCCTGCATTTTGTTGTGGCCCAAACTTCCAAAAACCAACTTTCGAACCCAAAACCAAAGGTTTTTCGTATTTATACAGTTCACCTTGGGGTTATATTTGCGGTGGTCAACCAGCGGCAAACAATTATCAACTCCCCGTTTTTCCGTGTAAATCCCATTATTTACCTACCGTACTTGCTGCCCCCACACTCATCGTCAATATTTGAAACCCAGGGGAAACTTGGCGAAACTTTGCTCTCAACGAATTTTGAGGGTAGGTTTTAAGAGCGAGGCGCGCAGGAAGCGAAACGAAACGTCATTTTCAGGTGGTTTTATCAAAAATAATAGGCAAAAAAGAAGGAAATACGTGATATGCTTTCCTCAAAAAGTTCAAACTACGCTAAAAGCCAAGAAAATTGTGTTTTAGCCAGGTGCCAACAGAGACCCGTCAAGCAACGCTGGGGCGGATGTTTTCCGGGGGCCAAGGCTTTTTCTGCAACCCGATGCCTTTGGCCGTGATGAGCGGGACTCATTGGCTAAAAAGCGTGCTAGTGCTGCTTTTGCGTCCTGCTGAGACGGCGGGCGCAAGCTTTGCTATATTCTTTTGTTTTTCTGTGATCACTACGTTAAATTTTACTAGGTGCAAGGCACGTCTTTTTAGTTTTTTTTTCACCGAGTTAAACTCGGTAAGTCGCGACGGTAATCTTTTACTGGAACCGGATTTTTTCTGGTCCTACTTTTCTCTCGCATTTTTCCAAATTTGAATACAGTCAATTATTTTTTTGTTTTTCATTTTGAGCATTAATTTCAGCCATTTTATGTTCAGTGGGTCAAGGAGGCAATTCGAATATACAGGGTGTCCCAAAAAAAGCACCCCCCTCTAGCGGCGCGCAGTCGTGTCCGATTTTTATCGTTTAGGTATCTATCGAAAGCTCTTGAAAAGGCGAGAAAACAAGGAGGGTTCATTTTCTTTATTATCTATTTTTATTAGCAAATTTTCCGTCCAAAAACCATGAAAACGGCAGATTTACGCGAGATCTGCATGCTAATCGCGAAATTCCTATTGAAAATCTACCTGTTTTTTAGAAGAACGTTGAATATCCAGCGTATAAAAATAAATCTCATAAAATAAATCCCGCTTGTTTTCTCGCCTTTCCGAGAGCTTTCGAATGGTATAAAAATTATCCCGATCTGAGCTTTCCCCGGACCGCTAGAGGGGGGTGCTTTTTTTTTTTGGGACACCCAGTTTTAAGTTCAGGATGGCCTCACTTTTGCTAAATCTTCATAGAAGATAGAATGAAGACCGCGGTGGATCTTAAAGTACTGCACAATGCGCAACCTTTTTGCTACCAAAAATTCTCCGATTCTCGAAAAACTTGTAAATTCACGGGAAAGCCATCTTTCCCTTACCAGCTTTGAATAAATCGATTAAGCTAGTTTCGCTACGTTGGAGAGCACTTTAAAGTTATTTGAAAAGGTTAAGGGATACGATTTTAAATTTAAGTAAAGCACTTAACGCAGAATCGTCATCTTCCAAAGCCCTTACTCCGCTCTTCCCTTAATTCTCACTGTGTTGCCACTCATCTGATCACCCCCATTCGTCTTCGCACCCATTTTAGTATGTATTGCGTTACGTGCCAAAACAAATTCCAAACAATTAAGGGGTCCAGCGGGGGTCCGCCGGGCGACTCCATCGCTTTTGTCGTCAGCAACACGACCTTCAAGACCCGAGGCGACCCCATGAATATCATAGCGAGGGCAGCCAGGGCAAGGGCAACTTTCCGGGTTTCACCCCAAACCCCCCAATAGACAGCCCGGAATCCATTTGTTAGCGTTTTGGGCAAGAAAGGCAGTTTTTTTGCGTGGGTCCGATTTTTTTTTGGACGCTCATTATGAATGCGGTTGGAAGACGAGCACCATGGGCTCGAGAAGGAGCTCCAGTCGTTTTGGCGAGCATCTTTTCATTCGCATTTCTGCTGCTGCCGATATTGCCTATCCTTACGGCCTGTAATGAGGAGGCAACGTACTTGGGAAGGTTTCGCTCGAAAAGGAGGTGAGTACTGTAGTGTCAGGTAGTAGGGTTCTGTTTAAAGTGATTTCGCGAGGTATCTAATGTAGTTCCAAGCTTAAAAGCCTAAATTTTATGGGGCCTTGAAGTCTCTAATGGGTGGCAATAATACGCCTTTTCATATTTTCAAAAGATATACTAAAGAAAGGTAATAAAAATTCAAAAATCGTTTAATATCCGAACTCTTTCCCATATCTGCTCATCTTAGGTTCATGTCGGGAAGTGCCATGCGCGGAAGCGGCAGGTCGAAACCGTACTCGGAGCAGGAATATAAGGATTGTTTGGCCAGGCAACCGTATCGATGGACAGTTTATGCGATTTACGTGATTTTGGTGAGTACCATTTGTTGTTTTGCTCATTTACTCTCTATCTCTCGATCTCACTCTCTCGCTCTCTCTCCTCTGAGCCCTTGATTCTAGCTCAATCTCTCGCCGTCTGGCTGCGTCCTACTGGTTTCCCTCTAACGAAATATGTCTCCCCTGCTATCCTGCTCTCTCGCTCCTTCCCTCTCTCGCTCTCATTCTCTGCCTCGCTCTCCTTCTCTCTCACTCGCTCTCGCTCCCTCTCTCTTTCTCTCTCTTTCTCTCTGAATTTCTCTCTCTCTCTCGCTCTCATTTTTCTCTCTCGACTTCATTCTCTCACTGTCGTCATCTACGTCTTCTACAGATCCACTCATAACGAAATTCATTCTTATCGTAACTTTTAAGCCGTTTTTAGTGGATGCTCGTCTGTTCCCTCGCCTTCCTCGCATATACAACCATGCGAGCCGGCCCACAATCGCGAGCTACTCGCATCATTGTCGGCAGTCTCCTCCCCCTATCAATCGTCTGCGCCACCGGGTTGGCCATTGGGCTGACGGTAGAATCATTTGATTAACGCCTACCATTACTATCTATTTCTTGCCCCCGCACTAATCTTTTTTTTCACTTTGTACACAACCATTTATTGGCCAAAATATCACGAAAATCACAAAAACACAGACACTCAAAAATTTGACAGTTTGAATAAAGCCTGAAGTCCCCGGGAATCGACTAGAGAAAAAGCCAAAAATATGGCGAAAGGGACTGGAATAATATGGCGAAAAGGGTAGCATAAGTGAATTGGAAATCGCGATACACATATCAAGGGCGGCGAAAATAAGCATAGAAGAAAATTACTTAAAAAATCGACTGTGAACTGGTTTTTGGTACAGTGTTTGAAAAGTATGGTATACGGTAATACAAACACTACGGCATACGGTATAAGGCAGGAGATGAAGAGCTACAAATCGCTGCAATAAACATCCAGCAAATCGGGGTTGATTTTGAGGCTGAGCTCCTTGGTGGCCTCGTGGATCCAGCTCTGGTCGCCCTGCTCGGTGTAGCCGTCGACGTCCATTTCTTGGAGCAGGTCGTAGTTGTCGGGGAAGATGTAGTCACGGTCTGAAAATTGTAGTTTAATGTGGTTGAGAGCGCGAGAGAGAGAGAGAAAGAGAGAGAGAGAGAGAGAGAGAGAGATGGAAAAGGGAAAGAGCGCGTGCGAGAAAGGCAGATCGTTTAAAAAACAGAACCTACCGCATAAATTCGGATTATCAGCCCAAATCTCGGCTCCTTCAGCATCGCCAAGATCGACGTGGAGGTGGCTCTCATCCTGGGGCGGCAAATTCGGATTCCCGTGGAAGTGCGGGTTCTCCGAGAAGGTGAGCACAATTTCGGGGAGCGGCGGGGAGTTTACTGCAAATAAATAATTATTCAAGCGAGTTTTAGGTATTCCTCTTGTTGTTGTGTCTTTCAGCCTTCAATGCGCCTTTAATTCATCTTAAAAAACCTTGAGAAAGTATCTTAAATCATGCATAATTAGGTTTATGATGGTTATCTTAATTTTTTGTTACTCTACTCTAACTACCTTTCCTAGCCAACCTACACCTCAACTCTCCAACTGGGTCACCAAATCCCGAGACCCTAATCCCCTTCATGCCGGGATTCGTTTTATGGGTTTAGTGATGATCGTTTGGAGGTGGGCTGTGGGCACACCGGAGTGACGCGTGCCCGGCTAATCTCGATCCTAACCAACCCCTCCCCTCCTTCCGGCCCCGGGTCTCCAGATTAATTGCGCAGGTGGTGTGGAATGGGGAATTATGGGGGGAGGGCAATAACTGGGAGGCAGGTCTTTATGGGATGACTTGCCGTTTGAGGGTATGTATTCTAGACGTGAATGGGTTTTGATAGAAGACAGAGAGAGAGAGAGAGAGAGAGAGAGAGAGAGAGAGAGAGGGAGAGAGAGAGAGACAACGAGCGATGGAGCGATAGACAGACAGCAAATGGGAAACGGTTCGAGAACGAGACTCACCAAGGGCGAGAGATAGCGATAGATAACGTAAATGAGAGTATCAGGCTAGAGAGAAAACGAGCAAGAGCGCGAGAGAGAGAGTGCGGGAGAACGAGAGAGCGGGAAAGCTCAATTCTGAACATTTTTTGCAAAAAAAACCTGATTTTGCGGTTTGATTTCCGCCGGATTTAATTTTCAAGTTTAGATGATTTGCAACCGCTTTAAAATCCGTACAAACCTGTCATAAACTCCTGCCCATTCATCCCAGAACTGGCCGGCCGGAAGGGCGACTCGAACGAAGCACAGGGCCGCTTCGCACACGCGTCCATTGGTTCTTCTACAAAATGAGTAACCGGTTGTCAGTTGCACAAGTATGTTTACCACTGTTGAAGTGTCGTTTACGATCAAACACTGTTGACTTGGTCATTGCGGGGGCGGGAAGCGGGAGCTGGGAGGCTGGCCGAGAGGTTGCTGTGGACGGCTGTTGGTCTTCTCTGCAAAATCGAGGGCGTTTTTTGGTGCAGCTCTTATCTTTTATGAGCAGCAAGGTTTTTCGTATACTTTTCAAAAAGAAATGAAGGAATTTTAGAAAATCCCGTTTATAAAATTGGAAAGATAGCAGCATGGCATAAAAATGGCAAAAACGCATTTGAGAGATTAATATGAGAAAAAGAATTTAAAAATAAAAACCATTAAATTAATGTAAAACCTCTATATATAAACCTATATTAGATTTTATAATAAGTTAATAAGCTTTTTTACCTGGCAAATGTCCAGAAATGACCCTTCGTCTTGACGCCGTCAGCACGGGGCACCTTTTCAAATGCCCGGTTCAGCGACAGGTTGTGCCGGATGGAATTCTAAATAAAGTAATGTTTTTGGAAGTTTCTATCTTTCCATCTCTCCCTCTCTCTCTCTCTCTCTCTCTCTCTCTCTCTTTCCCTCTTTAAGGAAAAAGTACTTACCTTCCAGCTGTTATTCCCGCAGCGATAATACGCGAAATTTTCCCTCACCCAGTCGTACAGGTCGCACAGGGTTATCTGGAAAGCGGAAAGTTTCGGAATCACTTGGAATTTTGTGTCAAAACAAGATTTCAAATCCAGCCGGGGTATCCTGAAGCGTCTGGGTCATGAAAATTCGTCAACATACAAGATTGGGGGCAGGGTGAGGCTGGGATTCAACCCGAGGGGAATCCATAAATTTTTAGCGAACCCGAAAGCACGAGAACGCGAATCCGAAGATCCAAATTATAGATTCCGGAAAATATTAACGAGCTGTACATGGGAAATTTAAGAAAAATGCTGATTTAAAAAAATTTCTGGTATTTCCAAAAGGGGCTGTGATGGCATGGACGCATCTAATCGTTTTTGACATTTCGGAAAGCGGCCAAATCCGCTCAAATCTACTGTAGTATAAAAGAACATTTTTTTATACTATAGTACCTACCTACTTCCCATACTTTTACAACGCTTTATATATTAAGTCGATCTAAATCTAAAAAAGCCGGTTTCTAGCATATAACTGGATTTTAAAGTTTGACATCCGGAGATAAAAATTAGCTTTTTGCCAACAATCTATATGCAAACAACCTCAGCCTTTCTAGTGCCTTTAAATTTTTCAAAATCGGAAAGCTGAAATTCTGCCGTACCCTCCAAAACCCCACCCGACGATTTTCACCTGGCTGTGAGGGTGGGCAGAAATGTCAGGTCAGGCAGGTGCTACGGGGAAATGAAAGGAGGCCCAGATTCGGGTTATAAAAGTACCTTTGACAGGTGTTAGCAGTTGATCTTATCGTGAGGAAAATAAATTGAAAAATATCGAGTGCAGGATCGGAACATTGGCAGGGCTAAAGTTATGCACTTCTGATGGCAAAAGAAAAACTTTGTTCCGGTTGAATTTTCGAGTTAATGTTTGTATGCTAAATTCAAGAGATAGAGAGAGAGAAGGAGAGAGAGAGAGAGAGAGAGAGAGAGAGAGAGAGAGAGAGAGAGAAAGAGGAGTGGAGGTGAGCAGCTATGACAATAGAGAAAATGAGGAGGAGTGAGGGAGAATTAGACTGCGACAGAGTGGGGCGAGTGAAAAAGTGCGAGAGAGGGAGGGAGAGAGAGCGAGAGAGAGAAACGGGCCAGCTATTCCCTGGAAAACCAGTGAATTTTGGAAGTCCAACTCCAAATCTGGTCTTCCCAAATCCCGGAAATCCCAAAGAGTGGGTGGCAAATATTTTTGAGCTCTCGGATTAACACCAAGTTCTTCGGCAGTCCAGCGAAAAAGCGATACCCAGAAAATGGGCGTGTACAAACTAGGGGAGGTAGATTGGGCGAAGCCATTGTATCTGGCAAATCGCGAAAAAAAAAGAATTGATGGGGGGATTAGTTTGCGAAAAGTAGAGATGGTCAGGGGCAAAATAGGTATTCAGAGGTGGGGTTACGACGTGGGCTTTGTGGGCGGATTAAGTGGAGCCCAGCAAAAAAAAAAATGAGGGGGGATAATGGAGCCAAAATCGCTTAGACGGTATATGCCGGAGATCGTCAGAAACCGTTGTGATGACCGGCTGGCCGGGCTGTGATATAGGCTGCAAGGTGCACGACGTCTTGTATGGATTTGCAAGTCAATTAAAGGCCTGCTTTTCGTGAACCAAGTTTGTCGACGGTCTGACGCCTTTGGAGTCAAAAATCCAGGAGGGCGGGCGGGTCATCAAATCCGTTTTGTGACGGTTGGGAACCGAAAAAGATACCGCCCTTTCATGAGACCAAAGAACAAACAAAGAAAAATATATAGAAATCTAAAAAATATAAATATAATTATATAGACACCCTGTTTAGCAAGCAAAGTTATATAGATAATTCCGAGACGTTTATTTAGATTGTTTAAAAAATAGGAATGGTTGACTTTTATTAAATTCGCGCGAAATGCTGAATAAGCCTTAACGGGATAATCACTAAAAATCACAGGTTTTTAGCTTTAGAAAGAGAGTTAAAGGTTAATTCATCAATCAAATTAACATCACAAAAGTTTATTTAAGGGACACTACAGGCTACAAAATTTCCGGAATTATGTTTAAAGCTTGAAAGTATAGCTAAACACGTTATTCCAATCACAATGCCCCCCAAATAAATTATACCTGCCTCTAGTCAACCCGAGTACACGCCGCGTCACTTTACAATTAACATAAATTGGGTGTAAGCTCCGGCGAGAGATTGGCCAAAACAAGGTCGACCGGGCTTAGTGGCCACTAGCCATTCATGAAAGTAAGAGATTTTTGGGATTCTTGAGGTTGTTGAGGTCTTCGAGCCGGCGTTGCCCTTCTGCGGGTACATCAGGTATCAGCTATTTAGAGGAAAATAATGATCGGAAGGTTTGCCTAGCTAGGTAATTTTTTACGGTAAAAAATATAACAGATGGAGAGTACATTAATTCAAAGAGTAACTTCCGGAAATATAACTATACGCAGAAACCGTTCAAAAATCTCCAGAAAAATTGTAAAAACCTATCTTATTCAATTGTCTAATTGTCAACAACAAATAATAATACATTAGCCATATTTTATCTCATAATTTTTACATCTCACGTGATTGTTCTTTATGAAATCGAAAAAGCCCATAAATTGGCCAAATTAATTACATCCGATTTACCAGTTTTTCCAAAGCTCGTTCAGGCCCTACCGTGACCGACGGAAATCCGTGACCCCCAAAAACCTAATTTTCTAATTCCTAATTACCCGCCGAAAATTGGCCTAAAAAGTTTTACTAGCGAATTAAGCTGGTTCGGAAGACCGGAAACGGAAATCGATCAAAATCTTTTAATGAAGGGCTAAAACAGCCCCACCCCCACCTCTCCTTGAATGGGCCCTAAGCAGGGGGCCAGCCTGTCTGGGGGCGCAAAATAGAAAAATGGCCCCGAACGGGGCATCCAGCCATTCCAGAATGGGCCGGATTTGGCCGAAAATAAAGAAAAATTTATCGCGAAAATGCTCGGAGATCCGCGGGGGAGAAGGAGAGATTAGCCGGTAGGAATCACCAAATTTTGGCATGGCAAAGGAGGGTGAACCCCTTTTCGGGGTCTGTTGATGTTCTACGGTGACATTTTGGTAGTAAAATGGGATCAAACTAGAATAATATTACTAAATCACGATAATTCAAAAATGCGATAAAACGGTTAGAGACATACTTTAAGAACTTAGTTATCATGAAAAATGTTATTTTATGGTAATTCGATTAGTTAGTGAACGATATAGATAGCGCGCAGATAGGGAAAGAAAGAGCGAGAGAGAGAGAGAGGGAGAGAGATCGAGAGAGAGCGAGAGACAGAGAGAGAGAGTGAGAGAGAGAGAGAGCGAGATAGAGAGGGGAGAGAGAGAGAGAGAGAGCGAGAGCGAGAGCGAAAGAGAAAGAGAAAGAAAGAGAGCGAGCGAGCGAGAGAGGAAGAGATAGAGAGAGTGAGAGAGCGCGCGAGAGAGGAGACTAATTGTAACGAGTCTAATTAGATTTTGACCCGGTTTCTATGTTATCTTAGAAATATCCAAATTTTCGCAAGGCTTCTACAGCCTAAAAAACTGCGTCTTGATGGTAATTAGTTGCTACACGGAGCCAAATTCCAAATGCAAAAAAATTGTACGAAAAGCTCCTCCATACGCGTGGCTATGGAGCCCACCGTACTCCCATTGAAGCTGCCCCGTAAATTACCCCCGAATTCCAGCAAAATGGGCTCCGGGCCCCCTAATGGGCCACCGGTCATTTGAGGGGGGCTTCATTTTTTGTGCGCGCGTCCATTTCTCACCCCCTAATATCCGTCTTCACGCGCCCATTTTTGCCATTTTTGCCGTGGATGGCCCGGGCCCGGGGCGAACAACGAATGCAATTACCCTTTTCGCGCGGATGAGGCCACACGTTTTGTGTAGATGGGTGGGGGGGGAAGGGGTGTGTGGGAGGGATGGGGCTCATCAATGAAAATGGCGGGGGGGGTGGAGCTGTTTTTTCGGGTCGCCGAGGCCATATTTTTGGCCATAATTGCCCAGGAGTGTGACGGTGGCCGCAGCCACGACCCGGGTTGGCAACATTCAGGGGAGCTGAAGCTTCCTATGTATAATAGTGAAAAATGCGATGCAAACTCGTTTGACGAATGGAAGGCCGTAACAGAGTCAGCGCGAGACACAGAGAGAGAGAGAGAGAGAGAGAGAGAGAGAGAGATACAGAGAAACAGTCTCGAAATGAGAGTCCGAGATAATGCGATGAGAGAATCTGAGACGTCTAAAAAAGACGTTTTCTCCCGTAACTATCGAAAAATCATCGCTGGATAACGCTACTCGCTTATTTCTGAAATTTTAAGGGGCAGTGACAAGAGCGGTGAAGCATACCGGATGTATGGGCACGGATGTAATTTTACGTCTGGCAGGTCAGTTCGTCGAGGCTCACACGGAATTTTGAGCCC